GTGGGATAATTAACTAGGAAGTGCTATTGCTAGAGTATAAAGATTTTATACATACATGAAGACAATGGTATAAACCTTAGTGATAAATATAGTGATATCTCAATAATTATGAGCAATAATGTCTACAAGTAAGGAATACTACCCATGACTCGTATACGCAGCATGTTTTGCTGGATAATTGATGGAAATTGTAATAACTTTGGTCAAGTGTGTTTGGAAAGTCATCTTAGCATCAAAGTTGACCTTGTGGTACATTTGTGTTATGATTTTCCTTTATCTTTGAATTTGTTTGCTGTGTTTTGAAAATTTGAATGTTATTCAAATAAATGGGAATTCAATATAATTGTAAAAAGAGAAAATTATCTGTTAGTATTGTTGATTTATATCTTTACATTTACAGAAAAAAAAACAAAAATAAATAATTAGTATCTTTTTATGTAGTAAATAAAGTTTAGTATTATTCTCTTCAAAATAAATTGATTTTGATGAAAATTTATTTACACCAATTTGTTTTCCCAATTGCTTTTTTCAGTATCTGGTTATGGACTACTACTGTGGAGGAGATCTCTTAACTTTGCTGAGCAAGTTTGAAGACAGACTCCCTGAAGATATGGCCAAATTCTACATAGCAGAAATGGTTTTAGCGATAGACTCTTTACATCGGCTTCGTTATGTCCACAGAGACATCAAACCGGACAATGTCCTCCTTGACCGATCTGGGCACATAGTTCTTGCAGACTTTGGTTCCTGTTTAAGACTCATGAATGATGGCACTGTGAGCATTCTTCTTATTTCTAAATCCCACCATCGTGTTTATTTTAAGAAGTATATGCTTTTTGGTCTTATACTTTTTGTGGATCTTAGGGTGGTTTTCCTATATAGGTCGCTTATGTGGCGTTATGGTTGGGTGGGAGGGAGGGCAAGCATGGCAGAATGCTGGCCCCACAGGTGAGGGATGAAAACAAAGCACTAATACGATGTAGTAGATTCAGCATTTCTTTGATACTTTTAACTTCACAAAAGCTGTATTTAGAAAGATAGACCTACACCACACCTGTCCTGTAGTAGGCAAAATACTCTGCATGGGACGTGGCAGAGTTCTGGGATTTCAGAGGTCAGAATAAGGTGAAATTTATCATCCTCCCTTGTGAGGGATTTTGAATTCTATCTATGAGGGCAAACATTTGAGGCCAGTTAAATGGCTTTGCCAGATGTCTTGAAGGGCAAGAAGGAACTTGGGGATATTTCAAAGTATTTGGCAAAAATCAAACATATTGGGTGACAATGATGGTTCTATCTCATTATGAAAGTGACCAAGTTTATGCAAAACATTTTTGGGATATATTTAAAGATACAATTATCTTGGGATTTCCTGATTCCATGGAATTTTTTTACTGATCTAATCACATCTTTCCTATAATGAAGTGGTACATTTTGGTATATAAAGGAATTTACTTTTTGTGTCATAAGAATGATATGTTTGTCTTGTTAATATAACCAGTTGGTGGAGAATATTGATTTGGCTAATGTAATGTTAGGTGTATTGATCATGGCTCCAGATAAAATGTTACCTCATGGGATCATTCTACTAAATTCCCAGTCTGTTTAACTAGAATCACCTAGATTAAGGACACATGGTTTGAGTATAGTTTGTCTGCCTTGGCATTCTGGGCAAGGGTATCTTGGGTTAAAAACTGCTCTAGCAATTTGTTTGGGAATTTGCTAAGGGATTGATTTCTAGTGAATTTGATTACTTACAGTGTGCTTGGTTTTTCTTTCTGACAAGCACCATGTCTCTGATTTCTGTCTAGATTACCAGAAAATATTGATCTTTCTGCCTTGAAAGGAAGTTTTTGTTATGATTATAGTTTGTGAATATAGATTTTATCTTTTAGTGATTCGTAAACTTCTAAGAAATTGTGGGGTCACAAGGGAAAGCCTGTACCATCGCTTGTATTGAGTTGTTGAAAAGAAGTTGATCTTATATTTATTTATCAAATCCAAATAATGTATCTTTAATAATTAGTTGTAAATTGAAAGCTTGAAACTTGGATTTGCCTATTATTCTTTACCTCTAAAACAGTTGAGGTAAAATGATACCTTGAATATTGATTTGGCAATTTGCCCAGTTTGGATACTTCACTCAAAGCAGTACATGATAATGAAACCATATAGTGCAAATCTAGCAATGAATTATTCAAATTTTTATGATCTTATGTTACATTACAGGTACAGTCTAATGTAGCTGTTGGCACTCCAGATTATATATCACCAGAAATTCTTAGGGTAGGTATTTGTAAAATCCAGTCCAAGTTCTCATTTACTGATTCCGAATGCTTTCTTAAAATAATTATTTTGATTGTAAAAATGGTGCCATATTTTTTTTTTTATTCTTTTGAAGGATTTTTTTGCTATCAGTAACTGTTATCAACATGTATAACTGACTGCATTTCTTGCCTTATGGATTTGTTGTAAGGCTGTTGTGATATTTGTCACAAAAATGTTTCATTCCATAATTGATTTTCACTGAATTCAAAACTTACATGCTGTGTTTATGGGGGCATATCTGATTAACACATAAGAGCCTCAAGTCCTGTCTGTCAGCCTATGATGAATTCCAGGTTATAAAATGATGTTTATATTCCAGGCAATGGAAGATGGTCACGGTCGCTATGGTGCAGAGTGTGACTGGTGGTCTCTAGGGGTGTGCATGTACGAGATGTTGTACGGGGAGACACCATTCTATGCAGAATCATTGGTGGAAACCTATGGCAAAATTATGAACCACAAGGTAAGATCCCGTCTGTAAAGAGGCGCCTTGGAGGCGATATGATGCTGTCTGTTTCTACCCAACTGATTGATTATGTTTAGTTAGTGAAAAAAAAGAAATCCCTTGATTATGCTAAGAGGAGAACCGCCCATGAAGCAAGTCATATAGTTCTGTAAATGTATTCTTTCAGTCTAGAACAAGGCTACACAGAATATGAACCACTCACAATACCCATTCAGAGAGAAATTGATATCCGGATGTGAAATTTGGAATAAGCGGTTTATAGTAAATTCGAATAAGAGAACGTTTATAGTTTATCCCAGAATTGAAGTGCTGCGGATCCATTGCTTTTTAATTAATGGTTCCAGCACAAGTAATGGCTTTGCTGCAAGAAAAAAGATAGAGGGTCTTTTTGAAAATTACAGTAAGAGTTCTTGCATCCTTGAAATGATGTGCAGGAAAAAAGTCAGTTCATGAATTCATATCCAGTTAGAAAAATCACTTGAGCCTATATGCTGCCATTTAGTTTTTCATTGCAATTGCAGCCTTCAGAATTGCTTCTCGATATGTGCCAAGTAATGAGTCATGCCTACTTGCTCACATTGTGTTGGTATACAAGCTTCCTTAATAAAACAAAAACCTCTACCCAAGATGTGTCAGCAGCGCTGTTAAATAAAGGAAACTCCCTAGATCACATTGTGGGTGATTTATTGTGAGATTCATATTTGAAAATAATGTTAGGTCCATAAAAACTAGGAACTGTCAGATAATACATAAGGTTAAGGAAGGTTAAATGAAAAGGATGGAAAGGAATGCTGTTGAATTGTATAGAATGTAATGATTGAGTTCATTTTGGAACAATCTTGTTGCATTAGTTTCATTTGGAACCCAAGGGAGTATGAAAACAGTAAGCAGTCCAACCACAACAAGCACCATTGTTGCACAACCAATTAGAGTGTTCTTTAAAACAGAATGAGAACATTTTACATTACACTAGTATGAGAATGAATAGTGTACCTAACTGGTGAAGAAACATAGAAGAGAAACTATTCAAATCTGATTTACATTGCAAAAGTGCCATGTTTTCACCTGTTGTAAAGAAAGGATATGTTGTATCTCTAAGGTATAGGCTAAATATATGTAATATAACATTTCCTCTAGTTATAGCTTAGTCATCACAAGTTGTCTAATAAAGATAAGAACTAAAACTTCTGTGGAATCTACCTTTTTGGCGTGTCAGTCAGACTAGGTGAAATCACCACAGATGCATGATAAGATATTGCAGTAAAATTGCAGGTGGAAATTAGTAAGTTCACAGGAATTTACACTTATTTCAGGAAGTTACACCTTTACTGCTCTGTTGTTGTTTCTTAGAAGGAATTAAATAAGAATGGATCCATTTACCGGATTGTATTAAAAATCAGACAAAAATTTACTGTAAGAAGTTAATGATAACATTTTTGATCTTATGTGATGACAGGTGTAATTTTATAGTGTGTATTTCTATAGTAGGGTGGATCAGTGATTACCTTGAGGGTAAATCAAATAATTGTCTCCTTTCACCAAGATATAAGGGGTCTTCTGGAATATCTGTTATGAGGGACCAATATTTTCTGAGGGAACACTGTCCAGAAGAACAGCTCTACTCTTGATTAATTGCTGTAGTCTTCATGAGATGAAGACAAAAGTTATTATTTTATATTTATTTGCCAGTTCCAGTGTATGGTACAACAAAGATCTTATCTTATTACCTTATCTCTCTTATCAGTATATATCTTCCAGACAATGCCCCAGCTGCTTCAGACACTCCAGTTCTCTACTGTTCCAATCAATTGCTATGGTCTGTGTAACAATTATTTTTCAGTCCCACGTTGACATTTTAATCAGAGATCATTTTACCCTTGAGAAGTTTCAGACCTCTGGCAGCATTATAAAAGCAAAGTGAATGATGTCACTGTATTAGTTAATATTTGATATGCATCTCATTTATGCTTTAACATCTTCAGTCAATGGGTATCTATTTCTATAATTTTGCATTTTAATTAAAATTTGAAAAAAATTGTGAATTATGGGTACTGTGTGTTTAGATTACAATTTGAAATTATGCTACTTCCAAGACCAATGAACAGAGTTAAAATAACAAGCAAAAAGGGCTGATTTCTGAAAATCATTCTCCCATATTTCTCACTTTTACCTCATTTTATTTCAGAATCGTTTTGAATTTCCTGCTGATATTAATGATGTGTCTGAGGAGGCCAAGGATCTGATGCGTAGGCTGATCTGTAGTCAGGACCAGCGTCTGGGGCAGAATGGGATTGAAGACTTTATCAACCACCCTTGGTTTGAAGGGAGGATAGACTGGGAAAATATTAGACAAAGTATGTAAACAGGGTGTTCACCATGTGTAGATTGTGTTCTTGTCACCCAGCAAAAGGTGTAGTTTTGCATGTTGTATGACTTTTACACAAACATCGCAGTTTGATTCATATATTTTATAAGGACTATTTAAAAGTTATACTGGTAAGTGAGAGTGAGAGAGAGTGGTGTGTTTACATACATTTCAGCTTGCGTATGCACCATCTATATGTTTTTAGAATGACAGCACCAGGCATTCCATCTATAAATGTCTGTTTGATTGCTTGTCTTTTTTTTTTACCCACCTGTACAGTATCTCCTCTATACTTAGTTTGATGTTTTTGATATCTCTTTGCCAGGTGAACCACCATATATACCTGATGTCAGTAGTCCAACTGATACATCCAACTTTGATGTGGAAGACACCGATTTCAAACAAAGTGTGAGTTTTGTTCTGTGGTGTTATGCCGGCATTTTGTTTTTTTTTACAGACAATTTTACATGAAACAGTTGGGTGCATTGCTTTTTTTTTACCAGAGCTTAAGATTAAGAGTTTCAATTTTGGTTAAAATGTTGTTTTAGTTAATGCTACCTTTGTGTTTTAGTTAATGCAGATCGTTGAATTGTATTGCTTTAAATATACTGCAAACATTTAGCTGATGGGTTTGTATGACTTCACTAGTCATTGTTTATTGTCTGTTACAGGAATCTGTCCCACCGACCTCCCATTCTGTGTTCACTGGTCATCACTTACCTTTTGTTGGCTTCACATTCACATCAAATAGGTAAGTTAAAACATATTGTATATAGTTGTTTGTTTAAATATGAGAAATATATTGTAGTTATCACCTGTCAAAGTGACACTGTTTGTTTAAATCCCATGCAGTAATAGATCTAGTATGATACAAGGTTTCATATTTTCTGTATCATTTTATTTCTTAGTCGTATGTCAGATCTGGAAGCTTTGGCAGACGGTTTTAGTCAAGAGACTTCTGAAGAGAAAACCAGCAGTGTCAGCACTCAGGCGTATGAGAGAAGGATTCAAAGATTAGAACAGGAAAATAAAGAATTAGACAGAAAATTAAAGGGTATGATGATAACTTTTATCTTTTTCAAATATTTCTGACATTTTGTACCTTGGCATTGAAAAAAATCCTTTTGAATAAATTTCATCCATTCCTATTAAATGGTGTATTACAAGGAATGAAAAGGAATACAGTTTAGATATGAAACAAAAATTTAATCCATCAGAAAACTTTTCTTTTAAAATCGTCCCCCTATGCCACAAAGAGCAGGTTATACTTGTTCATCATGGGAATAATAACCTATGTTGGATTCCATGAATAGCATTTCTTGAGTCATTGCGTGAAAAGATAGGTGTGCAGTTTGTGGTGACCTTTACATGGTATTGAAGTGCACTGGATATAGAACTGTGTGTGTGCTTTAAACCTATTTGTCATGTCTGTTTAATGCTTCACCTTTCTCCAAAATTTGCTAGGTTATGTCTGTAGCAACTTTTGGTTTGATGATTTGTGAAGGTGTTACATGCATGAAATTTTTTCTTATTAGAAAAAGTGATTATCTTTCATTTTTTTATTGAGGGGTTGGGGTAGGGGGTTAAAGGTGCATTTCCCAGTTTCTGGAAAATCATTTTATTTGATATATAAAGGAGTTATTTCTTGTAGAGATATTTTGTTAGATGTTTAGCATGTAACCTATTCTGACATTTACCTGTTCACAAGATACCTGTTGTTTGTTATATCACCCTTCATGGACAGATCTAATACACCCAGTAGGTGTATTTTCTTTTTGGTGATTTGCCATGTCACTTCACAATATTTTCATTTATAGTACATGGATGTACTGTTTGTTGGGAAATTGACAAGGTTTTCACCTGTTAAATATCCATGATTTGAAAAATTGTACCCCTGCCCCTAAAGCCAACCCAACACTATCTGAATGTGTTAAATACAAAAATTCATTCATACATTCATTCTTTCATTTATTCATTCATTTATTACATATATATTTTACATATTGCCAAAAATAAATTTTCTAGAATGTTGAACGATAATCTGTCAATTATCTTCAGATGCCACACGGGTCATTCAGAGCCAGTTTGGGAATGAAGCCCCTGGATCCCCCTCTCAAAGTGCTGACCGTGAACTTCAGCACCTCCGCACAGAGGTAGTCAGGTTACAGGCCCAAGTTAAAGGTCAGTTGCTTATTCAAACCTTAGGCTATATATTGTCGAAAGATATGTGATATGATGATGAAGAATGTACATGCACTCATGTGCGTGCATTCGTGCATGTATAACTTGCTCTCTTTTAGTTGCTTTTGTATACATGAATAAAGGAAATGCGGTATGTGTTACAATGTATATCATAATTTGAAAATATAATACTTATATGTATATTATAGATGAGCTACTGTAGTGGAGCAATAGTAAAAGGTGATACAGCCTCGTATGCAAATGTCTTTTTATTAATCTTGTTTATTATTTCAGAGACCCAGCGTGACCTTGATGAAACCCTGGCCATCAAGCAAGAGTTGGAGACCATGGAGGGGGATAAGAACACCAAGCTGAAGGCACTGGAAAAGAGCAGCAAGAATTTAAGTCAAGAAAAATCAGAATTACAACAGGTACAAATAGGAATGGTGAAAGATAGATATAGATGTGATTTTTGCAACTTTGAGAGCCACTCAAGTTGATTTCTTGAGCTGTTTTGTTATATGCATTGTTTTTAATGGTTTTGTTAGTTGGTGGGAAAATTTAGTTGCACTATTTTTACAATTCAGGAATTGGAAAGCCTCCAAGAAAGATATAGAACCCAGACTAAAGAACTGAAAGATGCCATTGGTCAGAGGAAGCTTGCAATTGAAGAGCTAACAAACATCACAGAAAGGTATTGTTTAGTTTTGATATCAGTGAAAGCTCGGTAAAAATGTTTGTTGCATACAGCTAGTATGATAATGACTGACCAGTTTTCTAGTGACAAATTAAAAAGAATGTTTTCAAGTTAATTGACTGAGAGATCGAACAATAACAGAACTTCTGAGATTTAACTATCAGTTATTTGTGGGTAATTGAAAAAGTACACATGAGAGCACTCTGTTGATAATGAAGAAAAATGTCAAAAACTTTGTGTATATTTTTTTGTTAGATTGAATTTGTAAACAGGTCACATGATGTTAAATACTTTTTCTGGTTTTTCTTCAGACTTGAAGACACAAGATCTGGGAAACAGAAACTACAAAGACAGTTACGCGATAAGGAAGAAGAATTAGAAGACTCTAGACTTAAACTAGATAACTTAAAGCAGGACCTACGCAAGGCAGAGAAAGCTAAAAGAGACTTGCAAACTCAGCTGGATGAGTCCACTGCTGAGGCTAGTAAACAGAGTAAATTGAGGGAAAGATCAGAAAGTTATGCTAAGGAACTAGAGCAGGAAATAGAGACTATGAAACAGAAGAGCTTAGGCAGGACACCTAGCACCAGTAACCTAGAAACCACCCAAGAAATTAATAGGTAAGAATGAACTTGAGATCATCTCTTGATTTCAGATTTGAATATAAGTTTGGCTGGACATGTGCATTTTTAATTGATACACATAATGAAAATGAAGTCCATGATTTTATTGGATGTGCATTGTTTTAATGGTTTCAGTGATATCTTTAAAAATCCTTGTGTTCTGTTTTTCAGGCTCAAAGCAGAACTGGAAAAGAAAGAAGTCCAGTATGAAGAAATGATAGCTAGACTAAAACAGAAACACAGCACAGCCATTCAGGACTTGCATTATCAAATACAGGATATAGACAATAAGAAAACAGAAAAGGAACGAGAAGTGCAGACATTAAAAGAAAAGATTGATCTCACTAAGAAGGAGAATATCAGCAATTATCAAGAAAATATCAATGACATTAAGAGGAAAAATGAAAGGGAAAAGACACTGCTGGAACAAGAAAACCTTAGGCTTACAAAAGAAGTTGAGAAGGTACTTGGATGATTTATATTACAGTGATACTTTATACTGGAGAATTGATGTGCTATTTTCATGCTTGACAAACTATTTTCACAAGCAGTAGTACAGGGTCTGTAGGTTGCAGCAAACTTTGCTATACAGCAAAATTGTGAGTTTCGGAAATATTATCATAATGCTGGGAAGGTATTTTTATATCATGGGATATATCAAAGAAATAATTTTATTTACTGAGATAAACCAATTTGTATTTTTCAGCTTTCTCGTGATGTCCAGAAGAACCAGAATGACAAGAGACAGATAGAGGAAGAGTTGAGAGATCTGAGTGAGAAGAGAGATTCTGTTGCACACTGGGAGGCACAGATCTCAGAAATCATACAGTGGTCAGTTGAGAGTGACTTTACATGTTTTTTAACTAAAGATTTTTTTAAAATGAATCCATCTGATTATGAAACTGTGTGAGTTAGCTTAAATAGACTAGAGACACTAAGTACCAGCATATAACATAATGAAGTGTGGTGACATCCAAGCCAAGTAGGTGTATCAGAAAGTATAGATTTTATTGGGTGGGCTCAGAATTGTTTGTAATCTTTAGTATTGCTCATCTTCAGCACAGAGATGGCCATCACAAATTACTCACAAAAGTCTTTAATTTCACCCAGACAGGGTATACCTATCAGATATTTTTTATTTTTTTTCATATCACATAAAATCAGTGAATGTTTACCAGTAATATATTATAATTAAAAAATTAATGTAAATATATATATATATATATATGAATCAGGGTGAGTGATGAGAAAGATGCCAGAGGTTATCTCCAGGCACTGGCCAGTAAGATGACTGATGAACTGGAGGGACTCAAGATGCAGGGAGTGGGCGTCACAGGGGTGAGTTAGCTTACATGCACACCTACTGATTCTACATTTTGCCTTGTTGAAGAAAATTGCAGCCTATTCTTTAAGAAGCTGTGATAAAGAAGTTGTGATAAAGTGAGGTATTTAAATTTTGCTAAAATTTAATTTGTGCAAGGTAAGTGTTTTTGCAGCATTTATTATGATATGGTAGTTGTATCTCCATACCTGTACTGCTTAAACTATGACTTGCTTACATTTAATTTTCTGGTGTATTTTTCTCTGTGGTTCCAGGAGCGTAGTTGGACAAAGCGTAGGTCACAAAGAGTAGACAAGATGGAGTTGCTGAGTCTGCAGTCACAGTTACAGAGTGAGATTCAAGCCAAGCAATCTATCAGTGAAGACCTTACTCAAACTAAGGCCAAATCTGTGGAACTAGAGAAGTAAGCTTAGAGAAGTAATATTTTAACTACATTTGTAGATATGCTGTAAGTTTTGGTGTGATTGTCATTGTCTGGGTTAAGATATTTTCTTGTTTTAGTTTGAAAACTGTTGTTCTTTCTTTCTATTTCTTCTTCATTGCTTTTGTCAACTGTTTAATCAAAATTTGTTATAAGAATATTTGGAGAGGTTTTGATTTTTACAATGTTTAAAGTGGTTTTGTTTTCCTTACTAGGGATATTCATCTAAATGGAGGCAGGTATCAAAAGATATCCCCATGAGATTTTTTTATGTAAAGAACATGTTGCAAGTTAATTGTTTAGACTAAAATTATCTGTTCTTGACTTTCTAAATAAGTCTCAATTTACCCTTTCTAAAATAAAAGGGGAAAACAGATTAGTCTATAATCAAAATTTTAATAGTGGTAAAAAAATCATAAGATTTTCTTTGACCTTTCCTATGACCTTGATATTTCCTTTTGTTGATGTGAATACAACTAAACCACCCTCTTACATAATTGTCTGAAATCATACCTCAAATATCTCATATCATCGCATCTTATGGAATATATTCTATCCCTTTTGTAAAATAAGAATTTACCTTTTTAAGGAAATGAAATAGCACCAATCATTATAGTATGCCAGCAGACGATGCAGACATGGGATGCCTGGACAGATGACTGTATTATCTGCTGTCTTTTTATCTGCAAAAATAGACTGGTTTAGTTTGTGCTGGTTCATTTTGTTACTTTGAAACACTCACAGTCTACATAGAACTTTTTATATGGAAAATAGCCATAGGTCCTCATGTTTAAAATATATATAGCTGACAAACTTGTTTTTCCGTTAATTCCCAGGCAAGTTCTTGAGGCTCAGGCAATGTGTAGAGAGTGGGAATATGAGGTGAACCAGCTGAGAGCAGAGAACAAGGAGCTGAAGGCCAGACTGGAAGGGGAGGAACTGAAGGAGTCTTTGAATTTCAAGGACTTTACTGTGGTTGGGGGTATGTACTATTTGCACATCTGTTATATTTGTATTATGTAGTTTACTTCATTAGAGTAGTGTGCTGTCAGCATTATGTTCTGAAAGTGTGTAGCCATTTGTTATAATTTTAATATTTCAGATCATGATCGTCCTAGTTCCCAAGTGTCGTTTAGAACTTTCCTAGAACAGCAGACAAGGAGATTGGTAAGTTTCATACAAAAACTTAAGTATAATTGATCATTGAAGAAAAATGTTATGTAGATAAATGACATTATATATTTTTGGTACTTATCCCTATAATTGATCATTGAAGAAAAATGTTATGTAGATAAATGACATTATATATTTTTGGTACTTATCCCTACTGTGTTTAATTAATTTGTAATAAGTTAAGTTTGTGAACTTAGATTTGAAAAGTATTTTGTCATTTGTTCATTCAGATAAAATGTTGCTTTTTAAAGCAAAGTCATAAATTATCCTACTTAATAGATTTGTACAGTATTTTTATGTTCTGCATGCTATATGTATTGTACTTATGTGTATCCCTCGTGCATGAAGTAGTATAGTACAATTGCATGAATATCCCATATTTATTTAGCTCTTCTGTATGAGATATAGACAGTATTGGTCCTATATATTGTTATACCAAAATTCTGAAAAAAAAAATATAGAAGTCTACTATTCAAAACAATTTGTAGTTTCTTGCCACATTTCTCAGTGCATTCTTTCTTTTTGTCTTGCATCCAACTTGTAGGGATCTGTGAGTATTGTCATAAGTTTTCCATGGTCATTCATCTTATGATATATAAACTAGCACAGCTTTTCAACCTTTTTACACAACTTTTATTTGAACTAAAAAGAAACGCTTTCTCAGAGTACTCTGTTAGTTGTTAGCTAGTTTTGTGAATATTACAAAAAATTTTTTAACCTAGTTTAGAATAGATCTGTTTAGTTGTTTCCCTGCACTAAACACTGAGACATAAAGTCACTAGAACACCTTTTTCACTTCTTATTGCACAGTAGAACCCTTTCCTAAATACCAACTCTTTGCATCACTGAAAAGTTGTGGCTCGTTAATTATGATTATGGAGATTTAATCATATTAAGTCAAAATTTGATATAAACTATTTGTAATGGTAACTAATTTGCTTCAGATGTTTACCACTTTTTATGTTGAAATCCTTTGACTTATTTAGCTTCTTTTTAACACTTTGTTGAGCTTGTTAATAATAACAAGAACTGGGCTTTCCTTAGCATTTTGTTTAAACCAAATCATAATATTTAGTTTTATAAATACCAAATTGATAAACATGGTTTAGATCGTATTCAGTTTGCAACGGTCCTAGAAAAAAAAAAAAAAAGAAGTGTGCGAAGTTAAGCCCAGAATATTGTACCCTGCCTCTGCTTCCTTTCTCCTGCTTGTTTTTAGGTGTGGTAGTCTAAAATATTATTTTGTTAATTTTCTTTCTCTTAACTTAAACTTGGAAATTTCTGCATGTCTTTTAGTCTACCAGCGATGTCTCTGAAGACGATATAGACAACTATAGCATTGGCAGTCGCGGTAGCCGCGGCAGTCGCAACAGCGATCTCTCTAGACCCGTAAATCGGGACCGTGTATCTTTACAGGATTCTTCTGATAAAGATGTAAGTGCACCACTTCTGTTCACTTTCAAGCATCTTGGGTTTGCTTGTAATTTAATTTAATTTTTTCCTTTTTTTGTGCGTGAAACACATGCATCAAACCTGTTGCTTTATCACCATTTTTCACAGTCATTTTTGGTTTAGTTTCCTTGAATGTATTTCAGCACTCTGAAATATGATGTAAAGCTTGACATTTTCTGTATAGTGTGTCAAAAATGTAATAACAAACGTCAGGTCTTTGAAATTTACCCTACTGAAATTATTTGCTTGATGTTGACCCAAGTTGAGAGATGCCGATACTTATATTTATTTAAAATGATGAAGCTGCTAACAAAAATTGTGCTGCGGTCATCCTGCAATTTCATTCATTCCATTCTGCTTCAGCTTAAGCAGTGGGCTCTGTTTGTTCAGAAAATCTTTCTAAAATGAATTCAACACTAAAAAAAACTTTAATGATTTAACTTTTGTGATATTTTTCTACTGACAATACAAAAAGCCTCAAAAATATATACTTTACCAGGTCATATTTTTTTCACAAAAATGATAGTTTTAATGGCTTTCGAGTTCAGCTATATTATACATGTGAAGAGAAAAAAAAAACCTGTCCACAAGCTCGAATACTTGTGGCATGCTCTGTAGAATTCTCTGCATCACTCAGTGTGTTGATCTTGAACTTTTTGGTACATCAGGAGAAACAACCAGCGACCATTAACAATGCACATCCAGTGGACGAGCCCAAACGTACGCTGCCAATACAGGTGATCAAGCCATCGAATCAGCCGCGGAGCCATCGTTTTGCTGTTCGTACATTCAGCACTCCAGTGAAATGTAATCATTGCACTTCCCTCATGGTGGGCCTGCAGAGACAGGGAACAGTGTGTGAAGGTATTAGACACATATATTACTATATGTATATCTCATTGTTTTCTGCCTCTGTGAGTGCAATTTAGCTGACAAAATGTATAGACCCACATACAGCCTGTGTTTTAAACTTGTGGAACTGTGTTCTCCTACATTTGAAAATACAAATCATGGATATGTGCTAACAAGGTTCTCAGACTAACAGTGTTTGTCAAGACAGTAAATAATGTCTGAAGTTATCGACTGTCTGCTTTTTCCCCTTTTGTTTGTTAAATTTTAAAAGACTCATTAGGCATTGTACAGTTAATGATGAACACTGTCAAAATGTTATCTTCAGTCAATATTTATCAAGATAATCTCTTTGGAAGTATTTTGTGATTATGAGATGTCAAGAGACTAGAAAATGAGGATGTTCACTCTGCATGATAACAAAATTGTTGAAAGTTTTTATTAGAGTTGAACCTAAAAACATAACTGCATGGTGTTTGTTATGTATTGGCACTTATTTAAGAGAGCATTATATATACATACATGTGTAGTTTTAATGTTTGAAGCAGTTAAGAAATTTTATCTAGAAAAGTGTAACATGTTAACTTTTGGAAACAGAAATATGAGACCAAGGAGGTAAAATCATGTTAAAGATTGACTCAGTCTGTTATATTAAGAAATTAATGACACTTGATAAAAAAAGTTATGTATATACAAGCATAATTTTATTTATATCCTCTGATTTTTAATATTATGAATGTCAGCATGTTTTAAAGTATTGGTGTCTTCTAAGACATATATATAATTTTATCATTATGAACTGTTTCAGTTTGTCACTATGCGTGTCACGTCCTCTGCACGGAGAGAGCGCCACAAGTGTGTCCCGTTCCTCCGGATCAAAGTAAGTTTCTACTTTCTGAGGAATAGATAGATATAATGTCGAGATAAAAAGTAAAGGAAGGTATATTTATTTTTGCCGACCTTGGAGATGTTGCTGTGCACTTTTCTAATTTTTCAATTTAAATCAGTTGTTTTAAATTATTATTGAAATGCTTAAACTCAAATTGGTGGCTTTATTCCATGTTTATCTGTAACAAAAACAAACAGACTGTAAAAGGGAGAGTAAATATTGATTCTTCTTAAACTTGCAGCTAAAAGGCCTTTAGGAATAGATCCAGCCAAGGGAATAGGAACTGCTTATGAAGGTTATGTTAGGGTAAGTCCAACTTTCAGTAAAAAAAGAAATCTGTATTTTTTGCAAAAATGATATTTATCAATTTTGATAACTGGTGTTGCCTGTTTGGTCAAATAATTCATGTAGTATAATCTGAATAGGTGTTTTGCATTGCACTTGACCTGCTTCAAGTTTTGAATCAGGTAAAGTTTTATATCTAGAAGCCTTACATTTGAAAATCGCTAAGACGATCTTGGTGGGTTTCTTTCCTGTCAGAAATAGAAAAATCCTCAGCAGTGATTCCTTGAGCAAATTGATAACTTAAAACTGCTGTAATTGCATAGTTGTTTATATTTTAATTTGAACATTGCAGATACCCAAGCCAGGGGGTATAAAGAAAGGATGGATGAGGCAGTTTGTTGTAGTCTGTGATTTTAAGCTGTTTTTATATGACATCAATCCTGAGAAAACCTCACAAGCAAGTGTGCAAGTTAATCAAGTACTGGACATGAGGTAAAGTTGGTCAAATCATAGAATGCCATGTTACAGTAGTTGCTGTTATTACGTCTTTCAGATTGCATACCTCTTCCTTAATAAAAATAATTATAAATGTATGAAAAATTATATTTGTACTCTTTCTTAGTTCATCATTTAGTTATTTGGTTTAAGTTGTACAATACATTTGATAGTGAACTGTCCTGGTGTCAGTTTTTTTTTTTACTTTGTGAATTTCCCTTGTTTTTGTTATGGATCAATATACATTTTTACTGTAGGGATGAAGAGTTCTCTGTTAGTTCAGTTCTACAATCAGATGTGATCCATGCCAATAGGAGGGACATCACATGTATATTTAGGGTAAGGGCATGTTAATGATAAAATGTGCAAAAAAAGCCCTGTTTGTTGTCACTGTAGATAGATATTTATAATTTTATGTAATATGTAGATAAAGATTTATTTCTCACACATAATGAGAGAGAGATCTCTCCCTCTTTGTTTTCTGGGCAGGGTCTTTGTATTTCATTACACAGACTTTCATTTGCACTTATGCTTTCTCTTCCATAACCAGATTTTAAACCACTGATACCCAAAGCTGTTGTTGTACAGGGAACTATTTCTGCAAGTTTTTTTTTTTTTTTTTTTTTAGTTTCTGTTGTCTTAAGTTTAACCTGTATTTTAGGTGACAACCTCTCAGCTACATCCACCAGGATCAAAACATGCAGTGCTCATGTTGGCTGAAAATGAAAGTGACAAGCAACGTTGGGTCGGGGCACTGAATGAGCTGCACAAGATTTTACGCAAAAATAAGATACCAGACAAATCAGTAAGTGTGACATTTCATTGATACCTTTTCTTCTCATAAGACCTCAAGCATGTTAACTCAATTTTATTGTAGGTTATGTCAACTTGTGCATAATTTATCACTTTTTGAATGAGTGACAAACAGCACAGTAATCAACAGCAGAATGTAAGAATTATTTATGTCATATTTCAGGTATTCCAGGCAAAAGAAGTGTATGACAGTTCCTTATCACTGCTAAGAAATACATTATCAGGGGCAATATTAGGTAAAATTTAACAAAGGAGATTGCACTGATATGTTTAGATACAGTTTTAAATATATCTTCAATGTAGAAAACAAAAGTAAACAAAATTGACACCACTTATTTCACTTAAGAGTTCCAGCCAAACAAACTTACCATGTAAAAATGCAGAACCACTGTAAATAATACAAGCAAAAATTATCAGAATAATTACCTGTCTATTATCATCTATTTGCACTGATTGCCATTTGAACTACTTATCTTCAGATCATGATACACTGTTGCTAGGCACAGAGGAAGGGCTGCATTGCATAGACCTGACTAGAGATGGTGAGATATTACATAGATACTCAGTAGATTCTTAAGTAGTCATGACAGATGAGATATTGGATATTTAATGGAATCTGAAAGAGAAAACAATCCTTTCTTTAACTGTTTAATGAAAAAAATTGTAAATGTAGATGATTATGGAAGCAATTTTATTTGTTCACTTTTTCAGATGGCAGTGATGTTTGATGTTTCTTTTATTTTCAGAAATCTCCAGAATAGGTGACAAGAAGAGCGTCTTTCAGATAGAAGTAGTACAAAGAGATCAACTAGTTATTGTCATATCAGGTAAGACTGCCACCAGTTAAGGTAAAAGAAAAACATTTATCCATTTACCTTGTAAGTAACAGAAATTGGCACATGCATAAGCAAGCTCAGCATAAAACGCCTGTTTTTTGCATCAGTATTATTATATCATTTACTCCACAGGCAAGCAGAGGCACATTCGTCTTATCCCCATGGCCGCAGTGGAGTCTGCGGAGTCGGTGGAGTCTGTGAAAATCAACGAAACCCGGGGCTGCACCACCATATGCACTGGTCTGATCAGCCAGGGCTCAGTCAATTGTCTCTGTGTCGCTATCAAAAGAACTGTAGTCATATATGAACTGACCAGGACCAAGCAGAGACATAAGAGGGTCCGGGAGATCCTAGTCCCAGGCAATGTGCAGTACATTGAGATGATGAATGAGCGGTTATGTGTGGGCTACCCATCCAGTTTTGCCATCTACACAATACAGGGAGAGGGTGCTCCTGTGTGTGAGTAGTAATTTGGATATTATCTTGGACATTTGGTGATTATGTGCTAGCATGAGTTGAGATTTTCAGTTTTTACTTGTTTAAGTGTTTTACTTTATTTAGTGTAATACAGTTATGATAATCATGATTATAATTATTGATTTTGACAAAAATTACAGCCAGAATGGTGAAATTTTACATTTAGTGTATAGATACAATACTCGGAAATCTGCATGAGAATCAAATAAGATATATTCAATTTTATGCGTACTCCAGATATTTGAATTTAAAATTACAAATTTTTCATGCATGCAGTACTCTTTCAAGTAAAATTGTTGTTAACATTACTAACTCATCTGTATTTTCAATAAATAACTGTAAACTTTAGTTAAAGGATTTTAAAACAAATGGCTCATTGTTTTAATAGATCTCGTTTTTTGTTAAACCCCATGTCTGATATGCAATTCTGTAGTATACATATCTTACTTTCAAACTTTTGTGAATTATTTTCCAGGCCTTGTGAATTCTGAAGACACTACCTTGCAGTTTCTACTAAGCAGTCCTGTTGATGCCTATCTAGCTGTGGAATTATCACACAAAGAGTACCTACTTGTGTTTGCAAGTGAGTGAAAACATTGTGAGATGATAAATGTAGTCAGTTGATCCACTTGAGATTCTATAGAATGGAATATACATTAGGAATCATGAATGAAATTGTTTGTGGAGATTATCCTAAGATCATTTTGTGAGTAACATTTCAAGTGATTTTGATACCAGAAATGGGGAGATGTTGCTTTTGTCTTGATCTTCGGTGTGTAGATGCTTGTCATGTATTGGTGTCTTTCTGTTTCAGCTCTAGCAATCTATGTAGACAATACAGGGAAGAGGTCAAGATTGCAAGAAATTATGATTCCGGCACAACCTCATTCATTTAGTAAGTACCGAAGTGTGCTAAAACTTGTAGCTTGTGTTATCTAAGTCATCTTATTGCTCAACCTCAACATTTTAACTTGAAGACTCTTTAAACATTTTATAAACATTTCAAATTTATGATATTTGAGTATGTTTCATTGTACCAAAGATGTTTGTCCACCATGTTATGCTCATCCTTAGATATGCATGCCTTTTTTATAAGGAGTAAGTATCTATCTCCTAGAAAACCAACATGGCTTAACTAAAGACAGAAAGTCCTTCTTTGTCCTTTCCTCTCCTTGTTGTATAGTGATCTTGTTTGTATTTGTAGAGTGAAAATAGCTTTATTGCAAAAATAAAAATAAATAAATAATAATAATGATAATGCTGCAAAACAAGGAAATGTTGTCTTCATTCTGTGTTTTTGTTCTGTGACTGACTGTTGTAAAGATGTTGTTATGGTAGTAACAGTGTTGTTGTTGGTTTCCTCCAGGTTACAATGCACCATACTTAACCTGTTATGCAGAGGAGGCTGCTTTTGTATTTGATACAAGATCAGAGGAGTGGATTCAAACCATCTGTTTGAAAAAGGTGAGACAGACCAGAACAGGGATGATGAAAACCAACATGACTTATTGTTGTACTTTCTTTTCCCCTTTTAGCTACCACTTAAATAAACCTTGTGGTATAGATAGTTTGTTAACTCATTTATAAAAGTGTGCATTCTCATTGTCACTACTAACATTAAATTGGAAAATATTGACTGATGTATTGTGACTTGGTGTTTAGTTTTATTTTTAGTCTTTTTCTAGACACTGGTAAGAAAAATATGTCAGAACTGAACAAAAAAGTCACTACAGGAATCTTAAAGGAGCAGACATTTCTTGGAAATAATGTTCCCACTATCTCAGCTAAGTGATATGTCACTGAAATGTATATCTATATTGTAACTTTTCGTTTACAGCTTCGACCTCTGTGTCGTGATGGAGCCATCGGACTGCCCCTTGTCTCTGATACACCACGCTTGGTCTATATACACCAGAAATCAGGTAAGTTCCTGACAACTTTCTTAAATGGTTATAAATTTTTAGATTGTCCTTAGAAAGGAAGTTTTGTGATACAAATGTATATGCTTTACATTTTCTTTTAATTTGATTGAACATGATTCTTCTTTGAATATGTTACATTACACATTGTGGAATAAAGAAGTTTAGAATTTAAGTTTTGAAATATGATTTAAATGTTATAGAAGAGGAGGATCGAATTGCTATCCCAGACATGCTTAATGGCAAAGGACGTAGCTTAAATCGATCCAAGCGAAGATTCTCCTTCAAAGAAGAGAAACTCACTAAGCAAGTGTAAGTATAGTTCTTAATGATTTTAACTGTATTTGTTTTCACTTTTTTGTGTGCTTTTATTTAGGTATTTTCAGTAGGCTTACATAGAATTTGTGATTCTTGTACTTCATTGCTGTTATTGTGCAGCTACTGGTGTATACTGCTTCAAGTATGTAGCACTTTGTAAGTTGTTAGGATTGCTGTAATGCATGCTGTGTTGTGCATGAGTAATAAGTGTTTTTCAAGACAACTTTGAGCTATTTGTGACCATTTCATTTCTTGATTATCATTATAAAGAATGGGTGAAGATCATGCTACACGATTATAAATTTTGTACATTTGGGTGTTTTTCCAACTTTTTTCCCCTTGTTCCTATTAATAATAGTATTTTTATCACATTTTCTTTCTTGTAACATATGTTCCTGTGTTTTAATTTTCATCTATGACTAACCAGTGTTAATAAAGTCGAGATTATCAATGTTTTTACAAAGTGAATGAAGTCTTTTGATAACTGTCATTTTGTTTTTCTATGGCATCCAATTAGTAGATAACTCAATGGTCACATTCATTTGATTGATAACTAAAGGACAACGCATTTGAATGTGTCCTTTTCTCCTTGTTTCTTTATGTGATTTTTTGCACTGCTATAACCATGTTTTTTGTGTTTTTATTCTTCCTCCCCTCTCTAGTCCTGACAGGCGCTCCAGAATGATCTCTGCTCCCATCAATTTTGCCCATGTGGCACATGTCGGGAAAGAGGAAACTGTGACAATGATTCATAGGTACAGCAACAGTATCGCTGGCTACTGAGTGTGTTCCTTGGGTGCAGATTAGTAAACAGATTCTCCTGTCATGTACATGTAATGTCAAGTACCAATTTAACACAAACTACAAGCAAATTGTGATAGAAACTACAAGCAGATTTTGTGCGAAGTCCTTTCGCTTAACATCCAAACGAGATTAAATTTCCCACCCAAGTATAGTTTTCTAGAGAATATTTCACTTTTGATATGTTGGTTGTATAATTGTCATATCATATAATTAAATGTGTAAGATTTCATAATTGGTACAAGTTGAGACAGGAGAATTTGACCACATTTTCAATTTCTTCAAATTGCCTTGGGATTTGCCTGACTAACTGTGTACAGGGATATGTGCTTGAACCCTAGCTTCCTGAATAGGGATATATCTACCTACAGCTTTGCTGGCAGCGATCTCTGGTATACTCTGAAATAATTGCTTGTTCCAGGACTTGTTCCAGAATTAGAATGCTTTAGTCTCCCTCCCTATTGGCAGCTTAGCATCCCACTGATTTGCTAGAAGGTTGTTTACAGTGACATATGAGAGATGTTTTCATATCAATTTGATTGGAATCCTATGGTCATATGGAAAATTTTGGAAGTGCATGAATTGGTTATTATTATTATTTTGGTGGTGGATAAATAATAATAGGTGATTTTATTTACTTGTAAAAAATTGGTAAGAAATAGAAAAATATTTTGTTGAAAAGAGAATTGCTGCAGCTTTTAGAAACCCAGCATTACCCACAATACACTTGATTCAGAGACTGATTGAAGCATGGAGTTTAGTTTGAGCCCTTGTCATGCCAATACTTTCTTCATCAGCTAACATTTAACTAACACATACATTCAGGTTAAGTCCTACTATGTATACAGTCTTTTCTTTTGTTGTATTACAGGTCTGCTTCAGATCGACGTTCCAAACTGATATCTGCCCCCACCAACTTCAGCCATATAGCTCACATGGGTCCTGATCAAGGAATGAAGATGCTCATTGACTTGCCCACAGTAAGTGAACAGAGGTTTGACATAAGTGAATAGATATGGGAAATTTTGTATTTGATTTTTCCTCCCAACATGTAAATCTGTATATTTGTGAGCAGAAAGTCTTTGATATTTATATCATGATATATATAACTCTAATAAGTAGGAGAAATTAACATTTCAATTTGATAACATTTATGGTTTGAGAATCTCAAGAATTTCTCAATATACAATAACTTAAATTCTTATCCTGATTATATTGCTATTATGCAAGGAATGCTTAAAACCTTAGTAATGCATTTTTACTTGATTGAATGTGCATATACTTTGTCATAACAGAGCTCTGGTCAAGGTCTAGATGATGCTCAAGTGCAGCGGGTGAAGAGCATGTTCCAGCCCAACTTTGGTGCAAATGTCCTTGCAATGCAGGAGGCAGCCCATGTGCGTGGCAGCGGTGGCAGTGGAAGTAGTGGCAGTGGCAGTGGGAGTAGACCAAACAGCATGCAGCCACAGTACAATGGTGAGTAAAAAGAGAGTTTAGCTCAAGTGCTGTTCCTGCTGTGCTTTGGTGATTTTATGAAGAAATATCGAAGACCGTTAAGGTTGCGAAGACTTGTACATATTGCACTTTGCGTGACATTTTGTTTTTTCACTTGATACCTTGCATACAAACCCTGCATGGGAACCCCCCAGTACCAAGGCACCAGCATATGTAACCAGTGTCACAATAAAAGCTTTTGTCATTTTTTTACCAGCATTTGTCAGAGATTTTGAATGTCACCTTTATACACAAATTGCTTGTCTGGAATGTTTTGAAACATAAGTAGAATCATAGCATATGATGTTTTGTTTTGAGAAATAAATTCCCTATCTAGGTTCACCCTAGCATTAAATGATCTCACCTGTGGCCAAATTTTTTTTTTTTTTTTTTTTTTTTTTTGTAAAATTAGAAATTGAATCGATATGGCTAAATAGTCATGTAAACATATTGATTCATTATGTACTAAAAATTCGTGCAAGGGTGAACCCAGACTCATTTTCCACATATTTGCTAACTAGCATGTTTTGTTTTTCCAATGTTTTTGTTGTAGGCTCTGCAGTGCGCCATGAATCCCCCAGCGGTAGTAGTCAGGGCAGTCCCTATCTTGCCTCTTCCTCCGTGGCTTCTGCCTCCCCAGATAGCTCATCCCTCTCCTCACAAGAACAGTTTGGAGGCAACTCAGCCAATCAAATGCCTTCTCCCATACAAGAGGTACAAATATAATGTGCATAATGCACTAAAGAATTGCAATGTGTAACTTAAAAAAAAAAAAGGTTATTAAACGAGTCCAGAGATGGGTTTAAGAGATGTATTGATATTTGCTGTCACTGATTAAGTACATAACTGTCTTTTAATTTTGGTAATTTCATCAGTTCTGGTCTTTTATTGTTTAAAGATGTCTAACTCAGCATTGATTCAGAATAGTATGACAATAATGTTCAAGTTATTTGACTGCATTTGAAAAATAGCATCCCTCTTCTTTCCCAATATCTAATTATAGCAACTTTTCCTTTCTTACTCTCGTCTGCAAAGTTCTACACACAAAGTAAATAGTTGTTCATGTGTACTTTACAGTAGATCTAAACCTTCGTCAATACATGTAACGTAGTAGCTCAAAGTTATTGTTTGTATGTGTATAAATGTCAAACGATAGCACTACCATACAAAGTATTATAGTAAGTAGTGTACTAGTCTGCACAGCCAAACATGATGAAATTATCAAATGTTCTCTCCTTTCTCAGCAGTCTGCATCTCTTCAAGCCTTTTCTCTGCAGTGCACTGAGACAACAGTGCTTATTATTGTCTTTAATGTATCAGTGGTTCTGTTCTCTTCTGTAGTAGATAAGAGGGCACAAGAGTGAATAACATAACTTTTCACTTTTCTCTATTATTGTCAACATGTGTAGCCTTTCTGGTAATAGCCACATTTTTCAACAATTTGTGATAAATTGATATAAAAGGTAAATGTAGTAAGATAATCAATAATGGCCCATATGAAATCATGAAGACAGTTACTACTCCTTTGTAGGATCTTAGCTGTAAGATGAGCTGCACCATATAATTACATAACCTTATTTGATTGAACTTGTTCAGCTATGAATAATTTAAGATTATTGCAAGTATGATTATTCAGAAATTATGTGAAAAAAATTACCTGAGTAGGAACATGTTTATGATCTAATAGATGCTTCTGTCTACTATTCACCTTCTTCTCTTTCTTTGTCCTTATTATCACTTTTGATTACCCATAGTAAATTATTTGCCAGATTAGGAAAAAAAATAATGGCCATACCCCCTCCATAAGTCACTCTGATTCCCCATAATGTCATATTATATTTAAGACTGTCACATTCTGTTTAAGACAGGTTAAGCATAAAAGGGAATAAGTTACAACTGTTAAGTCTTCAGTTAAAAAATTTATAAGATATTTCCTTAAGATCCCATTGATTTCATTCGTTCTTAGAGTGATGAGGAACCTGACAGCATAACGACCAGAATGTAAACCCTTGATGTGTAACTAACATGGAAGGTAATGGGAATGGATGCCAGCATGCCATATAGCAGGCCTCATAGCATGCAGAATTATTAAATTGAGCAGGATTCTTTTACTAACTCTGGTTTTATTTGTGGCCCCTTTTTTGCCCCCTCTTCTCTGTGTAGGGTTACAATTAGTTGACTATTTTTACTGTTTGAAATATATTCTAGGTATGTTATAACACTTGTATGTAACTGTTTAATATGATTTATTTTCTTATGGGCTATATCAGGAATCAGGTGACATTTTAGCTTGATCTTATACAAACTCAATATGCTTGAGATGTGAATGCTTTACTTGGGGTGTGATTATAATAAAAATCTTTATTTCTGGTCTTGAGACTAGCATGATATTTTAACAAATCTGTTTAGGTGAGAGTTTGGTCTTGGGAGTTCTCTTTCTAAACAACAGCATGTGGCTAATGTATTGCTATCCATTACTTTCTTTTCAGAAGTGAAGGGTGATAGTCTTGATGTTGTGTCCTGTTTAACATAGCAATTACATGTTGCAGTTGGAAATGTTATCCTTACTGTTATTTAGGAATATTATTCTCAAGTGGCATACTTAAGGAAATAATTTGCAAATGGAAGTGGTGAAAGTTGTGAAGTTATCATATATTTATAAAGGTGATGTGTCGACTTGCAGTCATTAGCAGTCCGATAAGTTGCATCTTGCTGCAAACTGATAACTGCTTAAGACTTGAAATATTTATCAGACATGGATTAATATGCCACTTGGGTCTAATCCCTGTATTATCTTTAATGTAACCAGAATGAACACTTCCCAATATACAGAATGACCCCTGCATGCTTCTCTGCTTGGCCTAACTAATCAAATTTTTTCACATGCTGTCTTCTTTTCCTTTAAATGCTATCAAAATTAGCACCCTGTTCAGCTGCACATAGGGAATCTCTGATTACTTTTCTATAGCATAGTAGGGCTCATTCATTTGTTTCCATTGTTAAGTTTTGGCTCCTCCCATTTTGTATAGATGCGGATCTATTCCACCCCAGTCTAGCCTAGACTAGCATGTGTGCCAATAATTCAGTGGTTAGTACCTATATGTCAACAGTATTGAGCTGCCACACATGAAGTGCTGAATATTTTGCTGTATGAGAGTCGCAGATGATTTAGACTTCCATGTCAAAATACAGAAATTGTCATGAAATTATGCAAATTATAATCTGAAGTGAGATACTTCCACATTTTGGGTTGAAATGCTACCAGTCAGTTTGTTATCCAAGGACCCAGTAATTTGGATTTGGAATTTTTCAACTATCCACTAGTATGAATATATAAGATTTTGAATAACTTACTTTTTATGTTGAGAAACATTGTTTTTTATGTTGTTTGGGCAGACAATGGGACTTCACAACAATTTCAAATTTAATAATTGGGCTGAATTCCTTTTCAAGTAACTTAGAATACTATTTCCTGCTAAAGTTTTGTAAGCATTTCATGTGTGGCATCCTCTTAGCAAAATGGCTTAATTTAGTTCAGATGTAGGCAGGCTATTTCTCTCTATGTTAGTACTAAAAGCTGTTCTCTTTGATTAAAGCTGCTGCTCTAGTCTTTGAGTGGAATTAAATTAACATAGAAAATATTTTACCTTATTAAGAAATTTAAGAATAAGTTTTTGTTACGTGTCATATTCTCTTTCTCACTTTTTTTTTAGTACAATTCAGTATATTCTAAGTGTGTCTTTTCTTTATGATAACCTACATGCTCTGCTTTCAGGGTCTTAATCGGGAGTTCTAGTGCAATTAAGAATACTTTATACATGTAAAACCAAGTCCTAAGGACCTTAGGACAATGCTGCTGTCTAACCATTGCTTTTGATGTTCGTGAATCCTGTTATAAAATGATGATAAGTGTATTTTTTGTCTCTGTTTCTCTCTAGGGTCATCAGGAGATGGAACAGAATAAACGCGATTCTGTGATCTCCAACACAAGCAGCACTGTCAGTGGGTCCACAGAGCCCGGCTCCAACCGTCACAGTTACATCGAGGACTAACAACTAAGTAGAAAAGAAAAAACAGTGCATTCTGTGTCCTTTCTTCTTTGAGAAGGCTGTCATAAAGACTTTGTGTAGTTGTGTAGAGAGTGCACGGCCACCCACTGCATGTGACTTGCTGTTATTTGGAAGGGCCACTACATGGACTGCACAGTGCAGAGAATATGATGCTCCTTGTTGAGATGCTAACAGAAACAAACTGCACTTTGGTATATATGAAGCATCCTTATGGTAAAAGCTAACACAGTGAGACAGATAAATGCAGTATATTTACTCTCTAATTGAAGGAGGGCATCAAAATGAAGTTGTGAACTGCAATATGTTCAATGTCCAGATGGAACAGGGGTATGGCAGAGGGACTGCAAGCCACTGAGAATGCAGAGACAAGTTAAATGCCAATAACAATGGGATGATCCTACAAACTGTAAAACTAAGAATTAGAAATGGTTGCTCATAGAATCTGTTTTCAGTATGTGGTTTTCTTGTAGTGGGATTGTCACCATGGTCAAGACATGGTTAAAATTCCATTGTGCTGTTCTTTTGTAACATTGACAGCATGCTTAGGAGAAATTACATATTTTCATATGTGCATTTGGCTTTCTTGGCTGCTGTTGTAGTTACAGTAAACATTGGTCACAGCACAGGGAATATTATGTGAGAGTAAGGTGCTCTTCATATTTGAGGACTAGCAATGACTAGAGGGGATGTACCTGGAAACTCTGATATAATGTGAGATAAAGATACCAAGACCAAATCTGACTTTTCTTGTGTTTGTCTATGAAACTTGTCACTCCTGCTTTGTGATATGGGAAGTCGAGTAGAGCAAAACATTTAGTCAGAGAATGAACACAGCTGACTTACATTTTATAACAAGCTAAGCATTTATCCTTTCAGACTAACGGCATAATTAAGCAGTTTCTTTTTCTCTTGGAAAAAAATTACTGTTGTATATGTATGTATATATACCAACAAATTTATGTATGAATATATACATGTTACAAATGCATTATGCATTGTATAACAGAGGCATGTTTAAAATTATTAAGTCACATTTCAGAAAAAGTGGGAGGGGGTGGGTTAATAACATAAATATTTGAATTATATCTTGGGGGGAGGGGGGTTACTGTATGTAAACCAGTTATAATATGTTATGAGTTGCCATGTTATGACAGATATTTGATGTTGTAATGTGTTAAAAAGGGAATGGAATCTGTAAAAAGTGTACATTTGTGTAGCATATATTTATACCAATTAACAACCCACCTCTATGGGAGGGAGCATATTTATTACTGAGGGTAGGTTTATTGTATGTAGCTAACACTTAGTACACACATCTATCTGTATTGGACTGAGATTTTAGCTAATAAGAAGGTGAAATTGTGTTTGAATTGAAAATGTAGGTGATTGCATAATTGCTATTATTAAATAATGTTAACATTTGTGAAAAGAAGTCAGACAGGTGTTTGTAAAACAATGCATCATCTGTCACAGTTGTATTGAATGATTTCACAAAATGTAACCTTAGGTGTGTGTTTTTCTTCATATCTGATCATACTTAAAATTTTGATATTGATCACTTGTATCTCACAGGCTTGTTGCTGCTAGACCCCGGATAGCATACAGTGTAAGATAGATGGCAGTTTTTGATTTAAGATGATAGTTTAATGTATAGAAGGATTTTTTACTCTTATGAATTAACACAAAAATTAAAACATAGGAGCCTTTTCCATAGCATATGAACAGAAGGGATAAGATGGTTAACAGGAACTGGAGTTCAGCAGATTGTTATATGGATAATCAACGGAGTCTTCCATGTTGTTTTTATCACTGGCTCACTTGTTGACTTATTAATAAGGTTATTGATGGTTTCATTGCATGTAAAATATACAAATATTGTTTCTCAACAGCGAACACATGAAATTGAACAGTGTTGTTATTATTATTATTATCATGATGGTGTTAAGTGATACACACCATGAAGTTAAATGTATGCTTAGCTTAAGTTTGTCCTTTCCCACAAGTCACTGTTGAACATTTGAGGTATAAGAAAAGTTGTAAACATTGAGGTAAAGGAGGATAAAGATCCAAGCCAAAAAAGGATGTGGGACATGTGGAGATTGAACATCCTGTAGAAGAAAAAGTAGTGTAAGTTCAAGCTTCTTCAAATTCCACCTTCATTGCAGTCTTAATAACAAAAGTTGTTCTTATTTGGAAAAATATGATATACTAAATAGGTTTTCTGGGAGGATACACTCCATGAAGGATACATGTATATGTAACATTTTGAACTTCAGGGAACATTTAAGTGCAATTGAATCCCAGCACAATACTACTGCTTGCATAAACTCCTACTTGGCAAATGCCACTGCACATCAGTAAACAAATTACTACAAACCTGTGCTTGCATCTAATACGTGTGGTGTAAAGCTGATGTACTAGAATGCTACTGAGTCTTCAAAAGACCATTTATATAACTATAATCATGTTATTAGGGTATTAATCCTTGCTAAACTTCTTTTAATCTGGATACGCTTGAATCATGTTGATATTGAAAGTCTAGGCTTACTTGTGTTCAAGCTATGCATATCATTGTGCAGATATTGCAAAATGTTGCTGTCTGTGAATGGAGACAAGCTGTTTTGTTATAATGGAAATCATTTTAATAAATCATAATACAGTGATTTGTTTCTTGTTTTGTCAAATTGCTAATTGCAACTTGCAATGCAAGATTGCCTGTGTTGGTTAGATTAATCAAGATTTGAAATTTTGAGCCACTTCTAAATCACATCAGTATTTTAATTTAATATTTTCGCTTAATTTATTCACCCAAGTCGTTTTATTACGAGCAGTAAATTACTTTTCTGTTTTACCTCAACGAGGGCAGAGTATTACACTCTTGACCAAGTTCTAATATCCTGCTGTCAGCAGTAGTCTCAAATTCACACGGAGAAAACAATTTAGAGAAAAAATATTTGATGTTTATTTATTTATTATAATCTAATTTCATATGTATTACCATAATCACAATCACAAAAATTACACAAATTTGTTAGCTGACAGGGGAAGTTGTGGTGATCTGCGCTATTTTCATCGTTGCGATAGTTGAGACAGGTGGTTTGTGAATAGAGGGCGTTGGAATATCTAGGTTATTAAGCATGCGCAGTGCTGCCTACGACACGAAGATTTTTAAATGTTAGAAGTTTTAAGCTATATTTCTTGACCAACTATTCCTCTGGTATTTGAAAAACTCTGAAACATTAAGCGTGGGATATATACAGAAAGAACTTAAGAAGAACTTAACTTGTTATATGCAGGGAATTTTTGGCATTTGAAGCAAGACGGGGGATACTCGGCCGGCAAAACGGAGGCACATCAAAACTTGCTGCAGTGAAGTGTAGTGAAATTCAGCATGGCTCGTTGACGTATTGTTTATTTTGTGATTGATAAGTGTTCAAATAACCTGAAAAGGTTATTATTACAGGTAAGTTCTCAAAAAACACTTGAAGCTTTTTTCTAGTAGAAAGAGGGAATGTATACATCTAATTTAAACTTCCAAACAAATTACATCAAACTTTGATAGACTACTCCTTACACCTTTGACAACGACCTCCGCCCACATCTTGCGTTGTAAATGGAATTTTTTAACTGTGAATCAGTGACGTTAAGGGATTTAATAGTGTTGAATAATCATTTGTTTTTATCTGTTTCGATTTGCTACTGAATCTGGTAACATGTGGCGTGAAATGCCTAGATAATGCATATATTAGCACATACAATTAATGTATGTAGACAATGTAATTATAGATAAAAAGAAAAAAGTGAGCTTTTATTTTGGTATATTATAAATCATCGTGTCAGTTGTTGTGAGTTATTGAGTAGGATTGGGGTTAATCATGAAGATGATTCAGAGGATTGATTCAGAGTTATGGTTTGCATGGTGAAGGTATCTGTAATTGCGGTCCAATTGTAATCAATTTAGTAATTTTTTTAATTAGCAGATTTCAGTCCTTAAGATTCATTTGCTCAAGGTGGAAGTCTACTTTTATTCTCTTTGGATCTCAAATACAGCTTAGACTGAAACTTATTTGAAGGTAACAAAGACACTTGGTTATTATTAAAACCATTGTACAGTACATTTACAAGGTTATCAATGTTGAATATATAGAGATGCCATAATGTCTGTCATTAACATGTCTTATGATATCCGACGTCAGAACCTTGGTGAAAAGATCAATATATACATCAAGTGATGCCTGTCTGGTCAATAACATATTCATTACTACAGTACTAGTACGTATGTAGGAAAGGCCATAGGATGTGATTTGCAAAGACTTTTGTCTGAGGACTTCTGGATGTGATGCCAGCTATAGTTCGTGTTCATAATATGTCATCACATATGTCTTGATTAGCAGGTTATTTGACATCTTGAGTAAAGCATTTTAAGATTAACTAATTTGGTCTTTGGGATAAGGTGATATTAGCAAGAAAAATATTAAACCAGGTTGATGATAATAATGCAGATACTTGTCTATTTATGATCAGTACAAATTGACACTTGGTAAATTGTTGAAGATTAAAATAAAAAAAATTGATGAGTGTGAATACTCTGGCAGACTTGTACTCAGAATTATTGTGAAATATGACACTTGGGACTATTATTAAAGAATTTTATCCATCTGTCATTTCTCAGACTGCCAGTTCTTTATTTGGTTAGACTAATGGATGTCTTGATTGAATGTGTATTGTACATATGCTTACAGTCTACTGTTTGCTGCCTGGTCATCAATATAAGCATTTGATCCTGGTTCCCTAGTTCTTTCTGTAGCCTGGCAAGAGAATTGTTTGTTTTTACTGATACTGCTGATAGGAAAAAGTACAGAGTGATATCCAGCAACATATATGGGTTGCTTCCAGTTTTCCTATTGATTCCTATACCACACTCACCTGTAAATGGTTTATCATAAGTGATTGTTGAAATAATGATAGGCAGGTCATGTTTGTCTTCCTGTAAAAATAGGTAAACGTGCATGTTTTCAGATTTTTTTAATCAAAATGGCAGCCTGCAATATGATGTGCTTGTTTTAAAGATCTTCTGCAGTCAGGCAAAAGTAGATGTAATTGATAGTAAAAAAAATTAGAAAAAATGTCCAAGATATTTTATAAACATTAAAAATGCATGTCTAGCATCATGTTTTAATAATATTGGATAGAATATACGTGCTTTGGAGTTCAGATTTCAAAATAGCACATTTTTGTGTTATTACAAATCTCTACANTTGTTATTTTACATTGGATATCATAAATACATAAGTGTTAAAAATGCCTTGCTTCTGTGAATGACTGAATAATAATAAAATCCTAACAATGTTGCTTATATGAATGGTTGCATTCATGGTGAATATTAAACTCTCTCAAACAACAGTCTTGTTACACGTACTTTTTAATGAACCAAAATGAAGTACAAGAATGCTGAAATAATTTCTGACAGCTTCACGATGTAGAGATAAGCCATAACTGACAGCAATATTTCATGCCATAAGACAATCCTGCATACATTCTTCCTTGAGTCCACAAGGGTTTATCCTGATGATCAGCTCAAAATTTCTCCTTATATCTATCCTTTATGAAAAAAGTTGCTTCTATGTAAGGTTAAACTTATGATTACACAATTTACAATAAACTCTCTCAAACTATAAATGTCATTACCCAATGAACAAGAAAAATGAAGTACAAGATAACTGAACTATCTTGTGACAACACGATGTTGGATAAGTAGCATTTGGTAGGATTTCACGTTTTTAGACTGTCTTGAGTTCATATTGGTCGATCCTGCTGATCAGCTGAAGCTTCAGCTTGTATATATCCTTTTCCCTTTGGTGTACTTGATCGTGATACGAAGTTTATTTTATTTTATTTGGTTCACCTCTATTACCGCTACTATTCCCCGTCGTTCATTCCCTCCAGCATGGCCGCGGGACTAGTGTTACGGAGTAAATATGACGTCACTGTAATGGGTTAGTAGTCTTAAAATTCACACGGAGAAAACAATTTGGAGAAAAAATATTTGATGTTTACTTATTTTTTATAATCTAATTTCATATGTATTACCATAATCACAATCACAAAAATTGCACAAATTTGTAAGCTGCCAGGGGAAGTTGTGGTGATCTGCGCTATTTTCCTCGTTGCGATAGTTGAGACAGGTGGTTTGTGAATAGAGGGCGTTGGAATATCTAGGTTATTAAGCATGCGCAGTGCTGCCTACGACACGAAGATTTTTAAATGTTAGAAGTTTTAAGCTATATTTCTTGACCAACTATTCCTCTGGTATTTGAAAAACTGTGAAACATTAAGCGTGGGATATATACAGAAAGAACTTAAGAAGAACTTAACTTGTTATATGCAGGGAATTTTTGGCATTTGAAGCAAGACGGGGGATACTCGGCCGGCAAAACGGAGGCACATCAAAACTTGCTGCAAGTGAAGTGTAGTGAAATTCAGCATGGCTCGTTGACGTATTGTTTATTTTGTGATTGATAAGTGTTCAAATAACCTGAAAAGGTTATTATTACAGGTAAGTTCTCAAAAAACACTTGAAGCTTTTTTGTAGTAGAAAGAGGGAATGTATACATCTAATTTAAACTTCCAAACAAATTACATCAAACTTTGATAGACTACTCCTTACACCTTTGACAACGACCTCCGCCCACATCTTGCGTTGTAAATGGAATTTTTTAACTGTGAATCAGTGACGTTAAGGGATTTAATAGTGTTGAATAATCATTTGTTTTTATCTGTTTCGATTTGCTACTGAATCTGGTAACATGTGGCGTGAAATGCCTAGATAATGCATATATTAGCACATACAATTAATGTATGTAGACAATGTAATTATAGATAAAAAGAAAAAAGTGAGCTTTTATTTTGGTATATTATAAATCATCGTGTCAGTTGTTGTGAGTTATTGAGTAGGATTGGGGTTAATCATGAAGATGATTCAGAGGATTGATTCAGAGATATGGTTTGTATGGTGAAGGTATCTGTAATTACAGTCCAATTGTAATCAATTTAGTGATTTTTTTAATTAGCAGATTTCAGTCCTTAAGATTCATTTGCTCAAGGTGGAAGGTTACTTTTATTCTCTTTGGATCTCAAATACAGCTTAGACTGAAACTTATTTGAAGGTAACAAAGACACTTGGTTATTATTAAAACCATTGTACAGTACATTTACAAGGTTATCAATGTTGAATATATAGAGATGCCATAATGTCTGTCATTAACATGTCTTATGATATCCGACGTCAGAACCTTGGTGAAAAGATCAATATATACATCAAGTGATGCCTGTCTGGTCAATAACATATTCATTACTACAGTACTAGTACGTATGTAGGAAAGACCATAGGATGTGATTTGCAAAGACTTTTGTCTGAGGACTTGTGGATGTGATGCCAGCTATAGTTCGTGTTCATAATATGTCATCACATATGTCTTGATTAGCAGGTTATTTGACATCTTGAGTAAAGCATTTTAAGATTAACTAATTTGGTATTTGGGATAAGGTGATATTAGCAAGAAAAATATTAAACCAGGTTGATGATGATAATGCAGATACTTGTCTATTTATGATCAGTACAAATTGACACTTAGCAAATTGTTGAAGATTAAGATAAAAAAATGATGACTGTGAATACTCTGGCAGACTTGTACTCAGAATTATTGTGAAATATGACACTTGGGACTATTATTAAAGAATTTTATCCATCTGTCATTTCTCAGACTGCCAGTTCTTTATTTGGTTAGACTAATGGATGTCTTGATTGAATGTGTATTGTACATATGCTTACAGTCTACTGTTTGCTGCCTGGCCATCAATATAAGCATTTGATCCTGGTTCCCTAGTTCTTTCTGTAGCCTGGCAAGAGAATTGTTTGTTTTTACTGATACTGCTGATAGGAAAAAGTACAGAGTGATATCCAGCAACATATATGGGTTGCTTCCAGTTTTCCTATTGATTCCCATACCACACTCACCTGTAAATGGTTTATCATAAGTGATTGTTGAAATTATGATAGGCAGGTCATGTTTGTCTTCCTGTAAAAATAGGTAAACGTGCATGTTTTCAGATTTTTTTTTAATCAAAATGGCAGCCTGCAATATGATGTGCTTGTTTTAAAGATCTTCTGCAGTCAGGCAAAAGTAGATGTAATTGATCAGAATTGATTAGAAAAAATGTCCAAGATATTTTATAAACATTAAAAATGCATGTCTAGCATCATGTTTTAATAATATTGGATAGAATATACATGCTTTGGAGTTCAGATTTCAAAATAGCACATTTTTGTGTTATTACAAATCTCTACAAAAGACTGTTTATTAGGAGCATGAATTTCTTCTTACAGCTACAAACAGTAAATGTATGAAAATGTTTAGAAAAGGTACTTTTTTCTATGTATTCTGTATCCAAACTGCTTTGACTTTCCTCTTTCTTTCAGTAAGTATACCAGGCTGATAATTATGCTATATAACGTGTTGTGTTATAACTACATTTAAGGTTTGGTATAGATGGCAGACGAAGGAAACTTAATACAATTTAGCTGTTTTTTACATCTAAGGAAGATGTGTCTGGCCGCACTGTCTGGCCTTTCGCTGAGTGTCACCTTTCATCAGTATCATAGGAGGCAGATGTACTTATCCAGTCTCTTTTCAATATATCCATGAATAGATAACACACTGCTTTTGTCTTTGATATTTCTCATCATCATCTTTATTTCTCAACTGCTTGTCAGAAAAACTTTGCAGTATGTCCTAGGCAAACACAACAATGGTTATTAAAAAGGGATCAGATTAATAAAAACACAACTTATTGATTTTCTTCCAAAAGAGGCTGGCTGGCATTTGTGTGGACTGAACTGCTGGAAGGATTATTGCATTCTGCATGTGTCTCTATGATACTAGGCTAATTAGTTAGTTGTATTGATCTCTCCCATGTAGTATTTGTCCAGGTTAGCCACAATCAGAAGGTGTGGGGGTGGGTATCAAATCAAGCAAGTTCTAGAGTGGCCCAAAGTTAAGGGTTGAGACCAGTGTTGAGATGCAACAATCAAAATTGATTGCTTGGCTATATAGTTTGGCTCTAGCATTGTATCAAGCCAAAAGAAAAAACTATTATGTGACATTTTCATGCAGGAAACTGACTGGTTTATAACTGATCTGAATCATTGGACATGTGAAAGCAACTTGATCCTAATGCACTGGAATGGAAAAAACATTGTTTTCAAGGATGATTGGAGCAGGTGAAAAGACTGATCTGCACATTTGCTTGCTTTCAGTTGGCTTCCTATTATTAATGTTCACTACTGAATGTTTGTGTTTAATTCTTGTGGTTCTCTGGCCTGGCTCTGTTGAAATGGGCAATGTGGCCTATGTGGGATATGATGATAACCAGTATAAGTGTAGAAGCTGCACCTGCTGTTGCATTTTCCACTGAGTGAGGATGTTAATGTCACCGAGCATATGAAATACAAATGAGAAAGAATGTCTTTTTGACCTTTAAGTCCATGTAGATAAGTACTGATTTCTTAAAATGGAAAATTAAATGGCTCTTTTAACTTATGATTTTGTTCACAAAACTGTATAAGGAAAATTGTGGCCGTCTCCACACTGACCATTTCACAACACTTGGTAGTATAGATCCATTGGCTGAATATTTTCCAATGGCTGGTGTGTTGTAATACATGGTCATTTGTCAGTATTAGTGATAAAATATGCATATCTGTCAAGATTTTGGGATTCATCTTCAACGCTTCTTGATTCAGCATGCTTTTTTACCCCCAAGCTGATTATATTCTGCAAAAGAAAAATACCAAGCCAGGTTAATATACATGTTGTTAAAAAATACAAATAAAATAGACAGCATGTTGTTTTAAACTTAAAAGGTTGAGTTTTGTTAAAGGTGACATCTACTGAGGCCTTACATGTAAATGCTACTGCCTCAATTGCTCAGACATCTACTGAGGAATGAATTGAATTGAAGCCACTGAAAAATGACTAGTTGTCTCTGTGTTGCTTTGTGTGAATTACCATATCATTTAAATAAAATATGTCCATTCTCTTTTAGAGCTATAAAACAAATGACTTTGGTTGGACTTTGATCTATGTATCTGCCACTGTGCAAATTATATAGATTTAATTTAAGAAATTGTGTGGAATGATAAGGGTTTTATTCTGTGACACGTTGTGTTCCAGTGTTTTCTTGAAAAAAAAGTATGGGAAATGAGTTTTAAAGTATGGTGGACATGATTTATGTAGAAATTTTTACTAGTACTGTAGATCTTTTCTGGAATTGTATAATACTGTATTGAGTCTGTTGTATGTGTTCATATGTGTGTGCGTACTTGTGTGCGCGAATGTGTGTGAGTGAAAACAACCATTTGCAGAATGTGAATATATATATAATGTGCTACTTTATAAGCTTTCCAGGGATGAAGTAGAGGTTTGTTTATGTAGGGTAAAATGAAGGTGTAACATGGTGAGCAACAGCTTTGAACCATTAACCATGCCATTACTTGTTCTTTAGCTATCTGACCACCGACTTTTCTAACCTGTCTGCACAGTTGTGCTCTTCACAAAAGGCCTGTAGTCAGGATATTGGTCTAAATTGGGGCCCAGGGTGTGCTTGGGCAATGACCATGTTGGTCATTAACAGGCAACAAAATTTATTGACCAGGTATATAGTTAATGGAGGTGCAAGGGAGTCTCTCTACAGACCGGTACTACTACTTAAGTGTTACCGTCTTGTGACAATTTTCAATCCCAAATCAAAGCATGCCTTTGTCTTTCTCTGAATGTTCCTTTTCTCTTTAAACATAGGGCCAGGCCTTTTTTTTTTTTTTGGAAGTTGTCCTCATTTGCCAAACACATTCTCACGCATTCTTGTCCATTCTGGATTTCTCCCATTGTCAGCTAAACTGTTTACTTAATCTGGCCCACTAAAACCCAGTCAGCCTGGTGTAGCTCCTGTTAATTTGCCTGACTGACTGAATATAATGCCAAATATACTGTGAATACATTTGCATTGATGAGATTTTAATGAAGTAAGAGTTACTCTACTATTATTAGAATTGTTGTAGAAATAAAGGGCTTAGTAGTAACATGGGTGCAACATCCTTAGCTTTTTGTGATTTTTAACGGGCTCAAATGTGTCTGTGTGTTCATGGAATAAAGTAGGGGATATAAAATCACCCTCCTGAAGAGAGCTCTTCTCATTACTTTATACATACATTGTGATGAAATGTTTGATTCTAAGTAGATTCTCTAACTAGTATATTACTTAATCCCTGCATACCTCTGGAGTTTTTTTTTTCTCCTAACCAATCGTTGGATTGGTCTGAAGAATAACTCCTATTTTAATGTGCTGTAAAATTGATAGTTTATGAAAATATATATGTGTTTTTGGCCAGTTCCAGTTCTATGTTTAAAAAAATAAGGTTCACATTGAACAACTTGTGTTGTAGTTTATGATTTGTCTTCTGTGTCTAACTTGATCCAGTGATTATAAATGGTATTAACCTTAGTAGTGAGTAAAGAATGCAGCCTAACCCCTCTTATCAGATAAAATCAGCTGTGAGGTATCAGACAGTGCACCAGAAATGGTCATTTTGATAAAGAGCAAAACTTGAAAAGATGTTAACCCTGCCCTGTGAGCTATACAGCTTGTTAGGATTCTTTACAAACAGATATCAAAATTATGCCTGCATACTGTCTTTGATGGAATAAGCTGCAAGAATATATAGACAAGAAGGTTTGTGTATTTGTTTGTGGATATGGTATTTCAGCTATCATGTCAGGCTGAACTCTTCTCAGCTGTTAACATAACATCTCAGCTGTGTGGCTGTTGCTGGTAGTGAGTTGGTGAGATATCATACAAGAAGTCCATTTCTTTTGAACCATGGAGGTCAGGTTCTATTGATACCTGAAAGGTTATCAGATCAGCTGATTGAAGGTGACCTCATTTCAGCACAGTGAACTTGGACCCTCTGTGCTGCCAACAAGGTGTGCTACATCACCAATAGAAAGGTTGAAAATTCCTTAGTTATTATTCTGGTCCTGCTACACCCAGTTGCCATTGTAAGGATATGGTTTTTAAAGTATCACAAATGTCACAGGAATAATAAGGTTGACATTTTGAATAGTATTAACCCTGGTTAATAGTCTGGTACAAATTTTGACTGTGAACCAGTCTACTATGAAGGTTTAATTTCCAGCACTTCCTTTTACTGCTGTGGATTTGACAGTCTTGAAGTTGTAGATTAATTTCCTAAATAGCCTTATACTGGTAAGCCACAGCAACTCTATGTGGAGTGATATATCCGGTTTGTGTGACTGCATGCAATTTTTGCATGATGCTGGTACCGCATGTAGTCTGCTTTTGGTGGTAAAACATAGAATTCAGATGTCTGAACAACTAGAATATATGCTGGATGTAATTAAAATTTGAAAATGAAAATTGATTTGAAAATGCTAGTTTTTTAAAAGAAATGGAGTCGGTTGAAAGAGATTACTTCTCCCTTCTTTTAAAGACACTTACTGGGTCATGTTTGTTGTATTCCAGTTACATCCCTTTTAGCAGGTGGGCAGTTTTGTTATATTGATTATAGAATAACTTTCAGTTCTAGTGTCAGTGCAGTTTATGTTTTCTGATTCAATGGCAGTTATCATTCCAGTATGCTAAAATAACATTTCAGGAAATGCGTGTTGGTACAACTTCAGTAAGAAGGCATAAAAATTGATCTAGCCTTTTTTCACAAGCTCTGTTTTCACTACAGGATAAATGGCAATCTTGTTTTTAACCAATAGTTTTGAGCTGAAAAAAATAAATAGGCCACTTGTTGTTGCAGAGCAGAAGTCAAAGCTATATCATTTTATTTCAGACAATAGAGGTTAGGACAAAGATATATTATATTCAATCAAAATTCAGATGACACTTGAGTGAAGTTCCTTTGTCTTTTTGTCAACGTAACCATGAGATTCACAATTTAGAGAAGTTATTCACTCCGTACTCTAGATAGTCGACCTTTCAGTGTTTTAGAATGGTAACTAGACTTAAAGCCATCACACCAGAAGTGGTACATGGCAAAACTTGGAAATTAGAAGCTGCCCCTGCCCCCCCCCCCCCCCCCACACACACACACACACACACTGTCACACACTCAAAAAAATTTACTTTCTGTCTCTTCCCTTCTTAGATAGCTTGCAATAAAATGAGGCATTCGTAAAGAATAAATATTCTCATGTGAGTTTTGGATTTGCCAAACACAATTTAAATATTATAGTTTTTAGAAATGTTGCTCTGCATCTTATTCAATAAATAAAGATATTTCATAGGAATATCATTGAAATTATGTCGCACGTAAAGAGGGGGAAAAGAGTCTTCCCTGATGATTGGATGATTGCAGTAACATTACTAGTACTCCTGTTGTCAGTTTAGTACTTTCACGTCTATGAATAATGTCAGATATAATTAAACGTCTTTGGATTCCTAGAACCAAGAGGTGAATGCACTTAAAACAGAAAAGCATGCTATAACTCAAACGCCAGGCAGAAGATAGCAAAGGAAGCACATTATTAGCATTGTCTTCATTTCTATAGCTCTCATTCCCAGATGAGATACTGCCAGGGAGTAAGATCATATGCCAAGGTGCTATTTTAGCTGTGTTGTGTGATGTCAGGAATATGTCATTGTCATTATCATCATTGATTCTTGCTATGTGGGAGTAATTTTTGACTTCTGACTTTCTGATCCTGCAATGTAATTGCTGTTCTCTAAATAAAATGGTGTTCTAAGTAAAATGGTGATAAATATTTGAAAGTTTAAGTATTCTCAGTATCGTCAAATTGTGTATTTACATCACTGATTTTTTTCAGTTGACCAGTACACATAACACATAACAATGGAGAAATTTAAAAGGACATTCAGTTTTCGTAAGAAGAAAGACCACGTCCCTGAAGCCAGCAAGCCCCACCAGTGGCAAGAAGATGAACGCAAAGTGCGAGAAGGAACATGCAGTTTTCAAGTGCGGGTAAGTTATATTGATGGGAAGAGGGGGATCAAGCTGGAAGAAACATAACGAAAGCTGTTCATTTCTTGATTCTCCTCATCCGGTTTGAAAAATTGCCCATTATGATTAGATGCCTAAGCCACTAGATATATTTCAGATAATGTTAGATTCTGAATGTTGGCTTGGCAGAGAATGAGCAGATGAATGCTAAGATTTTCAGAGAAGAATGTAGAGAATTATAAAATTGTCTGAAATTGCTCATTCAGCGAGATATCTGACTCAAGAATGGTGAGTGCAAGTGCCTAGGAAGATAAAACGAATCTTGAAGATGGGTTGGCATGTAGTTCATAATCCCTACACCATGTTTTGACTATGATGATTGTTGTTTGTAAGAAGACAAATTAGTGACTTCAGTGGCCAAATGAATGACAGGAACTGCAAAGGGATAAGCTTTCTGACACCTACACTAAACTCATTCAACCTCTATCATTACAGTTAGATTAAATTAACTTTGCCTACTGCAGATTAATAGGGGGGTAATGCACTTCTTATAATCTCTGGAACATAGAGAGAGTGTCTAACAAACAGGTGAGAGGATTTGCAGTTCAGAGTAAATAACGCTGCTTGTAGTCAGTACTGATGAGGTTGGATTATAAAATCACTGTTTCAAGTCACTAAGAGACCATTCCCATAGATATTTATATTGATCTATCCCCCTGGGGAGTCTCACTAAATTGCTGTCAACTTGGCGGGTTAAATGTCTATCACGCCTAGTAAAGCTGTTAGGGGTAATTATCTTTACCCTAGCTGTTTTGGTAGGTGTGACAGACATTTAAGCCTCTTGAGCTGACAGCAATTTAGCGTGAACCCCCAGGGAGTTAGGTCGATCCAGATGGATCGATCTAAATCTGTGGGAATGCAGTCTAATTCAGCCTCTGAAGTTAGTAACCTGTAGCTCTTGGGCCATATTCACAACAGAAGTTGATTCGCAGGGTAACACATTGGCAGATCAAATATGGCTGGCCTACTTGAAAGCTTACTACCTAATTCTTGCAGGATATCTATTAGGGGCAGAATCCCTTAAGCCCTTATAACATCAGTGCTATACTAGGGTTTAACTTATCCAGTCTGGATCAGTCCACTGGGATAGGTCCTAACACTTATTATGGTGTGTAAATCAATTTCACAAGTTTTCTACAAGTTCGCTTTCTGCTGTTTAGATCAAAATTATTTAATTGATCAGGTGGAGCAAGGGGACTCCGTTGAGATAACTTTAAGGCAGTGCTTGCAACCGGTTGATTCACAGGCTTGCTAGTCAGTTGATCAATTATGGCTTGACCCACCTGAAAGCGTGCAAAATTTGATTTCTCTGCCCCTGCTGGGAGAGGGGTTTGGCAGGAATCCATTGTCAAATGTGTGCCCCATTTCATCTGCGGACTACTTAGTCCATAAATAGACTGGTTATGACTACAGCCTTAGATCCAACTAGATCGACCTAACTCCCTGGGGTTTCACACTAAATTGCTGTCAGCCGAGTGCGCACGGTAGTTAATTACCCCCTTACAGCTTTTAGTAAGCAGGGCAGATGCTTAAGCCGGCTAAGCTGACAGTAATCTAGTGAGACTCCCCACAGGGATAGATCAATCTAAAATCTGTGGGAATGGGGTCTTAGTGTGCACTAGCTATTGTGACCTAAGGCCCCATTCCCACAGACACAGTGGACTATTTGGATCAACCCAATTCTGCGGAGACTCTTGCTGAGTGCAAAACATGCCTCCTGTTGTTAAATAGGAAAAAAGAGCTGTTGATGATACGAGTATGTTGGAAACAAGAAGAGATGTATCTTTCAGATTGCAAGAGGCCCCGTAGAGTTAGATTGATTTTTGTAAACCTATGGTGTGCCAATGAAAATGGGGTCTAACACATTCTGAACGGCCCCTAACTTATAGAAGGGGGAAAAAAGTTGTACACTTTATCTATAAACATAAAAAAATTGACTGTAAAAATTTAGTTGAGCATCAACATTTGTTTCTAAAGACATGTATTAGACTTTTCCCTTGTAACATTTTTGAAATATTGGGTGTGTTGGTATTAGCATTAGTATACAAGGGAGGTGAACTCTTCTGTAAATGGAGAAGTAATATACAAAACCACAGGGAATGGGAGGACAGGATCCACAGGGAAGAGGCATTCTGAGCACAGGTCAGAAAGGAGGCCAGTCTTTGAGACTGCTGTCTGACTTTGATACAATACCATTGGTGACCAAATTCAAGTATCTTCAGAATGTTCTGTCTGTAGACTGAAATTGACTTCTGGAATATTCCTGAAAATTTGCTGAACATAGGCTGCCTTTGTCTTGAGTTTTCATTCATGAGGGCCAAAAAAAAAAAAAAGGCTGCTCTAAAGGATTATATTTTTGACCAACAAGATGATTGATAATTTCAACCACTGAGAAAGATTCGGCATCAGAAAAAAAATTATTGTGGCTGGGTGTAACTTGAGAGAGAGAGAGTGTACTTTGCTGGATTATGCCTATGGGAAACAGAAATTTTTTTGGCTTAAATGTGCTCAACTGACAGAAACTGAAAAAAGCGTGGTGAAATAAGGGGATTCATAATAACTTCAAAAGATGTAACTGGGTTGCAGAAAAAGTTCAGTAAATAAATCCAACTGTGCATGCAGATGTGGACCTGATCATTTATCATCAGTGAGCCAATCCCTGCTGTAAAGCTGTCCAGGAAGTAATCTTCTCCTTTGTAAAGAAAGAGGAAACCTCACCAAAATCAGGACTGATGGTTTATGGAACCATGCATTTAGCTCTGTATAAAAGGTTAGAATCTGTTGGATGCAAATGTGCTTTTGAAAATTATGCAGTAAGTTCTTCAAGATTTGAATTATGTACATTATCATATTGCTTATGTGATATATATTTCATTGAAAGTGTTTCTACAGATATAACAGTTTGTCTTATTTAGGTTTATGGACCAAGTGGCAGACATTTTCAATTTTAGGTTTTTCTAATAAGAAAAAACTTTTTTGTGATTACAGCATGTGGTGCTGGTTTTCTACAAATTTTCTATTTTCAAAGTGCATACTGAGTCACAAGACTAATAAAGGCAGTTCTTATTTGTAGCTTGCATCTGATGCAAAGTCAGAAATACAATATAGGTTTATAGGTATTCACAGTCTTTTTTGCAGTGAATAAAGTAGTTTTTGTGATTTATTATCCCATTATGGTGTTAAGGACCAGGCTGTTTTGGTATGATAATGCTGCTGTTGAATTCCTGTGTCTGGATATGTTTTAAGAAATGGTAGTGTAAGACAAGAGGCATATTTGGCATTTCAAAGCACAGAAAAGTCACCAATACCTTAACTAATTCAGTTTCTCCAATAAACAAAACATCAATGTTATGTATATATTAAAAACGATTTATAATTTAAGACTGGAGATTTAAAAAAAAAAGCTAATTTATAGTTCTTTGTATCCTTAAAAATGATTCACAGAAATATAGCACCAGGTTGGTTAATGATCATAAATAACAGTTATCCATAAGTTAATTTATAACTGTTCTATCTTCATTTGATTGTATTTCTTACTGTCAATTGGATCATGATGTAAGAAGTTCTCAGCCTTTGTTACCTACCAGTGGGTGGACGTGATGTAGTTGAGTAGAGAATCAGATTACGCATTGATCTCCTCATTACACATATTGATTATGATCCCTAGCTCCCTTTTTACACCAGTTCTGTGTAAATAAAACAAACTCTCGGTAATCCCAAGTGCAACCGATAAATATTGAACTAGACAGAAGTAAGACAAAGTGTAGTTGTAGCAATGGTATTTATCGTACATTTTCTTTATTTTTATTTCCAGTACCTGGGCTGTATTGAAGTGTTTGAGTCCCGTGGCATGCAGGTCTGTGAAGAAGCAGTCAAAGTCTTAAAACATGTAGGTATTTAATAAACAGGGTCACCCCTTTAACATGAGGAGCCTTTGTTGAAGTACCTTGAAAATTTTTTTCTTGCTGAGACTATTAACTTCCCACAGAATCAGTAATATATTTGATTACTTACCATTGATTTAATATACTCTTATTTTGTGTGTTGATAAACTTCATTTTGATAACTGTTTTGAATTTAAAACTTCATTTATGAGGAATGCTTGCTCTGTGTTGTTTTCATATTTTCTGAAAGTTATAAGGAGACCATCCCCTGGAGACACACCTTCATCCCTTAGGCCTTATTAACAAACCTACTAGATTGACAAAGCTGATTAACATGCATGTAATACTAAGTCCCCACGGAATGATAAACACATATATTTAGTGTTTGATTTAGTTTACTGATCTTTATTTTAATAATTTCGACACAGAATCAGTTGCTTTGCTGTAATAAGGTGGTATTTGAAGCAGATAATTTTCTGAAAAATATTTCCATTTTACATTGTGCTGTGCAAGTGTTTTTTTGGTTAATACTAATAATCTTATCCTTAACATTTCATTACTAATAGTTTGTTGTGAGATATTAATTATTCTGAGTAAATGTCTAAAGTAATAAATACGAGTATGATCATGGTATCTGATAGTAGTAAATTCACTGTCCAATGTGGTAGCACTTTTGTATTAACTCTTACCTGACTTAAAATTACCTGTAGAAAGGCTGTAATTAGTAATATTTCAATGTATTGTTTATAGAGAGGGAGGGTGTGACTTATTGATTATGAATTTGGATGGAGTGGATTATTTTTTATTGAACAAGTGGAGTATCACCATTTATATCTAAATTGTGTAAAAATTGAAAACCTTTATATGACAGTAAGAATGTACCAGAATTTGGAAAGATATTAAAGGTGTATGGTATTTGCTTGTTGTATCAAAATAAATTACCACAAAATTTACTATGAGGATTCCAAATTTTATTTATTTATTTTTTTTATGGTTTTGCTTTTAATTAATATATGTAATCTGTCATCAGTTGTCAATACAACTTCAAAGAATTTTTTTTCTAAAATTTGGTGATATCTGCTTGTTATATTATACTACGTTATACATACCTATATCTTTATACTGTAATATACATATATGCATAACACGAGGGCATTGTGAATGCATGGGATGTAGCATTAACCCACCTTGGCATCTTTTCTTCCCTTACAGCAATGTAAAGGGCGGTATCAGCGGGCAGTGCTCTATGTCTCAGGGGATGCTCTGAGAGTTGTAGATGAAATAAGTAAGGTATGTAAGGTATTGTGTGGCAGTAGAGTGCTCCTGTCTGCTGTGCAGTGGTAGATTTGTGTTGTGTTGTGTAAGCCTCGTGGCACATGAAAAGAGGAGGTTGGACTTGTCGGCCACAGTACCTGCATGGTGGTTTAAGTGGTCATGTGAGGCATCGAACAAACAAACCAAATTCCATATGAGAAGTTTTTGTATGAATATTTATACAAAAAGTTCTTCTCCATTTGTTTTGGGTTTTATTTCTAGTATGAATGAATGCTTGATTAATTTTGATTTTGGTCGAAGTTTGTGATGCCTTACAGGTCCATATTTTCCTCTTTTCACCAGCCCTGTGCTTGGCTTGTTTTGTGTTTATTTCAATTAGGTGTGACTATTTCAGGGAGGACCCAATGCCAAGAAGCAAAGCTTATTGCGCAGGTCTTTTCGTAGAAAGAAAGTGGGTATTCGTGCAATCTTATACATATCGGGAGATTCATTGCGCGTCGTTGAGGAGAAAAGTGCACTAGAACGGAATCCAGATTCAAATAAGGTAACACACATATACATATCTAGTGCCAGCAGTTTTGGTGATCGGGACTACTCCATGGTATATATATATATATGCAACTTACAGTCCAATACCTATATCCCATTTAAAGGATTAGTTTCTTTAATTCTCCTTCAGGACATGACCTTTTCACTCAGATATAGCACACCTGTAGACTTAACCAAATGGCTACACTGTGTCCTTTAGTAACCCAGGATTTTCAAACCTACCATCACCATAATAATTACCTGACCTAATGCTGTTGACGTTGCAGCACTACAGCTGGTTAAATGTTGAAGCCTTCAGTGTCACAGCTAAGTATATACATTCACAGAAAAAGAACCATTGAGGCGCACAGGTCATGGCAGTTATAAGCCTTTTTTACTACTCTGTGGTAAAAGGAGATAGCTATTCACTTGCTTAACTTTTCATGTATGAAGATGACTAGTTTATGAGTTCATTTCCTGATCCTTAGAACCTCAACGACAAAGGCTGATTTCTTGTCTCTGTAGAACTCATGGTATCATCTCTCTTATTAATGAGTAACTGTGGTATGTAACCTTTGCCATTTGATGAGTTTAGCTTGCATGAGCATGCAATCACACACACATACGTACATACACACGCACACGCACTTTTTCATTTTGCATGTTATTTAGTTTTACGTTTCTATGAAAGGATGTGATATCACATAACAGCACCATTGATTCGTGATCTTGTTGAAATAAATAAAATAAAAAAGTAGTTAGAAAATAGCTGAGCACCTTCTATTCCAATCTTAGATCATGATTGCGCTCTGACACAGCTGCCTTATATTGTCTTGATATGGATATTCATTATGGACTGTCTTAGCTCCCAAGCCCCTATCTACATAAATCAATATTTTCACCGTGATCTCCCTCCCCCGAGTCATTCTCATGCTAGACACTCCCAGGTACTGAGACCCAAGGCTCAGGTGTTTCTTCACACACAGGAGTGATTGATTGATCAGCAACCCATTCTTTGAGAGGCTCATTAAGGGACCTTGTCTTACCTTTGGTGATGTATCTTTTTATTTTCTGGAAACCTACGATAATGGCACGATCATTTCAACCGGGAAAAATTAACAATTTTTCAGACACATAATTTTGAAATCAATAAAATTACATTTCTTTGTAGCATTTTGGTGCTTTTACTGTATAGAGAAGAACTATAAGGTAGTCTACTTTTCAATTGTGTTGCTACCACTCAAAAGGAATGTTTAATTTTTAGAAATTTTTACTTAAAAAATACAGTATCTGTGAAATTCACAATTTTCTGGTTGGAATGATCATGCCATTACGACATATAAATTTGAACCACTCATGTAAGCCTGTATGTTTGTAAAGCAGTAAAAAGTGCATTCAGAACAAGCTGATCTAAGACCGCATTCACAACGAGTTGAGCCAGGCTTTACAAATCCTGGGACTAAATATGGCGGAAGTACATGAAAGAAAAAACGCCTATCTTTTAATAGTCTCTCCGCCTCTCACACGCCTCCCCACGTGTCGTCCCTGTGGGGATACAGTCATTAAATCTCGGCTCCATTGGGACGACACATGTACGTCCGCCATATTTAGTCCCTGGATTTGTAAAGCCTGGCTGAACTCGATGTGAATGCGGTCTAACAAATATGGCCTGCTCACTTAAAAGCAAGTTGCCTAATCCCCTGATAGTCTCCCTGCTTCCACACATGCCATTCCTGCAGTGGTCTACCAATTAAACTTCAGAGTCAAGATTTAATCCGTTTAATGGCACATGTGAGGCAGGTAGACCATAAGGGGATAAGGCAGCTTGCTTTGCAAAAGGGTCAGCCATATTTAGTCTGCAGATCAGTTAGTCCAAAGACCATGTTCTGAATGCCCTCTTTGTTAGGACCTCCTTGTTCTTTTTTTTTTTTTTACATAGTTTGAGTATTCTTTTAAGTGTACATGATCACTTTATCAGACATCTGGTATGTTGTCAGTACAAGATACCATTTAGTTTGTACACTCTGCAGCTGTATTTCCAAGACCTTGTTGGGCCTGATCTAAGCTTGACAATGTGGTGAGGTTCTGTTCCTGTCATTTTGTATGAACTAGGCCATACAAAAGGCTTATTACTGCACATCCCTTTGTGGCAAAAATAAATCACAAAGTTTGTACATCTGTTTCATGTTGGTATATTTCTGCAATGTACAAAAAAATTAAATCTTGATAATATCTATCCAGTTTTAACTAATGAGACTGTTTTTTTGGGGGTTGTTTGGGCTTGTACTTGACTGAATTAAATATCTATTTAGATGGCCTGCACTGATGCACAGAAGCCCAATAAAAAAGAAAGAAGTTTGGACAAAAATTTATTTGACAGGGCTTAAATTGCAAGTACCATCTTTCTGTATGATCTGTACTCAAATGCTGTAAGTGCAAGACAAGAAAGATATGCTGATCTTTTTTTCACTAAGCTGAAGTTGAGTTAAAACATTTTAAAGACCATATTCAGTCTGTTAGAACCAGGAAATAGATGTTGACACTAAAAAATATTGTGGTTTTTATTTTTCACACCAGCATTATGAAGGTGTTCCCTTTGATATCAATACGCGTATATGTTCAATTACTATTGCTCTTATGAAGTTGTAGAAGGATAACCCTCTTATGATATACATATATCTATATAACCAGGCTATGGTATACTTACACATTCTGTGTAGTTACCACTATCAGTGATGTTGCCCAAACTGTCTCTTCACTTCTTTTATTATCATTGGCTCAAGTTTGATAAGGAAGAAGATTGGCTTACGGGGCTTTTAAAGATAATATTTCCATGTACAGCAGGTAATGCTTGCACTGGCATGACCCACTTTTTATTTAATTGAAGTGAAGATGGGGAAGAAAGCCTTTGGTATCTAGCCAGTGATACACACGGTATCATGTAAATAAAGGTGCAGTCTGAACAAAGGTTAGGCATGATGTATTGACTTACCTGTTGGTAACAAGTGCATCAGGGGTTTATATAAGAAATAACTGGTATAGAGTATGCTCTGTAGGAACTTTAGGCCTAGTATTTATATATTTTATTTATTTCTTTATTTATTTATTCATTTAGTTATTTTCATAAAAAGAAAAAAAAGCTCTTGCTATTGCTTTGGGGTTTTTATCCAATATTTTCTCCACATTGTTCAGCTTAGTCTCCTGGCTATTAATATAGAATAAGAGGAAGGGATGTTGTGGATGTGATAAAGTGAATCAAGCAAATTTAGCATTGAAGTAATAGATAAATCATGTCATTGAGTCAACAGTGTGGTAATGACTGCAAAAAGCATTTATATTATCAGTAAAATATATTTCATTGACCTGCTGAGTTTTTCCTACCTGTGACTTGTCAGTATGCAGTGTGCTGATAAATATTACAGACAGGGATATTGATTTTGGTCCTCTTTCCTTGATTAAGTGCAATGGTTTGATCACACTAGGTCCTATTCACACCTGACATCATTTAGGTCAGTTCTGAATGATATTTTAAAACATCTGGATCCAGAAGTTTGGTGAGGGGCTGTTTTCACAAAATAAGAATCATAGCCTGAAAGATATAATTCCATAGTGGTCTGTTGAAATGAAGTATTGGTCTAAAACTAAAGCCATTCATTTCCCGTAATAAAATGGGTACAATTTTCAATTTAATGAGAGCACTGTTTTATTTTGTCCACAAGTGACTGAAACTTTGGTTTATGAATTTATTTTTGGGTTATAACTTACTTTTGTGATACTTCCCCCCCTTTTATTGATTATCAGGAAATTGAAATTAACTCCCAAAACCATTGCTAGTTGCAATTGTAACATAAAATCATTGCCTATGTGAACGTGACCCTTGGGTCCCATCCAGAACTTGTGATGCTTTAGTGAGAGAGAGCAATGGGAAAATTCCTTATGGCCACTTCTGTGTTAAGAGCCATTATGAGATCAAGCTGAAGTATGAAGTGCAATAGAATAGATTAGATGTGGTGTGAGCATAGTCTGCAGAAGACGCTTTTATCTCGTCTCTAGATCTGTGGTCATCCCCAGTGGTCACTTCCAGCCCACCTTTTCACATATATTGTGTGATGTATTATATGTATTATTTAGCACAGTCTTGTGTGGACTATGTAAGGATCTGTGTATTATGTGTGCTTTGCTATATGTATGTATTGCTCTAATTATATACTTCTGGGACTGTCATTTGTAGATCTACAGACTTTGAAGATGGATAAGACAACTATAATGGGCTTTATGTTTTCATTTTAAACAGCTTTTCTGTTCATCAACTGCCAATGTTTGAAAATATAAGCATTTATTATATTGTATTTTATGAATATAGTATGAATTATATTGTTAAAGAGTAACATGAAACTGATTATTATAGAGATAATTATTGGGATTCATATTTAATGGACATTTTTTTCCTGATTGATTATTGCGATTCATATTTAATAAAGAACTTTTTGTTATTGGTTTTAACTATTCATGACAAGATGTTGTCATTAGATAACTGCCTTGTGACATGGTGTTATTATTCAATGTAAATAAGACATAGTATAATTTTTTGAAGACTCATGAAAAGCATATTGTTCAAGTTCTCCTTTATTTAAAAGAAAATTAAAGAATTGTTTTTACAGTTTCTCAGCTTGTTGGTATTGTTTTCTTCAGGGCCTGATAGTAGACCAGACCATAGAGAAGGTGTCTTTCTGTGCACCAGATCGAAACCATGAGAAAGGCTTTGCATACATATGCCGCGATGGCACAACACGACGTTGGATGTGTCATGGCTTCCTGGCAGTCAAAGAGTCTGTAAGTAGCACAGAAACTTGGGTTACTTTGTCTGTATGTATAGATGATAACAGGCATATAGATATTAGAGTAAATCGTGATTCCACCTTTACATAAACCTATAGATATATCAGGCTTGATCTGGTGGCAGCTCTGGCACTGGTTGATGGTCCTGGAGCACAGGGTAGACCACCCAAGACAGCCTGTAAATGTCCATTGACAAGATGAATGTATCTATCAGCAGCAGGTAGTGATTTTTGGCATCCCAGAAAGCAAGGTAGACCTATGCTGGCATAGCACATTTTGCCAAAGATGATTTATTTTGGCTGAAAAAAGTGAGAATTGACCTTTCTGTATCATTTTTACATGGCTTTGGTGTAAGTTTTACATCATATGACTGAAGTAAAATTCATGTAACATGGATCCTGTGTGAGGTATTCTATGTGATTATTTGGTCATATAATTTGGTTGGATTCCATACTCTCTATTTTTGTCAGAAAGCTGCCTCAACTTCTGTCACGGAGTCCTTAATTTCTGCTCTGTTCGTCTGTCAAAGAACCGATTCTTTTTGTAGGGAGAGCGCCTCAGTCATGCTGTGGGTTGTGCATTTGCCATCTGCTTGGAAAGGAAACAGAAGAGAGACAAAGATTCTGGTGTGAACCTCAGCGACAGCGCTAGCAATGGTGTCACTGTGACATTCAACAAAGATAAGACATGTTTTGCTCGACAGGGCTCCTTCCGGCAGACAACACTAACTGAGAGGATGGTGGACCCCCAATCAGCCATATTGCCAGGTAGACTTTGTGTTTGACAGTAGAGAGGCTGTCAATTAGATTAACAAAATACTTCAAATTTGAACCTGGTGGAAGAGCTAAGATGTGAAATCTCAATGGTTATGTCTGTGTGTTATTTTCTGGTATTGGATATTTATTTTGGATGCATGAGTTTAGAGGAGTTTTTGAGGCTAGTTTGCTGTCAACATTTGGCTTATGATACAACAGAATTATATTCCTGTAGGCTTAAAATTTCATTTTATTGAAAATTTATGTACTTTGATTATTACTCCTTGTACAAATTGTAAAAACTGACAGTGAAATAGATATCTGTAAATAAGATATTTATACACTTGGAGGAAAGGTATATTCAAAAAAGTTTAAGATACAGTAGTCCAGTATTAAATTGACATCTCTAATGAAAAGTGTTTATTTATTTATTTATTTATTTATTTATTTATTTATTTATTTTATTTTATTTTGTTTTGTTTTATTTTATTTTATTTTATATTTTGCCCCCTTAAAGACTCATTCATTTATGTATAAGGAATATCAATGCCAGCAGCGGCCATGGATGCTCACCTAAAGCATGGATGACTTGGTCGGGCTATAACAACAGCAACAACAAGTAATAATGATATTTTTTCTATTTTAGAACCTGTCCCAGCCAAGGCTATAGAGAACCCCCATGCTGTAACCAGGCCCCATGCCACTCCTGATATGTTGATACGACAGGGCTCCTTCAGGGGCTTCTCCAAGCTGAATCAGTCCTCGCCCTTTAAAAGACAGCTATCTCTACGCTTAAATGAACTGCCGTCAAATTTAGAACGTCACAGAGCCCTCTCTGTGGATTCTTCTGGCATGACAGAACAAGCTAATGGACCAGGTAGAGTGAATACTAGTGACCTATTTCAGAGATTGTAGATGTTAATGTTTGTAAACAAGACTTTTAGTCAATTATACAATGCAAACTTTGAGTATGATTTTATTGAAAGATGCCAGTTTGCAAGAGTGTCACAGAGTGTCTGATACAGGCTTCTTTAAGTTTACAGCCTTGGGCATACTGTTTTTCCCTTCTTGTACGTGAGTTTTGTTAGAAAAAACAACTGGCAGTAATGCCTGATATACATCCAATTAGATAAGCTGTCAAGAGGATTGTTATTAGTGAAATGGGTTCCGTATTTGAGCTGTATATGCCAATCATCACACAAATGAGGAAGCACATTAAGGAATGTCTTCCTTTTGTTTCATCATAATTGCTGGGTTGAACCAGAATGGAAGATGTTTGAGTTTTAATATAATGAACCACACTGTAAAAATATACACCTGATTGTATCTCACAGGTGAAAGATTGTGCAGTTCATAAAGAGTTTCCTTATTTCAGAACAGTAATTGGCTAATGTCTGATACTGTTTAAGGTCACAACAGTGACAATCATTTTTTTCTAACCAGTATTATCATAATGATAGTGATAACTCATGGGATATTTTCCAGCAGCTCCAATCCCAGAAGTGTCTCCAGCCAAAGAGAATAATCCAGACTTTGCCATAGCGGCCATGTGCCAGCAGCTGACCCAGGGACTGACAGCACTGAACACAGAGGATCCATTTGCTGCCAATACAACATTTGAGTCGAATGCATTTACGCCTGCCAGTCCGGCCAATCAAGGTGAGGTTATAGGAAGAATAGGTATATGATTCAAGAATAAAATCATTTATGATATAAAACCCATAGTCTTATGTTTTTATTATTTTGCCCATAATTTAATTCAGCAAGCAGGTTACTTTAAAATTCCAATAGCACAGCAAGATCTTGCTTTTATTTTCTATGAATATTAAATCTATATCTTGTGTGGCTCAAAATCCTGATTGTCCTCATTGCAGTTTTTACCACTCAAGTCCAGAGTCACCACCAACATCAGAGCCCTGTCCAGCCAGTGAGAGACGTGAACCCCTGGGACACCAGTGCTGGCAGCGACTCCTTCTGGCACCCCTCACCATCCCAACCTTTACATCAACCACAGCTACCTGTCTTTAATGGGGCCAGCCATGGACTTTTCCAACAACAACAACAACAGTCTTTTCATCAGGCTCCACATGGAGGGAGTTTACGGCCAGCATTAGGCCACATGCGAAGTCATTCCATTGATACAGGAGAGCTGACAATGTGGAACCAACAGCCAACAAGGAAGCCTACCCTGGCAGAGCTCTCACGCCAACACACCATACAAAACGGGACTATGAATACCACGTGGAGTTCCACATCCTCCTCCACTGCAGCATCTGGCAGCCATCCGTGGCAGACCAGTTCTTCTGTGACCACTAGTTCTGGGTACAGTTCACAACACCAGGCTTTTGATCCATTTGATGCTGCCTGGGCCGCCAAGTCTGTTAAAGGGAACAAATCGCCGACTAATCCATTTAAAACTAACCAGTCTGACAATGTACAGGCTTCATTCGAAGTGAAGTTATAAAAACCCCCGAACAAGAAAAAGTTATAGGAAATTTTGTATTATACATTGTAGTATTTTTTGATGACTATTGTCTGGGGGCTAGATCATGATATTGAAGTTTGTCTGTGTGGCTAGAATTTGAAGCTGTTATGTTGTGAATATGCTGGAGAAATGTAGAATTCATACTGTGGGGTACTGCTTCAATCTAGTACAAGAAAGGTCAAAGCTTGCTTTATTTTTTACTCTTTTTATATTTGGCTATTGTCAGTCCAAAGTCCTTTTCCCTTGGTTTCTGGTCACCATCAGCTGTCTGTACATACAAGTATGTAATGGGTGGTTGGGTTCTAGATTGCTATACTGGAGTGAATGGCTTTCTTTGCATATCAGACTAACCACCAAAAACTGTACATATCAGTTTTGAAAAACTTAAGTAGTTCATACAAAAATATCTTTATTTTATTACATAACAGCATCAGTCGTACGTTTTTGCATGTTTGTGTGTAAAACTGCAGTGGAAGTTGAAGACCTGTTTTTCACATGATTTAGGCCTTTGAGGATGAGAATTCATTTAAATGGCAGTGAAATGGGATTAATTCAAGGGTGACTTTTTAATGTGGCAGAACTGCTGTATTGAACCAAGTGGATGTCCAATAGATATGAAAATGATATGCCTGATGTTAGATAGGTTGTTGTTTTCACCCTGGTTTTTAAAACATTCGGTATGTTTCAACAAAAGGTCACCTAATTACTGAAGGACAGGCAGGAGGGAAACATTTGCTGTTCTTGTGTGTTTGTCTTGAAGAAGAGATGTGAGTTTTTGTAATTTACGGTACTTGAGCTGAACAAGTTGTTAATCCTTTTATTTACTGACATTTTTGCTGATATTTTTAAGGAAAAGCTGATAATGAATTTTATTGAGGAACATTAATCACCGATAAGGTGACCGATATTTAACTTCATTCATTATGGTGATATATTGGAGGTCGGTTAGCTTGAACTAATAAAAACATGATATAGATTCGGGTAATTAGTACCTCAAGAATGCATAAACATTGTATGGATGTTTGAAGAAGTACTGTGTCTTGGCATATATAATAATGATTGTATGACTTTACTGTTAAATGCCCCCTTCCATCCTAACAATTGTGATTACAGAATGGGAAAGGCAGGTGAATTTTTAAGTTCATAAATGCATAATTTCAGTTACTATAACATAAAACTATATTAAATGTGCATCATGTCAGATCAATACCAGGTGCACTGGTGTGTGAATTGATATTTATACATTATATGTTTGATGTTATATCTTGGTGCCAGATTATCTGATTAAGTTGATTGATTGCAGAAAAAGAAAAAAAAAGACTGTGAAACATAAAAAGATTCAGGGTGAATAGTAATCGGTGAAGAAAAATGAATGTTTTCAGTTTTTGTGCAGTTGTTAAATGCAAGACCTGAATTTGCATATGTTGAGAAAATCTATTTTCATTAAGCTTTAGTATTACACAGCTTCAATAATACATGTATACTTACACTTTTATTTTATTTTATAACGAGTCACCTATCATATAACCTACCTTATAATTTTATTTAGCTTGTTTTTATTAGCCATATCTAAGAGGCGCAGAAACCTAGGAGGATGCCTTGTGATTTTAATTGCAATAGCAAGCCAGTTGTTTTGATGTGGTTTTATGGCAACTGCATTAATATCAGTGGTTCTTCAGAAACAACATAGCAGTTCTTACCTTACACATTCCTTCCAAGTTTGACTGTGGTGTCCAATGAGTTTCCATATCATAGTTTTGTCTCCTGGCGATTTGCACATGAGCATAAAATGTTTTAAGATGTATTTTGTAGGGTAAATTTGGAATAATACAACACGCAGGTTTTTGTGTGGAAAGCCCACAATATCCGTAATACACACATCACAATTCAAATGTCTGTGGATTCTGTTATTAAGGTTGACAAAGAATCAAAAGGTAGTATTACAGGAATTTTTACAACATGGGTTCTTGTTATTTATAAAGAGATAATTTAAAGATACTTATGCTTTGAATGTCTGGACAAGATTGAATTTTTCATCTAGCTTGTAGATATTTACTAGTTATATTCTAAATTTAGTTATGTATGTATTATTAATAGTAATATATAATATGTTGACTACTTGAAATACACCTTGTAAAAAGTATTGCACTGGTTGTTAGGACAAATTCAGAATCTGGCGGTACTGTTGAACTTGTACATTTTGTACCTACACCAGTCTTTTTAAATAAAACAAGTCATGGCTCTATTTTTTTGTCATGGTTTTTATTATATACAGACATGGTATGTTCTTGTAATTGTTCTGATTGCTGTGTTTGTCTGTGTTGTCTTTGGAACTGATGCTGTCCAATATGTCTATTGTTCTTTGTAGAGAGCCTTTGGGATCATTCAGAATAGAACATCCGAGTATCAACTGATCCAAGGATCAAATATGGTGAAAGGAAGACTGCTTAATCCTGTAATGGTCTCTCTGCCTCTCACACACCCCCACGTCTGGTCGAATGGAGCTGATATTAAATTACTGTGCCCCTGCAGGGACATTCTATTCTGAGTGGCCCCTCTGTTCTATAAAATGTCTTGAGCACATCCACTGGCATTATCATCTAACCAGAAAGTGGTTTACATCTTTGTAAATATTGATATTGATCACTATTAATCAGTTTTCAGCATATTGGGTTACAGTTTTTGTGCATCACAACAATTAAGCAGTTATGCTGTTGAACAGATTTATTTACAATGATGGTCACTTTTTACATATATTATGTACACATAAATATATATACACAAAATGCCAGAAATGTATTTCAGACTGTAAAAATTCATTTACAGATGGGGTTTTAACTGGCATTTTCATGGTGGCAGCAATCTTACCATACACAGGGAAGATATTCCTCCAAATATTTACAATGAACTCCAACTAGGACTCCTTTTCACCAATGTAAACAAGGCCAGGATTGTTAGTCAGTATTACAGTCCATGCAAATTCATAGGACCTCTAATGCTGCAAATACAAACTTAACTAAGTTACTAATATTTTAAATTTCACTCCGAATTCTCAATATTCAAAATCCAAAAGAGGCATGTAATGTTCCTTGTTTACTCCCACCCCTCCCACCTGTAATCAAATATTTCTCTGACATGATCAAAATGGACAGTGCCAAAAGGCTGAACTAAATGGATTTCTGTATGTCCATGCTAAATGATATGGATTATTATTGATATCAAACAGTTCACTGTATGGTTCATTCTTTTTCTCCACTGCAGCACCAAATATAATACAAACAGTTTGCAGATTGTTGTTTTCTCTGTCTTCAGTCTAAGTTGAAAGGTATCCCATATTCCTACTCCAGGCAAGTTATACTTGTCCTTGGGAATAAGTGTCATTTAGCTTCTCAAAGATGGGAATGGGTGGCACAAGAGTTTTCATAGGCTAAAAGAAAAATAAATATTTGGTAACAACTTTGTCAACTTGTTACTAAAACACGTTTGCAATATAAACTTCAAAGCTAATCGTCATTACACAAAGTTATAAATTACAGCCAGTGTTAGATCTTTTTACTATTCCTCATAACTCACCTGTTTAGAAATGTGTTTGTCAACTTGTTCCTCTACAAAATACTTGGTGCCATATGGTAGGTGGCCATACTGTGAGGTGGTGTGCAGCAATGATTCATAAGGACGATGTCTCTTAGAGAAGGGTACAAATCTGTAAATAATTTAAACATAGTGAAACACTCCACAAAACAAAACAATGAATGTATTACAATGACAGTTATAACTCTATCAGTGAAACAAACTAAAAAGGATCTAAACTGTTAAGAAAAAGCAAATATTATATAATTATATATAGAAAAAAGTAAAACTTTAATGAACACTTACAAGTTATCATTTATTCTCCCTATCCATTCATCCTGCTTCATTTTTTCTCTTGCCTTTTCTAGAGAAGTGAAATCTGTGGCTACTCTCAGGGAAGGCTGGAAAGGTTTGTAGCGCTGTTTCTGAACCTCACCTGGGTCTCGGAAAGGTCCCTAGAATTAAACCATAAGGTTGTCACTATCTTCTTCAAAAATAAAAATTTTACCAACATAAAAACATGATAATGGAAAATTTCTTTCCTGAAATCTAAGGATTGTTATATATGTTTTTTTTCTAGTGCTTCACTTAATAACAACAAGAATTGTTGAAAGAATATTAAAAATAATACTGAATATCATTTTAATAGCACTCCCTTTGTATTAAATCTATTATAAATATATTTTGTTTACAATTAAGAAAACTCACCTGTGGTTTCTCTCCAATAGGAGGTAAAGGTTTTGGACCCAAATGTGTATAACTTTTACAAGTAGGGTCAAATGGTTCTTGTTTTGGCACAACTTTCTTGTGACTTCGCGGCCTGGCATTCTGCAAAATATACTCTCTTTCCTCTGGAAACCTATTGAGAATAAATAAATTAATAAATACTACAATGAACCACATAAGATAAACATAGTGTTTTCTGTAGGATGCTTTTCTCCAATCTACTAATGACATTCATAAATCATTTAAGTAAATTTTAACCAAATAACAATTCAAAGAGTTTTAAAATTTGGAATCAATTTTAAATAAAAATAAAACTATAAAACAAAAAATACTCACGGATAAAAAGGTGAATTATAAATCCCTGGCATGACCTCAGTGCTTCGTAAGTAATGATTCTTGCTGGCCCATTCCTGTAGTCTCCTTCTCACTTCTTCCTCTGAGTGCTTCATTCTTTCAATGGCCTGTTGTTCTGCATACTCCGACAATTCTTGTCTGTCATGAAAAATAATTGGATTTTTATTAAATGTTTTAGATAACATCCTTTTTAAAGTGCTGGTTTAATATTTTAACATTATTGCTCAAGTAAGATAAATGATGCAAGTAGAAGCTGGGACAAAAAAAGGAAACAGAAGCATGGTTACCTTATGACTTGATTCTTTGTCTGCAATCCTTCAAGATATCTCTTTCTGCTGTAGTAGTTGAAGATATATTTTCTTGTATAATAGGCCCTCCAAATTTTCTGAATCTTAAAACAGAAGAAAGTCATCTTAATCTGCCTCATACTTAATATTCACTTTATAATTAAAAAGTACAAATTTAATTTTCTGGAACTTAAAATAAGTTTTTAAAAAGTAACTATCATAACCATTTAAATCTAAAATACAGATCAACCATCAAGTATATCAATGCAAATGAAAAGTGCATTATCTAAAATAATCATATTATCTTTCAAAACTCCTAGCTTTTTGCTTACCTTCACAGCCATCTCATTGTAATGATTCATCTTCATAATGAAAACTTTATTCTGCAAAAGAAAAATAAAATAAATCACACATTACTCAAGAAAATCACAAATAAAAAAAAATCCAAAAAATTTGTTTAAATAAATTTTCTGACTACATTTAAATTTCCTTTGAATCAGTATTGCAAAAAGAAAAAAAGTACATATATATTAAACAATTAAGAAAAATTTTTGCGATAAAATACAAGGTATATTCCCATTTCTCTTCCAGTGATGTTGTAAAATATAAAATGAGTTATTTATTCAATTTATAATATTTTGATGACAACACCCACCTTAACATATACTCTGTAGTGTTTCCTTCCCAGAAATCCCCTCCATCGTTTTTGAATAACTATTGCACAGTCATTCAAATACCTAGATTCAATAAAATCAGAATATTGTAACACTTCAGAAAATCACTGTCCTTTTTTAATTATTTAATTATTATGACCATCAAACTAATTTTTTCCTGTAATTTTTATTCATGTCATAATTCAAATTTAATTTTTATCATTATCATTCAAGTGATATTAAACTATTTTTTATATCATTTCTTTTTTTTTTCTATTTGCTAGATCTAAACCAAAACCTAATATTCATGGTTTTTTTTTTTTTTTTTTTTTTTTACATTATAAGTGACCATTTATGTTCATTTACCTTAAATATGCTCTTGCCTTTTGACCTCTGTACCATGCCTGGATTTTGATAATTGACTGAAACTCTTTTTGTCTTTCTTCTTCGGCTTTACTGCAAGACACAAATCAACAATCTGCGAAACATTTTTAACAATTAACTGGTTTGTCACAAAAAACTTTATATCACAAAGTTCAGAGTATGAAAAAGAGGACCTGTGGAGGCCTGTGTCATAAAATCCTTGTAAGTAACCATATGTAAGTAACAGTGTATAAAATGTATACGTGTTATTGAAAAATAATGGTTTGATGGATTGCACAGTGACGATGGAATGTCTGTACACTTGTACATACTGGATCAGCAATTTCAGTTAATTCATTGTTTTCTTTATTAATATTTGAAACAAAACCAATGTTAAACGATGGGATTTAAGATTCTAAGATACACTCTATTGCTACATGTACATGTACATGTAGCTATTTAAAAGCAGTATGGCTTTGAGTATCCAATGTAATATTTAGATACAGAACAATGATGAATATAATAAAAAATACACATATAAACAGTTCAGGGTATCAAATACAGTTGTCTTACTGAGCAGAACTGTTTTGTTCATGGGGTAGATATATAGATCAAGTTCTTGAACAAAATATTTTGACGTTGCACCTACTGACAACGCCACAGGTCAGGATCCAACTTTCATTTTCAGTTAAATGAAAAACAAAATAAAATTTCCACTAAAAGAGTTGCATACAGCACCAAGAAAATAGGACATTAATCTCCAAAAATAATTCACTCACTTGTTGTTATCGTAGCAATCCTGTAAAATTGGATCCACTCTCTCCATCAATTTAATCATGGTCGCCATTTTGAAACACTATTTACCCCGGTGGTCTCTAACTGACGTCACACATGTACGGAAGGCATTTGATCAAAAATCATTTGTAATAAGATCTTTAATGTTTTATCTTCATTTTGCCATGAATATTACCAGCCTCTGTAAACGATGACAATAATTACACTGTACATCTTGTAAAAAGTACCAAAACTATGTTCTCTTAATTGACCTTGACCTCTATCCTTAGCAACCCCAAACAGTATGGCGGTAAAGGTACACATGTACACGCTATTCAAACAGTGATCGCGAAGCGGTCGTTTGTGTACCTGTAGTTACTAGTAGGAGCAGTAGATTAGAGATGACGGCTTATATGCCACCAATTTCGAGGAAAAAAAGGGTGGAGGCGAAGTTTGAGTAAGTACATATATATTTTAACATTTGTAGAATTATTGTATTTATTTATACAGTACATAGCAGTATGTTATTGTTATCTTAATGCTTTACGTCCATAAATAATAATGATATAATTCTTTGTTAATCACAATGGCTGGGCAATAGGTATATAATATAGCCAATATGAAACAGGTGGATTACAATAAATATAGAACCACATTATTTAGATAACAATTTATTTGTAAGTAATCTGTATACTTTCAGCTAAATGTATAGCCTTAAAACAAAAGCAGCAGTTTGTTGGCATCATGGATATTATTTAAACATGAGGATGCCACCTTGTATATATATGTTGCCAAAAATCAAAAGCAGCTATTTGATGAAAACAGATAGCTGCATTTGCTTTCATGTGAGACTAATATTTAATTTTCTCATGGTTATTAATTACAATACGAGGTATTCACAGGTATTCATTATATCTTTTGAATGATATGAATTTATTGTAGGGCAGATAAAAACGTTCTTTTTTTAATGTAATGCTTATTCTTTAATATATATTTTTTCTTTGGGCCAGAATTTTAGGTTTTTTTCTTTAGGCCAGAATTTAAGTTTATTTGATTGCTTGACAGGTCCCTTTAGTTTAAAGGATAATTTTTTGAGTCTTAGCAATACATCGCACATGAGATTTATACATTACCAGTACTATATAGCACTTAAAGACTATGTCAGAAATTATTTGGATAATGATTCCTGTTACCATGTATAAAGGCATATTAATTCAGCACCTGATATACCTGTAACTGAAACCTAGTTGGGTGAATACACAAACACGACGCCAAACAATTGAGTAAACTACACAAACATGCTTTATATTGTTAAGAAAATAATAACTTTTCAGAGGCACATACACCCCACTAGGTAAATATAAATATCTTAAGTATTTGAATAGTCTGAGTGTTTGCATAGGTTTTATTTTCTAATGAAATGCAATTTCTACATAATGTTCATTCTTCTATTTGCAGCCCGAACACTTTTCGCATTTTTGGCGATAAAGGAGTCACACGGCAACAACCTGAGCCTGTTTATCCAGAAATATCACAATACCATGTTGACTATGATGGGATATGGGCACCTCCAGCCATACCAAGGCCAGTGCCCGATTACAGAATAAACAGGCCGCATGGACTCAGTGCCAGCTTTCTGAGGCATAATTGCAGATTTCTGAATGAGCCCATATGTAATGTTACCACACAGAATGTTCATGATGTACAACATGAATGGTACCCTGGTATGCCAGATCCTGTGGAATCTGCATCCCCAAGAAGAACATTGGATACAACATTTAGATATGACTATAACAAACTTGACATCAAAAACCCTGGACTTACAAGGCATGGATGTAATCCTAACACCAGTGCAGCTCTTGGCATAGGTATTTAAAATATGTGATTTGATTTGTAAAAAAAAGTTTTTTAATTTTTTTAATTTTTTTTTTTTTTTAATAAATGAAGAAATATTATTGTTGTAGTGTGTTAAACATTCTTTTAGTATTTTAAGTTGTATTACAGCTTCCTATCCACATGAAATAACATATGTTCTGTCATGCTAAATGCACTTTTGCTCCTTTGCAGTGCCAGTCAACCCACTTCCAGAGAAAAATGGCTCCCATAGATTTTGGAAAGAAAGGATTTCATATGAGCATCAATATAATTCCAGAAAGGATCCGAACTATCCCATAAGAGCAAAGGTAAAATATAATATGTATTAACATCAATAAGTATTAAAATAAGAAATTTTGAAATTGTATCAAGGATTACCTTGTGCTCCAGTTGTCTGAAAAAGCAATTGCGCTTTATTGGTCAATATACAATTATGTATGAGTCTTCCCTGCAAAATTTGAGAGGTCAAATGCAAAGAAAATAATCGCACCATCTGTTTCCTTATAGCGCCATGGCAGTTTTGTGTGGGACAGCATTCCAACAGAGGTTGCAGTGAAATATGCCAATCGACCTGGCTACTCAGCCAGTAGTCCAGTCTATGTCCCCTCCCTCCTTACCAACGAGATGCGTCGTGAGATGACCATGCCAGCAAACTTGAAAATGGGTCAGTGCAATGGTTCCGCAGGGAGCAGAAATGGTAGTGCCAAATCACGAAGAAGCAGCGTTGGAAGTAAAAGTGCTGAGAAACAGAAGCAAGGAAAAGACAATGCTATAACTAACACTGTACATAAAGAAACTTCAGCACAGAGGATTGAAGTAAAACCAAGCACAGGAAAAAGAAAACAAGAAGAACCAGAAGAGAAATTAGATGGCATCCGTAACTTGGATTCTTCATAAGAGAAATTATTGTGATGTTGATTTAAGTGTGAAGGTTTTTTTTTATTTCTTGTTTGTTTTCCAATATTTTCATTTCCCACTCATATTCAACCATGGTTTTTATTTCATTCCTGTTGTCTTAGCACTTCTATACATTTAAAATATAATAGATTGAAAATTTCAATTGGTTAATCCTTCACTGAGGTGAATAAGCAGAGCAAATCATTGTTCTCTAGTCAGTTATCGGTTTGGTAAAATACCATCAAAATATGTTAGTTTAAGGTTTTAAAAGTAACTTAAATCAAGCTTAAATGGTTCAAATTTGACAAGAACATATAAATGGAAACAAATGAGATTTCCAAAATCCCAAACTGTATCAGATTTTATATTAATTGCTCAATTTTTCTGTTATGTAGTTCTTCGTAGACTTATTTGTATGTTTTTCTACTACCAAAAAAAGAGGTTTTGTGTAAATGTTCTTCCATGCAAAGGGTTTGCTGGTTTGACTTTTTAAATACCTCTTATGCTTTATTGGTCAACACTTATTTATGAAGGAAATACTTTTTAATGTCCTTCTCAAGGGTAAAAATCCTTCCATATTCTCATTTAAAATAACATTATGAAAATACCACCATTTTAGACATATGTATTCAAAATTCTTCCTTCACAATGTGTGTGATAAAGACAACTGGGCCTACAAAAATCTGGCCACTTTAAATGTTTTAAACTGTCTTTGTACAAATTAATTTTGTGAATTGATTAAATAAACCAATCTAAAATACAGTTTTGCTGTTTTGTTTCTATGTGAAAGGTCAACCAGGGAGAAGAGTACTTATACACCTCCAACTCATTTACTAAAAGGATTCATTTTCAATCTTTTTTCAAGCATTTCACATTTTCTACCAGCTATTTAACTACATATTCAATATTCTACTCACAAGTACAAACAATACAGATGTCACATATTCAAACAATAACTATGAAACAAATTATTCAATATTGTAATTGTATTAGAAAGGCCACATACAATAGATTTTTATCAATTGGTCCACATTTAAACATTTAGATGGAATGTAGATTGTGGTCACACATCAATTCTGTTGGTCACAGATTCCTTTTAAATATGCATAAAACAACTGATTAGACCCAACAATATTTGTAACTATTGCCAAAGATCACAGCAAATGCATTTGCAAGGTCTTCTTACTGAATTAAATGATAACAATGCCAATACTGTAAACATAATTGGTCCCAATGTTTTTGGAATGTTTCATATAGCACAGAGAGGAAATACTTCTATCATTTTTTTTCTTGCATCTGGATATCTGGTCCCGTTATCAGATGCAACAAGTATCCACATAAATATGTCTACATACTGTGACAAATATATTTTACATGTATTTCCAAATAATAATGTATTTCACAATAATATACAAGTAACAAACTGTACACTACAGAGGGAAGCCACATGCCACCTACAGTGCTTTGCTTAAATATATCCCCCCAAATACCATTAAGAGTCATTTCTAAAAAAATGTATGACTTAAAAAAGTTATATAATATATTTACAGGGATTGCATAAGTTTAATCTAAAGTAACCTAGTCCTCATTTTCATGTCAGTAAATAAGAGAAGGGATGCTTCTAATAAAACCATCACAGTAAATAGTTAACCATACATGGTATTTAGGCATTAATTTTAACTGTGGTCTTATCAAAAAGGTACAAATATATATATATTAAGGACTAAAAAACATGATATTGTCAATATATCTCAAGATCTATAAAGCAAGATGTCACAGATATTTATTGTTAAGAGATGCTACAGAAGATCACTAAATAACCAAATTATCAAATAAGTCCATCAATAATGAAATACTATATTAGATCAAATAGCTTTTGGTCAAAACATATTGTATATTTTAAAGGGTATCAAAAGCCACAATATTTACAGATGATAATTAATCACTAATCTACTATAATATCTTAACTGTTACACACAAACTGGTCCATCTGCAGTGCATGTCAACTTGTCATAGCTTTAAATGAACAAGTCTGTTGATCACAACAGTTCTCATATCATTAATTCTCATATACATCAATGATTATGTGGTTTTGCATTTGATGAAATCCTTCACATATTTTTTTTCTTTCTTCTTGTGCACAAGTTTCATAAATTTCATTTTCTTAAAAAAAAGTGCTACTCCCTGATATCAAACAGTTTGATAACTCTCACTGCTCCTTCTGGATGGACGCGAGTGACGTGCTTGATGCAATTACCACGTAGGTTTGTGCGGTGGTCACAGTAAGGACACTGGAAAGGCTTGGCATTCACCATCTCGTGCATGATACGAAGATGCTGGCGTAATCTTCTTGCAGTCTAGAATTAGTCAATAATACACTCAGAAATGTTTAATAAAAATTCAAAGTAAGCCACATGATTTCACAGAAATGGTCAAATAAAAGAAAAAGTAAAATATTATATGAAATATTTTTCACATTACTTTGCACAAAAAAAAATTGTTTCTCAATTTTAACAAATTAAATCAATTTGTATTTACTATTTCAACATCAATTACAGAATATTTTTGCATTATTAAGATTTAAGTTTTTTACACAATAAATCAGAAATCCTATTTCTACAAACAAGAAAATATAAAAGAAATACACACCTTTGTCTTGAAACTACATTCTGGGCACTCAAATGGTTGCTCACTGGAATGTACTGTTAGGTGAGCCTTTAGCTGATAGGGCAAACGGAATTCTTTTTTGCAGATGTGGCATATATGGTCTTTACCTGAATAATAAAAAAAAAACAGATTGATGTTCAACAAATCAACAGAATCACTTCTTATGCTAAATAAGACACAAGCATTACAACCAAGCTTAATATCTTATATGAAAACTTCAGGCAACTGAAATTTTGGAAGCTGCCTTTAAGAGGATTCTTGATTTGCACCCAAAAAGAGGTATAGTGACTGTGTCTACACACACTTCAAATTTGTCTTTCCATTCATTGTGTAACTCTACTTTCTACTTTTTGGTAACTAAGGTCCTTTTCACAGAGTGGTACATTTAAACTAATTCTCAATGAGATGTCTTTAAGTGATATAACAGGGATTTTAACTCCCTTTTCACAAGATTATCACCTGGCATTTAGTTAACCAACTGGCCAGTTCAAGTGCTGGGCTCCATACAACACTGTATGAAATAGCCAAGCTATAAAGTTGTCAATCTCTCAAACTGAGACCAGTCCAGTTAAATGTACCACTCATCATGGAAAGGGCCAAAAATGCTATGATAAAATATGGTGAATACTCACTTGGCTTATGTATTGTGACGTGTTTCTTCATTATGGCTCTCACAATAGTCTTATAGCCACACATACTGCAAACGTATACTTCTTTATCTGGAGTCTGAACTTCATGTCTACAGAACAAATGGTCTAAAAGAAAAGAGAAATGTATAATAATAATTTTCAACCATTAAAAAGAATAAATACTAATAGGCATACTACAGATGTTACTATATATAAGGAAAACTTGCTCTGACTGTAACTTTCAATTAATTCAATATCAAAATTAATATCCATATTAGAAGAAAGTATGTATTGACAGATTACAGATTATAAACATTTGCAAGAAGATCCATTAAAGCCCACTCTTTTAGTCTAAAATGAGAAATTGATTATATATCACATCATCTAACTGAAAAAATTGTTAGTAGAAAACTTCATGCCATCATAAACATTTAGTTAACATTCCAGCAACTTGGAAACAAGTTAATAATGCATGCTAGTATAAACATTATTTTCATGTAACTGTATTAAAACTATTTTTCCCTACAACTATTTCATTGACAACTTATTTCAACCAAGCCAATGCTTTACACCATGCAGAGCACACTAAAAACTTCTTTTTTTTATATATATATTTTAAAAATATAAAATTTAAAGTTAATGCCTATGAAATATATCAACTTTTACCAAACTAAAGGTGAGGTAAAACTTTAAACAAAAAATCCTACTCTTTTGGACATCTCATAAAAAGGTGACCAATACTAAAACACACTCATAAATAAAAATCTTATCATCTGAAGAAAAATTGTTTAACTGGCTTTTCATGCAGTTTGACAAATATCTGGGTGCATGCCACTCATGACATGCAGCACATTAAACAAGACTTTGATGTAATGCTGATACAATGACTTACTTACTCTAAATATAACAAGCTTTGCACTGCACATCTTTAATTTCAAATTCAAAATAGTCTCTCTAGTCTATATTTCAAGCTCAGCCATAATGCAGGGCATTGGAAAAAAAACAAAAAGACAAAACTGTCCATCTTTTATGATAAATGTTTCTAAATGGGTGCAAGCAATACAAGCTCTATTGTAAAACTTCCATGCAAGTTAACATTTCTGAACTGACCTTTCAGCAATAGCTGTTGGGGTTTACTGGTTGGTATCTATTTAAAATTTTCTAATATAAAAAAATAAATTCCATAGAATTTAATATTCTTAAATGTGAAAAATAAGCTATTCATATAGGGTCAAAGGTTTCCTTGCAAAAAAGAATAATACTCACCTTCAAATTTTAATTTCTATTCGAACCAACGGTCATTATTCATTTTAAAATGCTTTAATAGCCAAAATATATTGAATACAACTGAAACTTATAACTTACTTTTTATTTCACTAAATTATATGAATTCTTGAAAGGGTAACAAAAAAGAATTTTGTCAACATGATACAGACTCATCTGAATTAAAGTCATGAAACCTCAAAACGCACCTTAGTCTATCTTTTATTACACTTTTGTTTAGAATTGTTTAGATGAGCAAAACTTAAGTTGTTCAATAGTAGCTAGAGGGCATCTTTCATATCTTTTGACACAATCTATCAAAATAATATCTTAAACTTTATTTAAAAGATTACAATAATCTACACTGTAAAAACATGATAGCATGCAATCACATGTCTTCAAAAGTGTTTACACCTGCAAAAGTTTGAAAGCTTGATATGCAGGCCCGTAGCCAGCAATTTCAAAAGGGGGGTTCTTTTTCTGAAAAAGTGGACCTTTTCCCATAAAAACTTCATGTACCTAGATCAAATCTTACCCAGAGTGGACCTTTTCCCAGCAAAAGGGGCGGTTCTTTCAAACCCCCCGAACCCCCCCTGGCTACGGGCCTGATATGTGTATGCGTGTGTGAGAGAGAGAGAGAGAGAGAGGTGGGGGAGATTTTCTTAAAATCAAATAATAGCAAAAGCTAGTCCAACACCTTCCAAGCATACCAATGTCCCTTCAAGTAAAATAGAAAGTGGGTAGGTATCTAAGCCTCTATTTCAATTTTAGACATAATCATTAAAACATGAATTAGTCAACCATTATTTTCACATTTTAAATTTTTATAATCAGTATGAATGACCCACTCCCAAAACAATTAAGCAGGCTGATTTTGAGATATACTGAGTGTTAATTTATTACAATTATTTCAAATTTAAAAAGAATTATTTATACTTTTTAAAATTAATTATATTTGCATTGACATGTACAGTCTTAAATTGTACAATCAAATTCAGTTTGTAGAATTGATGCATAAATGGTTTCCATGATACAGAAAATCAAGTATGTTATAATTCAAAATGATAGCTTCTAACGACTGAAAAACCATTATTACCACACTGATATTACAGTGTCTCATGGGGGGATCATAAAAATAGTGGTCATGAGAATCACATAAAAAAGGGGTCAAACAAGTTGGCCAACTTCCAAGTCTCTCACTGTTTACATATTGGTTCTTTTTCTAAACCCCAAATTCAGAATTTGAGGAGACCAATGTTAGATGTCATGGTCTCGCACTGCTTGGAATATGTGAGCAGTGTGTAAAATCCATAGAAGCCCAGAGTTTACTATGTGATGACCACAGTGTAAGTATTCTTGTCTGCAGCATGGTAGCTGGTGTGACACTCCTTCCAAATATTTGGGTGTGTGCTGTGTGCTTTTCAATTTCTACACTAGAAAATAAAGCTACATGTATACATATGTACCTGACAGAGCTTTCAATCACATCCATGATCTTATTCAGTGTGATGTCATATGGGATGATCACTGCTCACCAGTGCTTTGGTGATTGTGGTGTCCCAAATGTGTGACAATTGGTGCCTCCCCCCATCTCTGTTCAAGCTTGGGTTATGTGCCCTGATGTAAATGGCCTCCTTAACCCCCCCTTTCATACCAAGAAGGCCATTTCAAAAGCTCTGTCAGGAAAGCTCTACTTTCTAGTGTAGAAATTGAAAAGTGTAATACTTGAATCATATCATACGACTGCTCAGATGAATTTCCATTGGGTAGGTAAGCAGATAACAGTTCACAATTTCCTTGCAGGACTCCTGACCACTAATTTTATGATCACGCTATGATATTGTGGTTTGAGTCATTAATTCCCTGTGCACAATGACAAAACCGAGGCCCAAGATCACGAACAGCTTATTCTTTTACAAGGTCTGTAGAAGAACCTATCACTATAATTTTAATTTTATAACACAGCTTAAAATACTTAAGATATTTTATGCATATACTGTATGTTAAATACTCACTTCTCAAAGCCATATCTTCATTTGTCTTGTAGTCACAATAGTCACAGCACAAAAACTTTCCCTTCCCGCAGATTCTCTCATGCTTTCTTATTGCAGATGTTGACCTGAACTTCTTCATGCATTGTTTGCAATCATAAATCTTCACCTCCCTATGAGAATGCCATGTCTTTAAATGATGTTTCAAGTTCCTTTCATGCAAAATAAAATGAAATGACATTAAACTTTACAGTAAATACTATCCTTTTAACCACAGAATAATATTTCCTACATTATGAAAGGAGGATAATATGCTAAGATGGATTACCACTTTACGATTTCTGTGAACATCTATTTCACTATCACTTTCATTTTTTTCTTAATTGTCATAATTTTGGGGAATCCAGGCAGACATACCAAGCAATTCAGCACAAGGAATACCAAAGAGTGGAAGGCATTCTTCAAAACAATAGCAATTACAGACTAAAGTCACTAAGATAAGACAGAGCAATTATTAGTTTCATTGGGAATTATTAGTTTCACCGATCCCAATTAAGGCAGATTTTAAATCTACACAGGGCCAGTCCTAAGTGGGTATTATCCACAGAATAATTTGTTGCCATATGTGATCAACCCACGAGTGCTGGGACTGTGGATTTAAAATCAGCCTGAATTGGGACCTGGCCTGCGACATGTACTTTAAACAATGTGCAATTAAATCACTTACAATAAATAAAATCACGAAATGTACTGAATAACTTTCAAAGGAATTCTTTTTACCTTAATGTTTTAAATTTTTTGTCACATTGTTGACAAGAAAGCTCACTTTTGTCCTGATGCCGAAGCAGCAGATGACTGGTTATATTTGCTGGCATGTAAGTAACATAGCTACATCCCAGTACTGGACACCATATAGCCTCTTTCATCTTTGTACCATGACTCTTTGCCAAGTGCCTTTGGAGGGTATGTTTTCCCTGAGAAGTGCTCTTGCTCTTGAAGCTGCATCCTTTAACGGGGCATGTAGCTGGCATTCTGCAAACAATGTGGTGTTTAAGATGATGTAGGAAGGCCACATAGCTGGATGTTTTAAAGTCTGGGCATGCCTTACAAGTGTATTCTCTATGATGCTCTGCTTTAATGTGATCCTGGACAGTCCAAAAGTCACCATATGTGAACTCGCACAAGTCAAATGGACAGAAATGCACTATCTGCCCATGCAGACTAAGAAAGTGATTTTGGAAAAGTTCTTTGTTCTGGAACTTTTTTTCACAGTGGATGCACTTAACCTTTTGACCTTGAAATTTCTTTCCTAATCCATGTAATCTTGCTTGGTGAAGGATCAAGTCTTTCCTACACTTCAATTTGGTCAAACAAAATTCACATGTAATCTTGCCTGATGCCTTGGGACGTAAATTCATCTTGAGTGCTCTTTCTGTTGGTTCTTGAGATACTGTATCAGAGCTCTTATGGGTGTGACAAAGTTTCCGGTGAAATTTCAAATCTCGCCTCTTTCGAAAGGTTTTCAAGCACTGCATACAACTCACTTTTCTTCTGACAAATAGGAAAGTTTTTTTGTTACTTCCCTCTTGTTTTATTGCCTTTAGATAATGCCGCCTTAGACTGAATCTATTTGTGCTAAAGAACCACTTGTGCTTTTGCTGCTGATGCAAATGGTAGGCCTGTGGATGCTTAAAGTCTTCCAAACAGTAACCACATGTATATTTGACAGCGTTGTTTGGGTGTTTCCCAACAAACTTACTATTGGAAGATTGAAATAGTTTGCTTTCAGCTGCTGACTTTGAGTTTTTGGTTTGTCCCTTCTTGAAATGATCTGACATTTGCACTGTGTTTCCCTTCAATCTGGACCCTTTTGAAATCAATGAAGGTGCCCCTTGTGTTGTGGTGACCAGCTGCTCAAATAATGATGATAACCTTGATTCGGATGATGAATTCTGAGGAATGCCTGTATTTAACAGATTCCTAATGGCTCCAGTTTTAGGTCTCATTACACGATTCTTTTGTGTGTGTGACCTTGACATCATATCATGTGCAGAATTTTCCACCGTTTCAGGTGGCAGTTCTTCAACAACTCTTACTTTTATTACACTCCCCTGGTCATCAACTAATTCTATGGTTGGTTTCACATCTAATAAAGAGGAAGGGTCTGTGTCCTGTGCCTCGGCACCAAATAAATGAGAAAGGTCTGGTTTAATATCTAGATCTTGATCTAAGTAGGCATTATGGCTCAAAGTACTTTGATTGTTTCCTCCATTGAACTGATCGGGTATATTTTTGTCTGCAACTGCAGCTTCGTACTCAGAAGTGTCAGGCTCAGTTTTTACATTAACCACTTCAAATTCAGGAATATCCATGTAATCTTTCAGTAGTGGACTGACCGAACTTGCATCCCCCTTTTCCTGATCTGTTTGTTTGCTTTCAATGCTTTGAGGGGCTGCTGCTTTAGAAGACAATGCTTGATGCCATATATCTGTGATGCTTCGAACTGTTTTTGATGTAGTTCCCACTGCCTTTGATTCACCATTCAACATGGATGCCACACCTTGTACTGTCTTACTGATATCTTTGGTTGTAAAATTTGTTGTGGCCTTAACAACACTTGATGTAATTTGACTACTGCTTGATGTGGCTTCCCGGGAATCAACCGATTTCTCTGGCATCACCGTTTTCAGGACGTCTTGAGAAATGCGTTGCAGAAGGACTCTCGGTTCACCAATCATGTCACAATCAGGCACTGTGACTTTCTTTGGAACCAATGGTGGCAATGTTCCAGGTGCCTTTCTCTTTTTATGTGGCTTGATGGCTAGGACTGGAGGCTGACGTGTGCTCAAATAAGTCACTGTATCTAATCTGGGGGCTAGTGCAGTGCTTTTTTTACTTTCTTCCACTGAGCTGAGACGTGACTGTGCAGTTGACAATTTGACCACACTACTCTGGTTGGCAGAAGCAGGTACACTGAAGGACATTGGCATATTAGATATCAAGGTACCAACCATGTTGCCCGAGTTAACACGAGACGGACCATTCAGCTGAAATAAAGGGGGAGTCTGCACAGGATGAGCCACAGAGTTATTGCTAGCGCCAACAGATTTCAAAGGTTGAGGATAATTCACAGGTACCATGATCGTCTTTGTTAAATTTCCCAAGGTTGCTGGGGGCGTGGCAGCACCTTCATGACCAGGGAACTGAACAGGTAATACTGAAGGCTGTGTTCCCGAGGGCAATGCACCTATTGTTTTGAAAACCACTGAAGATGGATTGGTCATCACCTGACTTCCAGTTGGTGCTTTTTCTGCTGATGTTGCTGTGCCACCTGCAGCATTTATCAGTGGCGGCATGGTCACTGGAACAACTTTCAGAATGGGGGTTAGTGTCTTGGACAGCAGGGATGTCGTCAAAGGTAGGATGTGAGTGTTCAGGTTGGCAGAACCTGCTGGGGGTGGTGGAGTTTTAAGGAATTTTGTGTTCAAGTTGAAAGTACTTTGTGACTGGACCAACCTACGTTTGCTATCACTCATTAAAATTTTATTTCCAACTTCTGCAACTGGCATTATCTTTTCTAATCTCTTTTCATCTTCTTTCTTTGTTTGTTTTCTGAATTCATTACAAATGGAAATTGCAGAATGCACAATTAATCTATTAGCTGCATTCGAAATTTCAACTATATTTTCTTCTCTGAGGGACAGCTTTTTCCCATAGATAAAATTTAAGACTGCAGACAATCCTTCTGATGTTAAATCAGGAAATAAGTAGTCATTCGCCAAAATCCCCATTTTCAACAGTGTTCCAAAATATTCTGAAAAAGTTACTAGCAGCACCTGCAAAGAAAAAAATTAAAAACTTTCTCAACATGTTATTTAGCACAAGAAAGTTATATTTAAAATGAATGACAATTGGGCTTCATTTTTTGAAACTATAAAGTAAAAATATTAAATAAATGATATTATAATTGTTTCCATGCCAAAAGCTTACATGGACATCCTTATATTTCGAGAGTTTATTGCTCAAGGGTACGATATTCCGAAGACTGTAGGAGCCAAGTTTAAAAAAATCTAACATTGTTCTGAGTGCTCTATAGTCCCAATGGTGGAGGGTCCGATATTCTGAATACTTCTTAGTCTGAGGATCTGTTATTTAGAAAGAGGTTATTGATGCGGTAGCTGCACTTAAAGGAAATGGTAGTACATTTGCATGTATGTGATTTGCATATTTGTTTAATTCAAAATGTATCTACAATTAAGTTTGAATTTATTCAAATATACATTAGCATGGCAGGCTGTGGATTTCATCCACAATAACCTCTCTTTCCTAATTTGAATATAAACATATACACATGGATCCATCTACTATTATAGTTACATTTCTATCATTTGCCTATTATTTTGCAACATGTGTGTATTAGTAAATCGGTATATTCACAATCTTGTTGCCTGAACTCATACTTCGCCTCATATACTCATCCCTCAGAACAAAAGACCATCAGAACAAGCCCTTGGAATATGGCACCCAATCTAAAAAAAATCTCACTTTTCCAAATAACAATTTGACTTACCTTGTGTGTCTTAAATGTACTGGCTGGGCTATTATCTGTTTTGGTTCGCAATGTCATATCACACAGTAAACCATCTTCTCGCAGTTGTGCCATATGTTGAATTAAATGTTGATCACCGTGACTTTCATTTTTTGCCTCAGTTTCTAATTTTGCATCTGAAAAAAAAATGAAAATATCTATATTACCAACTTGCTACATATAAATAAAATTTTAACTAATTACATGAAAAAGTCTTGGTAGAACAGGTTTTGCTGACAAAAATACTAAGTTCCAGTGATATTGTGCAATTTTCTTCTCAAAANTTAAGTCATGAAACCTCAAAACGCACCTTAGTCTATCTTTTATTACACTTTTGTTTAGAGTTGTTTAGATGAGCAAAACTTAAGTTGCTCAATAGTAGCTAGAGGGCATCTTTCATATCTTTTGACACAATCTATCAAAATAATATCTTAAACTTTATTTAAAAGATTACAATAATCTACACTGTAAAAACATGATAGCATGCAATCATGTCTTCAAAAGTGTTTACACCTGCAAAAGTCTGAAAGCTTGATATGCAGGCCCGTGGCCAGCAATTTCAAAAGGGGGGTTCTTTTTCTGAAAAAATGGACCTTTTCCCATAAAAACTTCATGTACCTAGATCAAATCTTACCCAGAGTGGACCTTTTCCCAGCAAAAGGGGCGGTTCTTTCAAACCCCCCGAACCTCCCCTGGCTACGGGCCTGATATGTGTATGCGTGTGTGAGAGAGAGAGAGGTGGGGGAGATTTTCTTAAAATCAAATAATAGCAAAAGCTAGTCCAACACCTTCCAAGCATACCAATGTCCCTTCAAGTAAAACAGAAAGTGGGTAGGTATCTAAGCCTCTATTTCAATTTTAGACATAATCATTAAAACATGAATTAGTCAACCATAATTTTCATATTTTTAAATTTTATAATCAGTATGAATGACCCACTCCCAAAACAATTAAGCAGGCTGATTTTGAGATATACTGAGTGTTAATTTATTACAATTATTTCAAATTTAAAAAGAATTATTTCTACTTTTTAAAATTAATTATATTTGCATCGACATGTACAGTCTTAAATTGTAAAATCAAATTCAGTTTGTAGAATTGATGCATAAATGGTTTCCATGATACAGAAAATCAAGTATGTTATAATTCAAAATGATAGCTTCTAACGACTGAAAAAACATTATTACCACACTGATATTACAGTGTCTCATGGGGGGGATCTTAAAAATAGTGGTCATGAGAATCACATAAAAAAGGGGCAAACAAGTTGGCCAACTTCCAGGTCTCTCACTGTTTACATATTGGTTCTTTTTCTAAATCCCAAATTCAGAATTTGAGGAAACCAATGTTAGATGTCATGGTCTCGCACTGCTTGGAATATGTGTAAAATCCATAGAAGCCCAGTTTACTATGTGATGACCACAGTGTAAGTATTCTTGTCTGCAGCATGGTAGCTGGTGTGACACTCCTTCCAAATATTTGGGTGTGTGCTGTGTGCTTTTCAATTTCTACACTAGAAAATAGAGCTACATGTATACCTGACAGAGCTTTCGATCACATCCATGATCTTCTTCAGTGTGATGTCATATGGGACGATCACTGCTCACCAGTGCTTTGGTGATTGTGGTGTCCCAAATGTGTGACAATTGGTGCCTCCCCCCATCTCTGTTCAAGCTTGGGTTATTTGCCCTGATGTAAATGGCCTCCTTAACCCCCCCTTTCATACCAAGAAGGCCATTTCAAAAGCTCTGTCAGGTAAAGCTCTACTTTCTAGTGTAGAAATTGAAAAGTGTAATCCTTGAACCATATCATACGACTACTCAATGAATTTCCATTGGGTAATTATCTGCTTACCTACCCAATGAATTTCCATTGGGTAGGTGAGCAGATAACAGTTCACAATTTCCTTGCAGGACTCCTGACCACTAATTTTATGATCACACTATGATATTGTGGTTTGAGTCATTAATTCCCCGTGCACGATGACAAAACCGAGGCCCAAGATCATGAACAGCTTATTCTTTTACAAGGTCTGTAGAAGAACCTATCACTATAATTTTAATTTTAAAACACACCTTAAAATACTTAAGATATTTTATGCATATACTGTATGTTAAATACTCACTTCTCAAAGCCATATCTTCATTTGTCTTGTAGTCACAATAGTCACAGCACAAAAACTTTCCCTTCCCACAGATTCTCTCATGCTTTCTTATTGCAGATGTTGATCTGAACTTCTTCATGCATTGTTTGCAATCATAAATCTTCACCTCCCTATGGGAATGCCATGTCTTTAAATGATGTTTCAAGTTCCTTTCATGCAAAATAAAATGAAATGACATTAAATTTACGTAAACCTACATTATGAAAGGAGTATAATATGCTAAGATGGATTACCACTTTACGATTTCTGTGAACATGTATTTCACTATCACTTTCATTTTTTCTTAATTGTTGTAATTTTGAGGAATCAAGGTAGACATACCAAGCAATTCAGCACAAGGAATACCAAAGAGTGGAAGGCATTCTTCAAAAAACCAATAGCAATTACAGACTAAAGTCACTAAGATAAGAGCAATTATTAGTTTCATTGGGAATTATTAGTTTTACCGATCCCAATTAAGGCAGATTTTAAATCCACACAGGGCCAGTCCTAAGTGGGTATTATCCACAGAATAATTTGTTGCCATATGTGATCAAGCCATGAGTGCTGGGCCTGTGGATTTAAAACCAGCCTAAAGTGGGACCTGGCCTGCGACATGTACTTTAAACAATGTGCAATTAAATCACTTACAATAAATTAAATCACGAAATGTACTGAATAACTTTCAAAGGAATTCTTTTTACCTTAATGTTTTAAATTTTTTGTCACATTGTTGACAAGAAAGCTCACTTCTGTCCTGATGCCGAAGCAGCAGATGACTGGTTATATTTGCTGGCATGTAAGTAACATAGCTACATCCCAGTACTGGACACCATATAGCCTCTTTCATCTTTGTACCATGACTCTTTGCCAAGTGCCTTTGGAGGGTATGTTTTCCCTGAGAAGTGCTCTTGCTCTTGAAGCTGCATCCTTTAACGGGGCATGTAGCTGGCATTCTGCAAACAATGTGGTGTTTAAGATGATGTAGGAAGGCCACATAGCTGGATGTTTTAAAGTCTGGGCATGCCTTACAAGTGTATTCTCTATGATGTTCTGCTTTAATGTGATCCTGGACAGTCCAAAAGTCACCATATGTGAACTCACACAAGTCAAATGGGCAGAAATGCACTACCTGCCCATGCAGACTAAGAAAGTGATTTTGGAAAAGTTCTTTGTTCTGGAACTTTTTTTCACAGTGGATGCACTTAACCTTTTGACCTTGAAATTTCTTTCCTAATCCATGTAATCTTGCTTGGTGAAGGATCAAGTCTTTCCTACACTTCAATTTGGTCAAACAAAATTCACATGTAATCTTGCCTGATGCCTTGGGGCGTAAATTCATCTTGAGTGCTCTTTCTGTTGGTTCTTGAGATACTGTGGCAGAGCTCTTATGGGTGTGACAAAGTTTCCGGTGAAATTTCAAATCTCGCCTCTTTCGAAAGGTTTTCAAGCACTGCATACAACTCACTTTTCTTCTGACAAATAGGAAAGTTTTTTTGTTACTTCCCTCTTGTTTTATTGCCTTTAGATAATGCCTCCTTAGACTGAATCTATTTGTGCTAAAGAACCACTTGTGCTTTTGCTGCTGATGCAAATGGTAGGCCTGTGGATGCTTAAAGTCTTCCAAACAGTAACCACATGTATATTTGACAGCGTTGTTTGGGTGTTTTCCAACAAACTTACTATTGGAAGATTGAAGTAGTTTGTTGTCAGCTGCTGACTTTGAGTTTTTGGTTTGTCCCTTCTTGAAATGATCTGACATTTGCACTGTGTTTCCCTTCAATCTGGACCCTTTTGAAATCAATGAAGGTGCCCCTTGTGTTGTGGTGACCAGCTGCTCAAATAATGATGATAACCTTGATTCGGATGATGAATTCTGAGGAATGCCTGTATTTAACAGATTCCTAATGGCTCCAGTTTTGGGTCTCATAACACGATTCTTTTGTGTGTGTGACCTTGACATCATATCATGTGCAGAATTTTCCACCGTTTCAGGTGGCAGTTCTTCAACAACTCTTACTTTTATTACACTCCCCTGGTCATCAACTAATTCTATGGTTGGTTTCACATCTAATAAAGAGGAAGGGTCTGTGTCCTGTGCCTCAGCACCAAATAAATGAGAAAGGTCTGGTTTAATATCTAGATCTTGATCTACGTAGGCATTATGGCTCAAAGTACTTTGATTGTTTCCTCCATTGAACTGATCGGGTATATTTTTGTCTGCAACTGCAGCTTCATACTCAGAAGTGTCAGGCTCAGTTTTAACATTAACCACTTCAAATTCAGGAATATCCATGTAATCTTTCAGTTGTGGACTGACGGAACTTGCATCCCCCATTTCCTGATCTGTTTGTTTGCCTGTGCTTTCAATGCTTTGAGGGGCTGCTGATTTAGAAGACAATGCTTGATGCCATATATCTGTGATGCTTCGAACTGTTTTTGATGTACTTCCCACTGCCTTTGATTCACCATTCAACACAGATGCCACACCTTGTACTGTCTTACTGAAATCTTTGGTTGTAAAATTTGTTGTGGCCTTAACAACACTTGATGTAGTTTGAGTATTGCTTGATGTGGCTTCCCAGGAATCAACCGACTTCTCTGGCATCACTGTTTTTAGGACATCTTGAGAAATGCGTTGCAGAAGGACTCTCGGTTCACCAATCATGTCACAATCAGGCACTCTGGCTTTCTTTGGAACCAATGGTGGCAATGTTCCAGGTGCCTTTCTCTTTTTATGTGGCTTGAAGGCTAGGACTGGAGGCTGACGTGTGCTCAAATAAGTCACTGTATCTAATCTGGGGGCTAGTGCAGTGCTTTTTTTACTTTCTTCCACTGGGCTGAGACGTGACTGTGCAGTTGACAATTTGACCACACTACTCTGGTTGGCAGAAGCAGGTACACTGAAGGACATTGGCATATTAGATATCAAGGTACCAACCATGTTGCCTGAGTTAACACGAGACGGACCATTCAGCTGAAATAAAGGGGGAGTCTGCACAGGATGAGCCACAGAGTTATTGCTAGCGCCAACAGATTTCAAAGGTTGAGGATAATTCACAGGTACCATGATCGTCTTTGTTAAATTTCCCAAGGTTGCTGGGGGCGTGGCAGCACCTTCATGACCAGGGAACTGAACAGGTAATACTGAAGGCTGTGTTCCTGAGGGCAGTGCACCTATTGTTTTGAAAACCACTGAAGATGGATTGGTCATCACCTGACTTCCAGTTGGTGCTTTTTCTGCTGATGTTGCTGTGCCACCTGCAGCATTTATCAGTGGAGGCATGGTCACTGGAACAACTTTCAGAATGGGGGTTAGTGTCTTGGACAGCAGGGATGTCGTCAAAGGTAGGATGTGAGTGTTCAGGTTGGCAGAACCTGCTGGGGGTGGTGGAGTTTTAAGGAATTTTGTGTTCAAGTTGAAAGTACTTTGTGACTGGACCAACCTACGTTTGCTATCACTCATTAAAATTTTATTTCCAACCTCTGCAACTGGCATTATCTTTTCTAATCTCTTTTCATCTTCTTTCTTTGTTTGTTTTCTGAATTCATTACAAATGGAAATTGCAGAATGCACAATTAATCTATTAGCTGCATTCGAAATTTCAACTATATTTTCTTCTCTGAGGGACAGCTTTTTCCCATAGATGAAATTTAAGACTGCAGACAATCCTTCTGATGTTAAATCAGGAAATAAGTAGTCATTCGCCAAAATCCCCATTTTCAACAGTGTTCCAAAATATTCTGAAAAAGTTACTAGCAGCACCTGCAAAGAAAAAAAATTAAAAACTTTCTCAACATGTTATTTAGCACAAGAAAGTTATATTTAAAATGAATGACAATTGGGCTTCATTTTTTGAAACTATAAAGTAAAAATATTAAATAAATGATATTATAATTGTTTCCATGCCAAAAGCTTACATGGACATCCTTATATTTCGAGAGTTTATTGCTCAAGGGTCTGATATTCCGAAGACTGTAGGAGCCAAGTTAAAAAAAATCTAACATTGTTCTGAGTGCTCTATAGTCCCAATGGTGGAGGGTCCAATATTCTGAATACTTCTTAGTCTGAGGATCTGTTATTTAGAAAGAGGTTATTGATGCGGTAGCTGCACTTAAAGGAAATGGTAGTACATTTGCATGTATGTGATTTGCATATTTGTTAAATTCAAAATGTATCTACAATTAAGTTTGAATTTATTCAAATATACATAAGCATGGCAGGTTGTGGATTTCATCCACAATAACCTCTCTTTCCTAATTTGAATATACACATATACACATGGATCCATATAGTATAGTTACATTTCTATCATTTGCCTATTATTTTGCAACATGTGTGTATTAGTAAATCGGTATATTCACACTCTTGTTGCCTGAACTCATACTTCGCCTCATATACTCATCCCTCAGAACAAAAGACCATCAGAACAAGCCCTTGGAATATGGCACCCAATCTAAAAAAATCTCGCTTTTCCAAATAACAATTTGACTTACCTTGTGTGTCTTAAATGTACTGGCTGGGCTATTATCTGTTTTGGTTCGCAATGTCATATCACACAGTAAACCATCTTCTCGCAGTTGTGCCATATGTTGAATTAAATGTTGATCACTGTGACTTTCATTTTTTGCCTCAGTTCCTGATTTTGCATCTGAAAAAAAAAAGAAAATATCTATATTACCAACTTGCTATATATAAATAAAATTTTAACTAATTTCATGAAAAAGTCAGGTTTTGCTGATAAAAATACTTTAGTTCCAGTGATATTGTGCAATTTTCTTCTCAAAACTATAAAAAAGGTTTTTGGGCAATTTTTATGCAATATTACATAATGTCTCATGGTTCTTCTCTACATGGGTTTAAAAATGCCTTTCAGTCATACTTGTATCCTGCAGAGCTTCCTACATTTCTAAATACAGACCTTAAGACAATAAAACAACTTAAATAAAAGTCAACTGATCATGATCATCCCAATCATCCCAGCTGGGGGCTGAACTTGGCCATGGTGACTGTAACATAACATCTATCATTCCCTTGTTATGATCACAAACTTTAAAGGAATTGAAAACAGTACACAATGATAACTTTCAAAGGGAGCTAAATTCATTGGTATACATGTATATTATAATGCTGTACAAAAGGGTAGAAGTTTTGTATGGCAGTCAAGTGAAGAGATTGTTTCTGGTAATTATATTTTCAAATGAGGTTTCCAAAGTAATGTATTTACCACCAGTTGCACTTGCAATGACTGCAGATCTTATAGAAGAAACTATAGTTCCTGGGGCACCCATTTCCCAAAATTCTCTTTAGCTAATGATCAATGGTTATCCTCTCATTAGTTAGGAGTGCCATTTCATGAAACTATTGCCAGTTCTCTCCTTTGACCATCAACCTTTGAGTTTTATCACACCCATGCAAAATAGATGTAATAAAAAAGGTTGCTTAATACTGGTACTCTGTTTTGTCTTTATAAAATATGGCAGATGCCTGTGTCATTTGTGTGGCCAAATGCATCAGCTGTAAGCAAAGGAGTGTTCTTTGTATTAGCTTTCTACTCTTCCATTATTGTCTGTGTGACCTTCATTTTAACCTGATTACTTAAGCATTTTGACATTTTTTTCTCTTTACTGGTGTTTCAAGGCCATTTTCTTTGCATAGGTTTACATGGATTAAATTATTTGGGTATCTTTTCAAAGAAAAAATACTCAGTATCATAAAAGATACAGAGAGGAGTGAAAATACTTGGTAAAAAAAGAGGCATGTATAAATACTTGGTAAAAAAAGAGGCATGTATTTGTCCAGGCATGTTTGACAAAGAGTTATAAAACAAATTATAATAGGTTGGCAAAAAATGTTTTTTTTTTATTTTAAACTGCACCTTCTTCAAACTTCTGATCATTAATTTGGCATATATATCTCTCCTTCCAGTTTTAAGTCTGCCAAATGGCTTATTTATGTGTGATTCATTACAGCTTTTTTTAGTGGTTTTGTTGTTCTTAAGGTCTGCATTAGGAAAGGAAAGCACATGCACCTGTACAGGATATAAAGACGAAGAAAACTGGACTCTGGTATATTTTGAATTAAAAAATTCTGCATGGACTGTCTGGTATTAATATTACTGCAAAGCATATGTGAGAAAAAAAAAACAAAAAGCTTCCCATTTTGGGAATCTACACTACCTATTTTTAAACCAAGTGGGACTCCCTCATCATGCATATCTTTTGTCATATGGCTATCCTTCTTCTCTAACTTACTTTCTTCTTCCATTTTTCCTAGAGAAAAAAGAAAGAGATAAACAGATGAAAAATATAAATGAAAGAAGTACACAAGATAAAGACAAGAAAAGACATCATAGGCTGCAATTTTTTGTTTTAGGTTTTATTTAGAAACTGCTTTTAAATCTGGTTTTGTGTTCCTTATCTAGCATGCAACACTGTGGATTTAAAATTCTACAAAAAATCCAGTTGATACCCAAAGGCTGAAATATCTAAAACTTGCATGTGGTCTATGTGGGTCCCCTCATATTTATTTTCAACAAGTGCCTGCTTATAATCAGGGTCTAACATCCAGGGTCTCACCAAGTGTCACACAACTACATGACTATGACAGTCATCTAAAGTAAAGATCACATTTTGTCCGATATCTTTATCAATTCAGACACTGTTACAGTATGTTCAATGGACAAATGCATATGTATGGCATCTTGACAACAAAATTTCTCAACTTTAAAAACACTGTTTGAGAATGAAAATTTACATACATATACATCCATTACTGTAAAAGCATTTAACATCATAAAAAGAGACAACTCTTATTTTAAAGGGATAATAACTCTTCGTATGAGATCTATATTTCACAATAAAAATTGTAAACAACTCATAAAAATATAACATATTGTTGTACCGCAAAAACGGCAGTTATAGCTATTTTGATATCTGAGCTTGTCAGAGTATAGCCATCAATGGAGGACCACGTGACCTCCATTGATGGCTATACTCTGTTATAATCTCTTAAGAGATTATAACAAAAAAAAACTTTTTAGAAAAAAAAAAACAGGGACCAACTTTGAATGTAAAAATGGATACATTAACCATTGGTAAGTATGGGAAAATTGTTGTTTACTCCAGGAAAATTCATCTTTTGGCCAAAACAAAGAGTTATTATCCCTTTAAGTTTTCATATCAAATCATAAATATATTCATGAACAAATATACATTTCATATTTTTATATTAAATGAAAATAATTTCTTGATAAGCAAAATAATAAACAAAAAATAAATGATATAACTTGTAAATGTGCAATCACCTCATCTAATGTCTGTACAGTTTAACTTCAGACAGAGCAAATGCCATCCCCCTTCAAGGACTACAGGTAGGACATGGTGTACATGGACACTTCCTTTGTTCTGATTATAAAGAGACCAAGTAACCATTTGCTAGTGATTTTAAGGCTAAATTAAATTTTCACGTTCCTAAACTGTAATTCGACAAGTGCAACAGAATCGGGGCAATTTAGTTCATAGCACCAGGAGTTTATGTCATTCATTATTAATGAATGCTGTATGCGCACGCAATGCATTGTCCTTTACGTAAAATTTCCACGGAAATGACTTGGACAGAAATTGGAAAGGCCTGTGCCTGTGTTCCAAAACTTCGGCAAATCATGTATATCGTTTATTTTAATTATGTATTACGAACATATACTTACTATTTAACCATAAAGATTCCACATCTAAAGTGGATATGTCTGCATTCACAAGCGGTGAGACAGAGCCCCACCACTACGACCGCTTCTACCAGGTCGTTTTGCCTCACCTGTAATCAAGAAATTTGCCCAATAGATGTCGCTAAATTGATATGCTGCAGGAAGACACCAACTTGAAGTCTCTTTCCTCAAATTCTGTTTAGCAGTGTATCGTTCAAGATGTAGGTATATTTTTAAAAGACAATGTAAAACTAATTCAAATATGATGTGATTGCTGCAAATTATTCCGTATAGGTTTTTCAAATTTCATCAAAAATATTGGCTCTTCTTGCTCTTTCAAGAGAGGAAGTTTTTTAGTGATATCCATCGGTCAGACTAAGTCGAACAATAATAAGGCAGAAAGGTTTTTCTTCACCATGTTGTATCTTTAGGACCACCTTAAACAGGGAAACAACTTAAAGAACAGGTAAAATACGGTTATCACACCCTTTAATCTTGGCCGTATAATATACAGTTGCCCAATTATTTGCGCTGTCTCTCTCTTTCTCTCTCTCGCTCGCTCGCTCGCTCTCTCTCTCTCTCTCTCTCTCTCTTACACACACACACACACACACACACGTGACGAGTACAATTTTGTTACTATAAATGTGATTAATTTTTTTTGGAAAACTACCCTTTTACAACTGAGGCACCACAGGGTCAGGGGTCCCCTTTGCCTCAGTTTTCAGCTTTACATGCTTACGGTACCCTTATTGTAGTGGGATGATATCTGCAGTAAGTACATATGTACCTTAATTAGAAGCAAAGAAAGCTGGAAACTGAGGTATTAGCTTCTGTGGTGAAGTAGTGAGAAGATTGTTGTTTACTGTTTGTTTGTTTGTTTGTTTTTTTCATCTGTGCATTGCTCTTTTTTATTCATTTTATTAATTTTTTTTAGGTTTGAATGATAATTTGAATATTTACAATAGTTTTTTTTTTTTTTTTTTTTTTTACTAATGTACGTAGTCACTGTAATAATTGCAAGCTAAGCCTAAACTAAAAAGAACCATACTCTCACACTTCTGATTAATTCTCTTGCAGTTTATCTCAGAATAAAGATGCCAGGAGAAAAAACATTTACCGTGCGCCCTAGTGTTCTGTATCCATCTGAAATCTTATCTAAATTAAATGCATGGCGTATGCAAGGGACCTTTTGTGACATCTGCCTACAGGCTGTAGATGGGACTAGCTCTGCAGCCCACAGGTTAGTCTTGGCTGCAGCTTCCCAATATTTTGCCAAGATTTTACAGGAGGAAAGTTCCGACATTTACAATCTTCGTTTAAGCCAAAAAGACCTGGGACTGCTTTTGGATTATGTGTATGGAAAAGATGTCATCCTAACAATGTCAGAAGCAATGCTCCTGAAAAAAATTGCAAGTGAATATGGGTTTTCTTCACTTTATGAAACCTTATCAATATGTGTTCTCAAGAATCCTTGTGCAGATAAAAAGAGCATCCTCCCAGAAATTATACCCAAGAATGTAAAAGCTGTAGGGAAAAATGAAAAAGAAACATTGGCAAATGTGATTCTAAAACCGTCAGCTGAAAAAGAAAAGAAAATGGGCCTCAAGAAAGGCTTCAATACCAGTTGTAGAATATTTTCAAAAAAACAAAACCTTTTATATCTGCAAATAAAGAGAAAGTATCTTGTTCGTGCTCATTACAAAAAGAAGTTTGTCAGATCAAATGAAAAGTGGCATGCCTGTTACAAATGTTGCAGCTGTTTTATGTCAGCTAGAAATCTTCATTTTCATGAAAAACTTAAACACAGCTTCACTGGAAAGGCTTCAACCAAGGAGTTAAACAAGCTCAAATGTCATTCTCAGACAGAGAAAGAGCTTAAGGTCTCCCTGTCTTTGAAAGCAGGACAAGAAAAGATTGAACAAAAAAGAAGAAAAATCAAGGTGTCATCATTTGACGTGTTTCCTTGCTCATATTGTTTTAAAGAATATAAAAGTTATGACAAAATGAAAAATCATTTAAGAACATGTGCCACGAAATTGGATGCTATTAAGAAGATTAAAATTAATATTAGAAATCAGACTGCAAGAGCTGAAGACTATGAATTCCCTGAAGAAGATGACGAAGAAAATCTGGGAAATTTGGATCCAATCTATGAAAATTCTTCAGAAACCAGGACACTGTATGAAACAAATATGAAAGAAGATAATATGAGTGATAAACAAAGAACACAAGATATTATGGACATAAGAATAACCAGGAGTGTGGCAACAACATCTTTGCTTCGATATCAGTTTACAGCTACAAGTATGGATAGAGAAAGACTCATCACAGATGAATCTGTTGAGGAGATTTTGGCTTGTAGCATTTGTGGTGCAGAACAATTGTCAAGAGACAGCCTGCAGCTTCATTTGGCTGTTGAACACCTTCAGGGTCCCAGGTTTACCCGGCCCGTACCATGCCCTGTGTGCTCAGTGCCATATGATTTCAAAGTCTTGCTCCTAATTCATGTGAGAACTAAGCATGTTAAAGAGGAGCAAATTCACACCTGGAGTCAAATCTCCGTCTGTGATGAAAATGGTTGCAATGCAATTCTGTTGGGTTCTGCTGAAAGGGAGAGACACATGGACATCCATGCAAGGAGGAAGGAGAGGAATAAGAAAACATTTAAATGCCTGAAGTGTACAGCGGTCTTTGACTCTTCTAGCACCCTCCGGGATCACGCAAGGGATTGTCCAGGCGTTCCAAAAAAGTTAAGAAGTCCAAGTTATAAGTGCAAGTTATGTGGAGCAGGGTTTGTAAAGATGCAATGTCTGTGGCGTCATGAGCATACAAAGCATGGTATAAGCCATGATGATAAAAAGCTACACTGTGCCCACAAATCTTGTAAGTTCCAGTGCTTCACCTCAACACAAATGAGCCTTCACCAGAATTGCCACAAAGAGACTAAAAGTTTTGCCTGTGACAAATGTGGCAAGACGTACAAGGCAAAAAAGTAAGAATCCTTTTTATTGTGCAATATAAAAATTGTTCCACCGAATGTAATCATAAAATAGGAATTATCTTAAAGGACAATGTCTTATTCTTAAAGGAAAGCTAGTTTGGTCATTGATAATGTGACACCTGAATTGTGATCGTCTTTTCCTTTTTTTTTTTTTTTTCTTGACTATTTTCATAATTATTTGATTTCATTTGTAATATATGTCATATTTATCAATGATAAATTATATATAAAAACTTCATTACTTAGGAATTTACACCAGCATTACCGGCTTATTCATGAGTTAAAAGATAAGCAGATATGCAAGAAATGTGGGAAGACGCTGCGCACAGCTTCAACTTTACAAAAACATGAGACCAGATGCGGAGTTAAAGACAGACCACTCAAGTGTCCTCAGTGCAACTTGAGTTTTATTACAGCTGACTCAGAAAGTTTAGATTGTATGTACACTCACATTTTAAAAAAAAAACCCTGCTTCATTTAGATGAGGCTTAGAACTTGAAATTTCTTTTAAAAAACCGATTAAATCTGCCTTCTAATATTTTCAACAATCAATTTTTATTTTCAGAATTATACATTCAAGTAGTTTTTGCAAGATGCAAGTGAACTAATTTGATTTGTAAAAAATGATATGTTGATTTAATGGCAGAGAATGTGAATTTATATATAAAAAAAATGTATTGTTTCAGATCACATGTTTGCTAAACATGGCATTGTCCCTAAAAACCGTGATATACACATATGTGAAGTGTGTGGCTATCAGACTACCAGGAAGGCCATTCTAAAGAAACATTTAATTTCTCATTCAGGTAATTTTTTAATAGAGGTAGAAAGTGTGTGTGTGTGTGTGAGAGAGAGAGAGAGAGAGAGAGATTAAGACACAATGTTGGAGCTGAGCTGACATAATAAAATGATTAACAGTGGTCTTGAATACCAGTGATAGTTCAAGGAAGAGTAGATGCCCACTGAAAAGTATTCTGTTGCAATTTCATGTAAAAAAAGTGAATTTAAAAGGATATATGATAAAAAAGTATTCCATTTCAATTACATTTTAACTTGGTCAAATTCGATGTAACACCTGTTGTGTTCTGTTAGTGGAGGGGAATAACATAGATATATTTGCAAATATTTAACAACAAAAATATTTTCAACCTTTTTCCACTTAAAATGATGATTTCTGTTTTGTTATATTTCAGAGGAGAGAAATTTCAAGTGTTCATATTGTGACCGTGCATTTAAACACAGAAATACATTACTGCAGCACACGAAAATTCATTCTGATGACAGACCGTTCCAGTGTCAAATGTGTAATTACAGTGCAAAGGTTAAGTTTTTTACTTGTTACATTTCTTTTACACAAGGGGCATTTTTGGGTCTTAGCTTAAGCTTACAGATTTTTCCAGATTATTAAACACAGTTGCAGTTTGTTTGTCATTGATCCTTGTACTTTTGTTATGAATACTGTGACATCAATACCATTACCACAGAGCTCAAACTTAAATGTAGCAAGTAGTGTACACAAATTTACTTAAGATGTTTTGTTTAGTTTTGGAGATGAACAGATTTAAAGCTTAGGCTTTATACCATCCTCTATGGTGTGACATGTTTTAGTGAAAAAATGGGAATTATTAACTGTAGGTTATTTCTTTAATGCGGAATATCTTATGAAATTTCCTTCCTTTTTCCACAGAAGAGCACAAGTTTACAGTCGCATATACGACTTCAACACACCCACAAGGGCTTAAAGCCATACAAGTGCCCTTACTGCAGTCACTGTGCCACTGTGAGATGGAACTGCCACAAACACATTACTACTGCACACCCTGGTAAAGAAGTCAGAGTGGAGTTATTAGCCTGTGAGCCTAGTGACCAGAAGGTGGCAGCACAAGATGGGGGGACCACTGATGAGTTAAGCACAGGGAGGAATAACCAGAATGCATCCACTGCAAGTCAGAATTTGAGTGAGAAGTCTAGTAAAGACAACAGATTCCCACCTTCTTCTAATCTTCAGATATATCAGTCAAGCAGTGGGAGCCTCCCTGGTCATCTTAACACATCTGGGGTAGAAAATGCAGGTGCAACAGAAGAAGGTCAAACCCAACAGAAAGATAAGACACTTTACAGTCCTGGTGTGGACTCTGCAGTGTATGATATAGGAACACTCATGAACTCAAGTGGTCTCTGGTGAATAAAATTGTTGACATAAATAAGGTTATTATAATAACAATTGTTATTGTTATTCATGCAAATCTCAGAGAATATTACAGAACAAGCATTTTTTTCATAAAATAGTTTATTTGAATATACATTTTTACTGTTTTGATTTTATGCTTAAACAGTACCAAGTAGGCTTGTTAAGAAACAATAGGAAAATAAGATTCACCGGGCAAGACTAGACTAGAACTAGACTAGAAAGAGTTAAGAACATTGAAATACTTTATGAATACGACTGCTTGAAACAGTTAATATCAAATGATAAAAAGCATTTGACAGTAAAGTGAATATTGATATTACAGTGTATGTTTCATAGTGGTTGGGATTCTGAAATGAATAGATTGGCATTAAACAAATAACGCATATCACATAATGCTTACTTTTAACTAGATAGCTGTTCAAGTGAGGGGGTCTGTTTGAAATTGATATTACAGTTTTCACCCAAGAAAAGCTGCTGTTATGTCATCAGCTTGAATTAGGAAATTCATTCAGATGTATTTTTGATGTGATAGCTTTATCTTACAATAACACGTTATCTATATAGAAGCAAATAAATCCTAATGTAGGGAACCCTCTTAATATCCTCTTCTTCACTGAAAGCGTTCTTATAAAAATAGAAAACAGTGCATTATTTCTTCCTCCATGTCCAATCTCCTTTTTTAAACATTTCTATTTCATTTTGCTTCTTCGTCGTATGAGAAATATTAACAGTATTTGGAGAAAGAGGTTTGTTTGTTGGGATGGGTAAACCACGGGGCAGGTTCTGCAAACAGTCTATCTTCAGAGGTTCCATACCCACATTGACTAGAATATGTGTGTATAACTTAAAATGTCTTTGTTTAACTACACTATAATGTACTGAATTCAATCCGTCAGTGTTTTGCCTCTTCAGGGAAGTTTTCAAAATCTTCATTCTGAAACATGAAAAGAGTAATTGCATTTTTCTCTAAATGAGACTAAAGCAGAAAAAGAAAATAATGTTTACAATATAATGCAGGACCATGATGAAAAAAATTGACTGAATTTGGAAACAGTAGGGTAAGACATTTTGATATTATACGTATAATAAAATAATAAATATTACAAAAAATGTTCACCTGGCTGTATTTATAGTTCTTTTCTGGTGTTCAACAACAAAATATCTCCCAATACTGAAGGGATGTGGTCTTGTAATTTTGAGACTTGTATGAAGAATCCTGTAAAAAAACAAGACGGTAAGGAATGTAAAGGTTCCTCATTAAGTTTCTGAGGTGTTTTGTTTGAATAAGGACCACACAAAATCTGAAAGTCTAATGTCTGAAGATATGTAAGACAAAGTCTTCCCAACTAACTGGACTCTCAATTACCAACAAACGGCTATATATTTCGTCTGGATAGCTAGAAAAAATGGAGATTGTGTTTATTAAAAGCATAAAGTAACACAAACACTCATTATCAATTTATAGGTCCATAAAACCTTTTTTAATTAAAAGTAAGTGAGCAGAAGAATTGTTTGTCCAAGTGGAACCTTAATAACATCAGTCTTGCAGCTTGAAAAATGAAAATAATATTTTACTAGATATATCTGTTCCCATACACAAAAAACAACGGTCTAAATTTTAAACTTCCGTTACTGTCACTCATAGCACCATCTCACATTCTCAAATCATTCTAGTTTATTTTTACGAAAGCAGAAAATCTGCAAATTGTCATTAAGCGAGCGTTATTTTGAACGTCTCAGAAAATGTCAAGAATGTTTATTTTAAAGGGATAACTCTTTGTATGAGGTCTATATTTCACAATAAAAACATTGTGAACAACTCATAGTAATATAATATATTCTGTTTTACCACAAAAACGGCAGTTATNACGACAGACGCAGGTGATGGCAATATGTACAGACACATCTGTGTCTGTACATAAAAATCAAACCAATGACTAATTTTAACAAGGGACAAACCACGTGCAAATTTTATGAAAAAGGGGATTGATTTTTCTGAACATGGCATTTGATAGAAACTATATATTGTACATCATATGCAAGATTATTATCATTCAATCAACCGTAAGCCCTTTTCTACAAACAGTATCATGTTAAGAAATTAAACAGTTCAAAATGGGCAAATGTGAACATGAACCAGACATAAAACCAGGCAAGGGATGGAAGACCAATACAAATATAACATCTTCTAACCAACAGATTGTCACAATCTCCTCATCCAATATATTGCAGTCCTTGTCATTAAAAATAAGCATTCTCTTTTTTTTCTTAGACTATTGCATCTAGATTATCAAAAATGATCAAAGAAAAAGTATTTAGCATAATGAACACAGTTTTCAGGCAGTTTTTTTTTTTTTTTTTTTACAACATTCTCATCTGACTGTATCCCAATTAGGGCCCATTTAATACTACAGACCATTAGTAAATGCATTTTCTGTATGATTAAATAGATTTTCATTTACTATGTCAATGTATTATAGACGCTTTCCTAAAACCTTAAAACAGACCACTGGGGTTCCTGTCCAGTCATGTCGCTGCACCCCTGAGATGGGCACCCACTGGGGTTCACATTATGTCATGGCACCATACCCACTGTTAGGCACCCAATGGGGTTCATGTCCTGTCATGCCACTGTACCCATGAAATGGGCACCCACTGTGGTTCATGTTCTTTCATGTCACTGTACCCAGAGATGGGCACCCACTGGGGTTCATGTTCTGTCATGTCACTGTATCCATGAAATGGGCACCTACTGGGGTTCATGTCCTGTCATGCCACTGTACCCATGAAATGGGCACCCGCTGGGGTTCCTGTTCTGTCATGTCACCGTACCCATGAGATGGGCACCCACTGGGGTTCATGCTCAATTCTGTACACGGCAGCACAAAGTTCAGTGAACACTGTAGTAAGTTCATCATTGACTATTGTTTTATCAAAAAAGTGACTGTAATTTTCTTCAATCTTGGATGCATTTAGAATCATTTCATGGAGTTCTTCATCCTGGAATAGATAAATATGCCACAAGCAAATGAACTTAAATTCTTCAACAGTCTTACAAGTTTTTTTTTTTTTTTTACTAAACTTGGAAACTATGAAAGAATAGTGTATAGAGTATCTAGAATAATCAAAATACTTTCAATGATAAAGGCAACTGAGAATACGAAAGTATTAAATACCAGTTCTGTTTAATAATTCAATTAGATTCAGAAGTAATGAAAAAATGTTATGAAATCCAATACAACTGTCATTTTCCTAACGACATGAAAGGTTAAACCACTTAAGTACTCCAACAGCAATTTAGTAATTTGGACTAGTGTATATCAAAAGCCAACATAAATAAAGTAATTTCTCCCTCGCAACATCAAAGGTGAAAAAAAAAACCCTCACTGAAAATGTCTTCTGTATCATTCCATTATCTGTATTGCCTTTGGTGGTAGGGACCAGTCTTGTGTCTCGAAGCCTCTCAATGGAGGGAGGCTTGATAAAGATCACGTAGGGCTTTAACTCTGCACTTCTCAACATTTTCAGTGCCTAGAAAAGTAAATTTCTTAATTAATTCAAAGATTATTTTTTCATGTTTAGAAAAAGAAGGATAACATGCTGAAGTATTTGCCAAATCATTTGGTGGGTGTACTTCTTCTTTGGGTACCATGTCAGGGATTGACGTCAGCACATCTCTCTGAAACCAATCCGGTCACATGCCCGGCACAACACTTAGACGGCACTACACCCAACAGCCAACGCCAGCCCCCCTCCTCCCCTCCCCATAAATTTTGAGTCTCTTTCTCCCTTGTTGCCTCTTGCCAGTTATCTTCTCTTCCAGTACCAGTTTCTCCAGCCTTAAAACAACATGGGCTACCTTGACGTCCATGGTTTATTAGATATTACTTTTTTTATTTCCTTTGATCTTTATGACAATGGAAAGCCATTATGTTTCTCTTTATTCCATCTGTACGCACAACATATTATATAAGTAAACCATTACCAGTTAGCGTTGAATGACAGACTAATAGTGAAAATCTATTTTCTTTTATGTAACTTTGATGCTAAATGCAATACTGGGGCATATAAAAATGTCATAATAAAAGCCCTGATGGTTTTTCTATTCTTAAAGATGCTCATCCGTCCCAAATCTTTCAATACTTTAACATCAAGCTACTGGTTATCAAACTCATTTTACTGTTGAAATGACATCCTAGTGAAAAATCAATACCATATCTTTCCCTCATTAACCTGACCTTTTTTCTTCTAAATTCTGTTCAAGAAATGTGAACTTATTATTGATGAAGTTATTAAAATAAATTGCTTTGAAATGACTGTAAGAAGATTACATCTCTCACCTTTCATTTTAATCTAAGAGATCTTAAATGGAGTGTCACATAACTGGATAATTTATTTCATGCTGTACATTTAGCATGTAATGTATTAATTGCTTTTTTGAAAAAAAAATTCCACAATCAGCCAATGCATATTGCCATTTAATAAGAGCTGAAATCCTAATTATCACAAAAAAAATATTTCTGACAACATGGCTCATTTTTCTGGCCAGAAATAATGGTCCTAATTTCAGTGGTAAAATTGCTCTCGCCTAGGTAGTCATTTGAGAGTCAGAGAGCATGAAACAGACTGAGGGGTTATCAGGACCACTCATCTCGTAATTAATCGTCTCTTTTAACCTCCTGTATATATCCAAAAGACAGTTAAAGGTAGCGACAGAATGCCCTGTACTTGAAAGGAGTCTCTACTGCTGAGGGATATTCAATATAACTGTCAAAGCTAGTGCACATTACACTCAGTATAGTTCTACTGCTGAGGGTGCAGTCGGAGATCCATAATGCAGGTAAGTGGAGAAGCCATGCATTGTAAATTGAATATATATGGTCTGATAGGAAACTAAGCACGTTTTCTTTTCTCAGTGTTATCATGGCCCAGTGTTATGCATTATATGAGAGCTAATCTACACTTATTTATTATTTATTTCAACATTTTTATTGGTTATGATAGGCTGAAAACCTTTTCATTACCAATTATTATTTTTTCTATGTTACCTAATAGATAATGAGTTATTTTTTATGCACATACAAAGAATAATTACAATGGACAACTGACTAAGACAATTCTATTCAAATAGAAATGAGTGATTTCCATCATTGTTATTAAAATAAACTTCTTTTTCGTCTATTGTTTTTATTCATTCAGGCTACAAAATGCTGGGTGATTATTGCACTCTGTTCCACGAGGGTGACTTTGGTAGATCCAGCCACCACTTTTGTCATCAATTCTTATCCTGATTCAAAATATACCACAGGTACTCTTCATATCTCTTCTACATGTAAATTACAGGCTTTAATAATAACGGTATTTTCCACATCAACTATCATTATCTTAAGCTCCATCAAAGTCTACACAATGATAAAAAGTAGGGCTATTATTTCCTCAACTCAATCTCACATTATCAGCATACTTTCCACAGTATGGAACCACAAAGGAAATCTTAGAAATACTACCTGATGAGAGTTTAATTTCTTTGATCTTATCTGAGTTTGTTTACTGGATTTTAATTACAGACCCTACCAGTACTAGCACTTCAACAAATCCCTACAGCACAAATGATGGAAACTTAGACGATGCAACCACATTGAAGGACAGGCTTGATTTCTCTTTGCCTGATATGCCTATTCCATCCTCTTCTACATCTCCCCTGCCACCGATGGGAACCACACCTTTCAATCAGAAAACGTGGCAAACTGCTACCAGTCCAGCAGAGGTCCAGCCCCTTGTCCAACCAGAACCCACTCTAGAGGGCGCTGGTTTACAGCTTACCAGACAACAGCAGATCAAAGGAAAACACAAACGAAAATTGAAAGGTTTTTCTGCAGTCCAGGCAAAATTCATCTGGCTCTTTGGATCCAAAGATGAAGGAGTTGATTATGAGAAAATGTTGGAAAATTTTGGTGTTGCAGTCGATTTTCATAAAGAATCTTCAAAAGAATCAGCAGCAGGCATCTATCACATGAATGCCCTTGATGCAAATGAAGATGACTTTCATTTGCTGAAAAAACTTGCTCTTAGAAAACTGAAAGCATCTTTGCTTAAAAAAGGCATTTCTCAATTAAAACTGAAGGTCAATCCACTGATTTTAAAGTAAGCAACAGCATAAATTTGGAATAAAATATGTAAATGTTTGTCAATGATGAGAGTCAAACATTTACTGGACAATGTACTAGTAATTGTGCATTTTGGGATAGAAAGTTTGTCAATTTTTTCTAAATCATCTTCTTGACAGTGACAGGTTACTCTAAATATAAACCTGCCTCTTAAATAATTTAACCTACAGATTACCAAGTATGAGGCGTCATGCCTTCAGTCTTTGGATAATTATGTTATTGATGTTCTTGTTGTTGAGTTAAATAAAAAATGTTGCATATTCTCCTGAATTTTATGTTTACACATTTACAAATCACATAACCTCTACATGTAAATGCTCTGTTACAACTTATTTCTACCACCTAAATTACAAGGTGTGTGTGTGTGTGTGTGTGTGTGTGTGTGAGAGAGAGAAAGAGAGAGAGAGAGAAGCTAATACTAAAATAGTAAACTGCACTCTTTCTTCTAAAATTAAATCTAAGTGTGTTCACATATCAAGGACCTATCAAAAGCTAGTTATAAATTACTTGTGAATGAATAATTTCACTGCCTTATTTGTAGACATCCTTTGGCTATAGATGCATAAATTGTGCAGAACTATTAGCATATATTATCACTTAAGAAAGTAAAGAGATCAAGATTATTAAATTAAATCAAAGTTTCATAAATAAATGAATGAATTGGAAGACCAATAAAAATATGAATTTTTCACACACACACACACACACACACACACACACACACACACACACACACACACACACACACACACACACACACACACACACACACACACACACACACACAGTAATCTAATTCCCAGGCACATGCAATTCCATATACACAACTACAGTATCCATTTCTTTCAGCTTACCTGTGGGTGTGGTGTGAGTACACAGACTTTCCCTGCATTGAGAGCACTGGTTATACTCTCTATACTAGTACCATACAGGTTGCCCTTGTATTCTCCATACTCCACAAATCTGAGAAAACAAAACATAATCAGCATTTATGATATGAGTGAGAAAAAAAAGCTGTGTTCACAACTGGACCACTTTGGACCGTTTGTGAACACAACCTCATAATGAAGTACTGCTAGTTAAGTGCTTTTAAAATGATGCTTGTTCAGGGTAAATTTTATAGAAAGTAGATTGTGTAACAAACATGGCTTCAAAATCTATCTATTACTGAAATAGTATAATACATATGTACTTTGATGTTTAGTATTGACGGTATAATTTTGATTTTCTAAATATGCACTTGTCCAGCCAATGTGATACATGGGCTAGCTGGAATTTGTCAAGCTAAGATGCTTCATCAAAAACTATCATTATATAGCTTTTAAGGCAGTGAAGACAATACTGAATATACTTCAAAGATAAAAGACTAAATAAACTTCATTTATGCCACACAAACCTTCTTTCTGCTATTCTCCTATCCATTTCTGTTCTGGAGACAAAATAATACTCCTTACCGTCCACTTCGGATGGTTTCTTGGAACGAGAAGTGTCTATAACACATACAAATAGAAACCTTTATTCTAATATTAAAAAAAAAACATTCTTTGGTATGCATACAAAACTTATAAATAACATTACTATTACATATTCCATGTAGTCCTCTGTGAGTTTGCAGACTAAATATATATGAAGAACCTGAAGTACAGTTCATTTTTGATGAAAGCAATGCTTTGCATCGTGTAATAAAGTCGACTCACGTGGTATTGTGGCTGAGAAATGTTCTGGGTTGGAAGTTATAAGACGTCTTTTCAATTCATTTCGCCCAGCACCAGGAGGCCCTGAAACAGCATAATAAAAACATTACATTTAAAATAATACGTACTAATCAACACAAGCTTATTTTATTTTTCTCTGCTGATAAGTAATGAAACATCCAAATCCAAACTCACCAATGAGTACAATTGGTCTGTATCTGCCAGATTCTGGATAATATTTTTCAACTTCTTCATAGGTGATAATTTCAGCATTGTCAAAATCTGGAAATAAATCATCAACAGTTTCAAAACTCCACAGATATTTTCAGCATTGTCAAAATCTGGAAATAACTTATAAAGCAGCTGATAAAATTTCTTATTTCCAATGTAAATCCATACTGCTGATGCATATTTCTATAAGTCGTTATTAAAGAATTTATTTTTGCATGCGCGCTTTAAAATAAAAATTGACCATCTTGCAAGATTGTGTTTTTCATTCTGCAGTGCAGAAAAAGTATAGGTGAAAATTGTGAAAAAATCATGTCATTTAGGCCATATGAAAAAGAACAATCAAAATGAAGACTAAAAATCTGGAAATCAAGCATAATCTTGAAAACGTTCACCCAAGATAAAATAGTTTAACTTCCAATTCCATATTTCTTACCAGAGCTATTCTCAGACTGGTACATAATTTTCTTGGTTTTCCTTGCTTTCCTACTATCCAAAGAGCCATTCATTGTTGAACTCCTGATGCCTTTGTTCTCCCTCTCTCTGTACAATCCACCATCTAATGTGCCAACTGTCCGTCTCATGGCCTCTTTTCTGAAACATGAAAGACTGCATTTAGATTTGAATACTCGACTGCATGACTAAAGCAGTACCATTCAGGTTTTGTAGTAAATGCATAGTCAAGTATGTGAAATACTAAAAGGCTGTCTAATGTTACCAGTTTACTTAAAATGATAAAGCTAGCTGTCAATTTTAGAACCATCATAGTTAACCATCATACCGTAACGTTATATTAATCATAACAGTATGTTTTCAAAACAAGGTCAAACAGTGACATTATCATTTGCATATTTTTCTTGGACATATCATTCCTGTATCCCTCGAAAGGATGAAAGAACACCTTCAGCCAGTCTGAAACAGGTGCAGAAACTACTAGGCATATTGTGATCCACTGTAAACCACACTGAGAAATAGTACAGAGAAATAAATAAAAACCAGACTTCACTTTTTTAAAAAACTTTTGAATCTCCCCCCCACCTTTCCTGTAACTGCTTCCCAGGTATGAGTCCTGCCCTCATGTTCTTGTCCCCCTCCCTCCTGGCCTGCCACCAGTTCAGGTCAGTCTGGTCCACTATGTGCAGGATGTCCCCCTTCTTAAAGGGCAGTCCCGCTTCTCGACAGGGAATAAGGGTGTCCTTGAAGGGGTCATAGTTGAAGTGAGCTCGCATTCGAACCTGAGAAAGCAAAAGAAAATGGATGTTAATCGCTGCGGATTGCACTGAATATGCCCATAATGTACCCATGGCTCTAACTTAAAGGGATAATAACTCTTCGTATGAGATCTATATTTCTCAATAAAAACATTGTGAATAACTCACAGAAATATAATATATTCTGTTTTACCACAAAAACGGCAGTTATAGCTATTATATAGCTGATATCTGAGCTTGTCTTTAGACCAAGTGACCTCCATTGATGGCTATACTCTGTTAAAATCTCTTAAGAGATTTTAACAAAAAAAAAAAAAAAAAAAACTTTTTGGAAAAAAACAGGGACTAACTTTGAATGTAAAAATGGATTCATTAACCATTGGTAAGTATGGGAAAATTGTAGTTTACTCCAGGAAAATTCATTTTTTGGCCGAAACGAAGGGTTATTATCCCTTTAATTTTCCATGAATTCAATAAATGCTTGAAAAAACCGTGATGTCTTTTGGCACAGGTCATCATAATTAGTTGTTTGATGTTTTTCGTAATATTTCAGCCATAAATAAAATCTTCAATTCAATTACATCCATGATTAGCTAGACGATATGGTAACGAGCCACAGTTAAATGTTTTACAGGAAACGCAGCAAAACCGCATTCTCTTAGAAAGCAGTTTGCAAAACCTTGGTTACCAGGCACTGTGAAAAAATATACATGAAGTTGAAGACAAAATATGCTATTAAAATAAAAGTGCATCTCGTAATACCCTAGCGCAGTCTGACTTGGTATTAATAGTATTAATAACTTGCAAATATTATCCGAAAGGGTTATTTTAAAAAACTTTTTGTAAACTAAAACCTCCATTACTAAATAAAAATATATCGCCATACTAGCAAGGCATGATTTTTAAATTTTTTTCATGATTAATACACAAAAAACTAGAGTTAGCCCTTTCTGTCACCAGAGATTTAGAAAAAGTGGAATTCGCGTGTATATCTTTAACTTCATTTTTCACATTTCTGTTTTCTTCAAATGGACCTAGGCCTATATATTGAGAATGAGTGAAAACTTCGACTTCTATGCCAATTTTTGAGAGACGACGTTTTGATGTTTCAGACTGAAGGTAAAGAAAAGTCTGCGACAGGCTGTGGCTGATTATGTTCTTTTTTTCAAGGTTGTTTTGAAGTACCTGTTGGCCATATCGTCATCCTCTCCACCCCAGCCAGGGTAGAGATTCGAATACCCGTTAACCATGGTGAAGTGAATGGCACGAAACATGAGGACACCGCCAACCAGCGTACTGTATTTCAATCTGAAAAAAAGTCATGGAACACCAGTGATTATATATGTCTGAATAAGGAGTAGGGATTAATAAATGCTCGAAGCCCGTTCGTTCTCAAATTTTCCGTACCCTATCCTAAATCTGACTTATTCACATTACATATATCTAGGTAAATGTATAATTATACTGGGCACTTCGATAAACGCTTCGCAAAACATTACGTAAAATGATCATATATATATATATATTTATATATATATGTTTTTTATATGCCATTTACCTTGTGCTTTTACAATTTTTGTTACATTTTAGACATATATTTTCGACAAAACATTGATAAACACTGTTTGAACAAATTGACAGGCGGGCAGGCCTACTCAATTATTCTCAAAACACGTGCTTGTATAAGGTCTATATGAAAACATACCTCGCTGAATCGTGGTGCAGCTAATTTATTACGTACCGGTAATTATGTCTGCTTATAGATGGGGACATGTGCTTCGGCTGACTAGGACAGACATACAGGTTTCTATCATCTTCTGGGATGACGTCAACATCGTGGAAGACAACGCAGTCGAAATCGTATATTTTACGAGCTTCCAAAAACCCAGCATTCATAACTTTTCCCTTGTTAAATATATTGGTGCCGTTCTGAAATCAGATTCGCAAATATGTTATTTGCAGATAGTATGAATTCATTTTTAACAAACATAATTGTCGGATAAACTTTTAAGTATTATAGCAATTGCGTTATTTCTTGTGGCAACTTCAAACTTTGGGACGTTTTTTCCCTTCCAATAAATTTGCTAAAGAGATTCTAGAAGTCTTTGTTGACTGCAGAAGATCTTTCAGCGACTCGTGGGCTGAAATTAAACATCGTAATGGAACCAAATATTGATACTAATTTTTTTCAGTAGAACAAAAAACGTACATATTATACATCTTATTATTATATGAACTGCTTCTGTTGCATGGATAAACCTTAGGGAATAGAGTGAACGCGCTGAATTTCAGGCATATCTACAGGGTGTATTAAAAAAAAGTGAACACTTAGAAAAATACCCAGAATTTAAAAAATTTATTTCATATATCAAATGTTAATGTAAATATAGGTTCGTAGGGAAGTCATGCTTCAATGCACACCATGGATTGTCGTGTCTTTTCATATGTTCTTTTGTCATGAACATCCAATTTTACAAGAATGGCCCCCACGATCGCCCGACTTGAACCCATTGAACTTCTTCTTGTGGGGTCTCCTCAAATCCAAGGTTTATGTAACCCCACCACGAGACTTGAATGACCTTGAGAGGCGTATCAGGGATGAGGTGGATGTTCTTCGACGGGATAGAGCCACAGTACGACACGCAGTTTATGACAGGAGGAGAAGAGCTCAAATCTGGTTGAACAGAAATGGACAGCATGTTGAAGACTAAGGGTTAAAACTTTGAAGTTATCACACATGTACGTACAAACGGTGCATATCGATACTGCTTCAGTTGAAACTTGTGGAGGAAAAGTTCTTGTAAAATTGGTTGTTCATGACAAAAGAACATAAGTGGCAGATAACAGGGAAGATAAGGTTAATTGACAGGTTTTTAATTTGAGAACCATTGATAGAACCATTTCATGGCAATTAATCAACCTTTTGCGAAAAAAAAGTTCTCGAAATAAAAATTTGATCCTCATGACGTAATTTGACCCTGCCCAGTCATGCGTGAAAAGACACGACAATCCATGGTGTGTATTGAAGCATGACTTCCCTATGAACCTATATTTACATTAACATTTGATATATAAAACAAAAATTTTAAATTCTGGGTATTTTTCTAACTGTTCACTTTTTTGATACTATAGTAATAAGTATAATAAACTTGATGATATGTCCCTAGGCATCTCTTGTCGTTCCTGAACGGTTAACTGAACAATACCAGTAGGCCTACTAGCTGTGTAGTCCTGAGCTGATCTTTATTAGGGTCCGGAGATTTCTTTGCCACTGTTTTCTGTTTTTACTGTAAAACCATTTAAAACTCGACCGATACTGATCATGAAAATGCCACTTCCAGGTAAGAGAAACAAAATGCTCAATAATGCACCAAACTGTAGGCCTAGTACATGTACGTAGCGATGCGAATCATTTACATACTCCGATATTACGTTGTATTAAAACCAACTGGCACCTGTTCTATTACGAATATCCTGTAGTCTATCATCTGCCTTTGAAGCAATGGGTGTAGAACACTGAGAAGTAAAGTCAGGTGAAATTCTCGGTCTCTGTATGGAATGATGACCGCCAGCCGAGTTCGGGAAAAGCAGTTCTTTGGTTTCCATGCTCCACCAGGAAGAAGGTTGTTAATTTTGGTTGCAACTTGGAACACAGTCAGTGATTTGTTGATTTTCGTTTTGAAGCGCCCCACTGTAAATAAGTAAGAATATCATAATCAATACTCTATACAGACATATTTTTGCAATAATTGATAATCCTTATTTTCATTTGATACTGACAACATCGAAAAACTATGAATTTTCAGTCGAGCTTAAACGAAAATTCAATTCATGACTATATTGTGACTATAATCTCTTCTTTCCACTGCAATTTGTCTCTCCCTCTCTCTCTCAATCTCTCGTACAATTTGTCACTCAACGGATAATTTTGGGCAGAGTACAATAATGGCAGCTCCAAGTACATCGACCCCCATGCAATTAATATGAATGCAATGAACTTATAACTGACCAAACAATCTATGTACACTGTCTAAGTTTGCTGAGCGTATTGACTTGTTTTAATGTTGAACTAGGACCTAACGAACAGCTTTGGTGTATTGATTAAAAGGTTAAAACAAGCTGACCAAAATCTTAAAGTAACGTTTGTTGTGTGTGTGAGAGAGAGGGAGAGAGAGAGAAAGAGAGACAGAGAGATAGTCTGCAACGATAGTGCTTCAGGTACCGTGTCCGGGATCTTCGCGCCTAATTGAACTTTCCTCAAACTCACGAATCGTTGCTTCACCCATCTGCCCTTGCATTCGATGTTTTATAAAGGATTGAGTTCTTAATGTCTTCCTGTACATTACAGAAGAAGATGTCGACATCGGATCTGTGACATGAGTGGTCCGCGTTGGATACATGGAAGATAGGTACATGTTCCGTAGATGAGCATGACATGTGGACCTATTTGTAGTATCCTGTAGAAAGTGTGGCTTTGGGACCTTTTCACCGTTCAAAATTGAATAGTATATATTTAATAATATACAGACAGCATTTGAATGAAATGCGTGTCTGCGATTTGTCATTCACACGCACACACTCACAAACACACACACGCACACACACACAAAAAGAGAGAGAGGGAGGGAGGGAGAGAGAAAAATTAATTTTGATAAATCATATCTCAAGTCTGAAATAAAAATCAATTGGACGGTGAAATAGAAATGATTGCAAACATCAATACTGTTCATCCTAATTCCCTCTTTAATTTAATTTAGACTGCCATAAAAATTTAGATTTAGCATTTTAATTATCAACAGCGTAACTGTTAAAGTGGTCCATAGTCCGGTCTGTACTTCTAAGTATCAATGACGGGAGTGTCCACGAAACTTAAAAGTTACATAAGCGTCTTTTAAACAGAATCTATATTTTCACAATACCGAAAGCAGAGTAAATGTCGACTATTCACATCAGTTATGATAACAAGAATGGTCAGTTTAGATGAATTACTGTACCATGAATTGCGAAGTGTGTACACTAGTTCAAGGTCGAAGTTTTTGAAAATTGCGTTTTCATGGCATTTTAATCCCGATTGCGGTAAACGATATTTCAATGTTATTAAAACTCAGATTTAGAAGCAAAAAGATTTAGAAGCAGAAGATTTAAAAGGGGTATTTACCTTTATAATGTCGTTACACAGTGCCAGGGTTGAGATTATTCAGATTATTATAAGAATTTCACACCGTCTAGAGACGGTATGATAAACAAAATCGTCAACAGAGGTAAAATAGACCAAATTATACCACTTTCGAATTAAAAAATCTTACGCAAATGTAATTACTTTCAAATGGACACTGTGCTTCAAATGTGGAAACAGTTCATTAAGACAAACTCAACGCTGTTATCGAAAATTATATTCTTTCTTTAACTTAGGTTTCATAGTGATGCTAATAACAGTAAACAGTGAAGAATGGACTACTTGACAGTGAAGATATTTACTTCATCATTCAGGTAGATTGAATAATGCGCTGGCTAACAATATATGGCGCCATGTCAATAAGTAGCCTAAACGTGACAGGATTTGATGGTCTGTTATTATTTTTGAACTTCACGCCAATCTGTAGGGAGGGGCTATACACATGTCCATATTTTCAAGAATACATTCTTGATGTTTCCAATACTGGACCACAGGTTCACAAAATAGGACACATTGTTTTCAAAACTAGTAGCTTGTCGTTGATATCTGGTTAAGTATTCACTTCATATAATTATTATCGTTACGGGTGGGAAATGGCACTTCAAATATTACTAACCATTCCTGAAGTGATAGTGGTTATAATATTTAATTTTAAATTTAATCTAAAATGTTATTTAACAGGTTAATGCAACCTTTACTAAATATTATTTCCTTCACAATTTCTAAACGAACTCTTTTTGGTTTAACGATTTGATTTGATGGTACAGTAACATGTGAACGTTATGCTTCGTCCAGTGGTCATAGTTGACGGTAGATTACCACGGAAGATCAACAGATTAGATAATTGTACAATAGAGCATGTAATATGTCCGTCCGTATCCTATTTTCCCTGAGTCATTCCCATTCATTAAAATACGACAAGTAAAGCCAATCTTTCCAATTCGCTGTGGCTAAAAACTTTATGGGGTTCTCCATCTCTGGGTTCTAGCTGTAAGAGAAAAATTCCTTTACTCACCTAAATCAGGCAGTTGTTGGTGATCTTCTGGGCAAAGGCTCACAAAGCTAGACTTCTCACGTGGCTTGCTTCTTGTCTGAGTTTGTAACAGGGCTCGGTTTACGACGACATCAGGTTGATTTGTCTCTTGCTGATTTGCATTTAAATTAAGATACAGTATAATAAATGCTATCACTACTATCTGAATGAAGACGATCCGTAACTGGAACCGAGTGACTGTCCACCGCTGATTTCGAAGCCCTGGACACCTCATTACTGATCTTCAGGTTTTAAACCATCGTCTTAACTCCACCACCGTCTTCCACCACACCCTTCACTCCTGGTGTTTTAGTAACAAAGCGTCGAAGCCTAACCTACTTCACCTGTCTTAAGTGAGGGTTTAATAATTTGAAGACCTATTGACGATAGCCCCTTTCACCCACCATGCAGTGCACGGAAGTGGTATATCGTGTTCATGTTGGCTACTTGAGTAAACGTGACAGTATCAGGAGACAGTGAAATGCAATAAGCTCAAGGACAAGGTGTCGAATTTACTCTGGTTTACATTTCTCTTTAGAAGGCCACTGCCCATTGTCCGTGCAACCCGCCTTTGTGACCAGCCCTGTTATTATAAGCTTGGACTTGGTGGCACGGTGGATTTTTTCTATTAAAATCTTCCAAAGTGTATTTATTTACATAGTTAACACCGTCTTGTTCACCTGTGGTTGCCAAAGACTGACCACTGCCCTGCGATATACAAATATCCATATGCAGCTACTAGGGTAGTCTAATCAGGCCAAATAATGAACACTGTAGCTAATTTATTAAACACGGTTTTAATAAAGCATGTGTCCAATTCAGCCCTTTGCAAATGACATAACCTTTTGTCAATAAATCTTAATCAAGCCGGGTGACCTGTTTCCTTAGTATGTTATTGTTGAGAACATGTGGTTCAGAAGGCGTGTTACAATGTATGTATAGGCGACATCATAACAATGAAGGTCATCCGGAAGGTACAGTATAGTTTAACTGTGGCAAAAAAAAATGAAATTAAATGTAAACGTTATTAGACAGAATAACATCAATTGTGCTAGGTTGATGTCGTGAAATGCTAGAAATTAGTGAAGATCAGGTTGTTCATGTAATATCATCAGACAAAAATCTATACTGAAAATCAAGTTTGATGTGTAATACATCACTTGTCACATAGATGTAAGATTAGCAATTTTCTGAGTGGCTTGATAGTTAATCTTAACAATTCTGTTATTATTTTGATGTTTTTGGGATGGGTGGAGGTTGTTGGTAGGAACTAGAAAGTATACCAGGGTGACCACAAAAATAACGCAAATATCGAAGTTATATCTTATACTTTTCCATTATTTACCCTACGATTAAATGTTCTCGTAGGTGCTTTTTTAAGTTTCTGGGGAGGTGCAAATGCGTTTTTCATATTTCTTTTATATTTATATTTTCGCAATGAACAGCTTTCGTTTTTTAATGGTGTTGAAACGCACGTGTATTTCCTACCATAAATGGAAAATAGGGTTAACTGATTTTTCGTTACAAACACGTCTTTTACCCTCTCCATTTTAGGCATGGCTAAACTAGCATACTTTTATCAAAAACCTAAAGATTATTCATGTTTTTTAAATCTGTGGAATTCGTGAATTATATATTCTCTGAGTTAAATTCTAGACACTTTTAACACAATGAAATTGACATACTTTGGATCCCGCTTCGCCGATTCAGCTGAAATGACTTAACATAAACTCGTTGTATGAAAAGAGATTTTTCCTATCAGTTCATTGACATTTGTTGCGATTCAGCTAAGCTGCACCGCAATCGCAATATATTGGCACCATGGTTTTCCTTGATGGAAAGCTACAGCTCAGACATGGAGCAAAGCAGATACTGTGAGACTGCAATCCGCAAACCCCTTGCTCAACTTCAGAGCAAAGACATCTGCCTGTTCTCAAATTCCTGTTAGAAATATCGTATCTGTTGCAAAAAATTACAGCAGCAAAGAGTTCCAAATAGTCAGCCTACTCTGTGCGGAATGTTATACACACGTGTGGCGAGATGTTTAGGAATAGGGTTAACTGCAGATGAGCACCAAAGCTTACAGCGACCTTTTCTGTTTGATAAAGCTGTTCACTATTCTCATTTGGGGAGCTTCTTGATTTGATCCCTGTCTGAGCTTAGTTAAGTACGATTTAGAATCTCCTAATAAGTGTGAAGAATGGCCCTCTACCAGGGTCACATATGTGTCTCTGTCTTATTAATGACACAATGTCTCTGCTGTCGCGATACAGACAACTGCACATAATAACTAATCTGCTGCCCTGGTAGAGGATAAGAAAGAATAGTTGTTATGAGATTGACTTGCTCTACAGCGTTGATATTTTCCCTTGGCAGTAACTGTAAATGTCTAGTTTTGCAAACCTCAAATAAAGAATAAAATGATGACACTACAACTTTTCAGTGTTTGAGTCATTTTTGCGAAGATTAGAAGATAGAGCTGGAAAGATGGATATACACACAGCTGAGAACTACGTTAGGAAGTAGAAAAAATCCACAGTAGAAATAATGGCACTCCGTTAAGATATTGATTTATAAATATTGAACTCTTAACAATCTATTATGCGCCAGGAAGTGTTCATCAAATTTCCTAATCACCTGGTCTAATAATTGATGCCTTCTTTAAAGGGATAACAGCTCTTCATTTTGGCGGGAAAAGTGACATAAAACAGAATTTCCTGTGGTAAAGAAGGATGTTCCCATACTTACCAATAATTAATGAATCCGTTCGAACTTTAAAAGTTAGTCGATTGTTTTTTTAAGAGTGTTTTGTAATATTCTCTTAAGAAATTATTAAGGAGGGTAGCCATCTATGAAGGTCCAAGTGGTCCGATGGCAAGCACCGATTTCAAAATAATCGCGATAACCGCCGTTTTAGAGGTAAAATCGAACTTATTAAATTTCCATGTGTTTTTTACAACGTATTTATTGTGGGATTTTGAACATCATATGAACAGTTGTTGTCTCTTTAATGTTACATCATGCTTTCAGCCTGGTTCAAGATCGATCCAAAACAGACTTCTCAATTTTGATGTCCTGTATACATAGAATGTCTATACATTAGTCGCCCCAGCAATCTGAACTAGTGATTTGCATGGGAATGGAACTTTTTTCAATCCAAGCAGCTTCAATAAATGCATTGGAATGGTTCGCATGAACTGTAATGAAGTGAGGTTAATTAACTCTCATGGCTGATATCGAATTGTGGAAGATAGATGGCATGGCTCGGTTTCATAGAAAGCATCATAGACTAAATGCATCTGGATGTCTAATTAAATTCTGCATTTTTTTTTTTTTTTTTTTTTTTGGGGGGGGGGGAGGTGGATCCATAAAAAACAATAATATCGCATTGAAATTTCGCTTTAAAATACTAATGGTTTTAGCAGTTAATAGTGGCCTCAATGTCGTTATTTAATATGCCGTATTCCATCATTCCAATGCACTTGATGGCCACGTTTATGATTACATATTGTTTATTTATTTATTTTTTAGATTAATTCTAGAGAAAGTCGATTTCGAGTACCAAGGTAAATTTTCGTAATTAGAAAAGGTCGATTTTTTGATCCAACATTTGACAGATAAAAACACTACGGCTAATGCGACACGTCGGGTATTGGTATGCCTCCCTGTCCTGCCATCGAATCTTATCACCTCGAATGGATAAAAATTCTGAATTGCCGCCTTTGATTACACAGTCTTCCTCTTCACTCCTATCTGTAGATCGTTTTGTTAGTATACAGTTTATAAGGCTGTTTCCTCTTGGGCTTACGCACATCACGAACGTACAGTAAACACACAGAAAGTGGAGTTCGGTCAGTCTAACTTAATGAGCGCATTTATTACGTTAAAGTATTATATTTTACAGATGTGATCAATTGTGGCTTGATGTTGTATTCACGCCATATTTTTTGCATAAGTGTACTGTTGCTGTCTATCTGCTTTGAATAAATGCGTTAAAAAAATGAAAAGTCAGGGCTAATATGTGTTTTTCGTGCGCATGGAACATACACAAAAGCGATCGGACATCCAAGTCAGTTGGTGTCGTTATAATTCAGGGTTACTTTATTGAACCCCTATTGTGATTGAATACAATGTTTTTGCAGAATACACCCAGCGGTGTCCGTAGAAGAAAAGAGATGGAAACATTAACGCATTTCCTACCCATCAGGGAATGCTGAATTTGCATGTTTTATAATAACATTTTTGCATAGCAGTTTTAAATGCTATTTGACATAGGCTAATATTGCGGGGATCAAATTTTGTGCTAACCCTGTATATTAAGAGGCAAAAGTGATGAAGGAGTTTATAATCGTCTTAACGATGATGGAATGATGGAAAGACCAGCAACGAGGACACGACGTAACAAACTTCCCTCCAGGGAGATTCTTGACATGTGACATGCACTCAACAAAGGGGGGTTATTGATTACGTTGTCAGAACAGTTTATGTTTTATCGATTAATTTTTTTAATATATCATCATATAAACATTGCCCGTCTTAATTAACCAGAAAACTCTAAGCTCCCCCTATATAACCATTATGTAACTACCACTCACATCACTACGCGCTGTCACAACGTCGCTAGGTGTATGGAATTAAGTTTTCCATATCTTGTCCTGTGAACCAGACACAGGATGCTATTTGGAGAGTGTTGGTTTGTTGTCCATTTTGATAAACATTAAGCAAAAGGTCAATTGGCATTTGATTACCAGAAACACGCCGAATATTCGTATATGTATGTAGTACCGTTTTATAGTTGCCAATTCTACTACCCGCTGATTGAAGGAAAAATACAATATGATGGCGTCAAATAAGGTTTTGCTCTTTATCCGCAAACAATCTTTTGAGAAAATTAAAAGATCGGTGTGCAATGTTTGACTTGATAAAATTGTGGATGGGTGGGGGGAGGGCAAAATTATGCTTTAGGGATAGATTCTGCATGATTAAATTCTAAGTAAATCGTTCATGTGTATTGGCTGTGTCAGTATCAAATATATCGGTGATGATTCCTAATGAAAAAAAAACGCCTTTCTTCCCAGTGTGAGGTGGTCAACAATAGGTCATGCAGCCTATTTTAATCGAGAAATATGTTTGATAAGAATGCTTTTTCTGCTTTATCATGTCAGTTACTAGTTTTTTCTTTTGTTGCTGGCATATCAAACCATAAACTAATAATTTTATTTAGAAGAAAGTACTTTGCTGTCTGAAGGAGTGTGTCTGTGTGTGTGTGTGTGTGTGGTCGCGCGCTTATGTGTATTTGTAGATGTTTTTTAAGAGCAACTTAAACACGTTTCATGAGTTATATAACATAAGATGATTGAATATATTTCATATCTTAGATAACAGCGTTCGGTCTGTTCATTTGATTTGAACCCACAAATGGTTTTATGATTAGTCTTATAGTATTTATAATAGACGAAAAGTTTTGTGCTGTAACTCATCTAGTCTTCTGGGCGATATAGATTTGTCAGACTTACATTAAAATAATTTTACATTTAGCTATATTTGTTTTATCTCACTTGACATTAATTTAATGCATCAACGTCAATTCGGATAATTATTTACTGTTACGCATATAAAAAATCAGTGTTTTGTATGATGCATGTCAATACGAGGTAATGTCGACATTTGTGGATAAAAAATCAATGTAGCCAGCCTGTTTTGCTCTGAAAGAAAACACATTTAATGCATCACTGTGTTAAGGGCTGCAGTTCAAACGATGCACAAGGCGTCCAGTATTGTAAAAAGCATTTAATAATATTTTTAGTTTAGCACAACAGCTATGGACGAAGGGCATGTTCAACACGTGTGATTCTTGTCGAATATCGTCGAAAATTTATAAGGAACACATGGATTCAAAACTTCCACAAAGTCACATGTCAACCGATCTCCATTTTACAGTTTAATTTTCCCACCAATACCTACTGACGTCCTGCCGTTAGCAATATGAAGAAACAGAACGTTCCGTGTGTTTTATGTTTATTGTGTGTTTATTGTTTTCTGTGCTTACAGACAATCAATATGAAGATTATCACCCGTTCCTGTGAAATCAGTATTTGGAAAATCACATTCTAATGAGGATGGTGACTACTGTCAACTGATTTTTGTTATTAATCGTGTTTTTTGAGCAAGAACGAATCTGACATTTTATGTAATAGACAGTAACGACAAGTGATACTTGCCGGTCATAAAAAAAGATGATCATTACAATATTTTTACATTACCCATGTTTTTCTGGGCCATTTTCTTTAAACATATATTCACACACACATACACACTACCATTCCAACATTTTTAAATCGGTACAATCACTGTCGCGTATTATTCCGAATTAAAATGGTAGGAGGTAGGTTTGTATTTTCAATGAATTTTCCATAAGGGAAACTCCGTACTTTGACAAACAGCCGTTGTCACTGAACAGTAGTGCTTTCGCCTAGTTCGCAGTGCAGAGCACAGCAGACAGCGGGGAGCATACCCCGGCATATGATATAGCTACACGATCCATCATTTACTCCATTGCCCGTTTTAATGACTCGTGCCCGAGATTAATGGACATTGAGGTGTATTATAATTCTAAAGGTGAACGTTGGCGCAAGGTTGATCTCCTATTCTTTCAATCCATAGATACTGAAGAAGAATACCACCGAAAAAAGTTATGCGTGAAAACAGCCTCTTAACATCTCTCTGCTTGGGTGTGGAATTGCACTGATATGCATGTACGCATGTACATCAGAATGTCTACAAGGTCATTTAGTGTTACGGAGAATTAGTATCATGCACGCATTTTATACTAATGCACATTTGCTTACAGTAATATAGGCGAACTTGCTCTCATGTACTTGTGGGAATTAGAGACAAATAAAATGCATTTCAGTAATGGGGTGCTATGATTCCTGTTGTCGGTGATTTCTGGCCTCTCGTTTGTTTAAAAAATCACACGTTTGAGAGAGAGAGAGAGAGAGAGAGAGAGAGAGAGAGAACACGGTTAATTAGCACACTCAGCAGTCAAAGCGTGAAAATCAAGATAAAAAAGTAATCGAAAATTCATATTCAGTATGAAATTAAGGGACGCACATGTCTGTCATTATCAAATTGCTTCAGCTAAAAATTGTTCCTCATGGCTTACTTTGATCTTATATCTGCAATTAAATTATTTCAGTGCTCACAATTGTCGACCATTTTCCACACCGAAGGATTGAAACAGAATGAAATTGAAATCTGGTCTGTCATACATGTAAGACCACTTCAGAGTTTATCTCGCCGACAAGGCGACACTCGGCACAGTGTACTTGCTATATCTGCCATTTCGCATCTGTGAGCTCTTAACTCGCTAATGTGGTGATCGAACGGTTACAAGTTAACAATATGCAAAAACGAATTACACACGTGCAGATGATACAACGCAGATTAGAAACAAATTTGTGTGGTAGGTTAACGTAATGAAAATGATAACCTAATACCCGCACAAATATGGCCGAAATATATAAATATATATATATATTTTTTTTCTTTCAAACTCTACTCCTGAGTGGAAGATGCCATCCATTAGTATAATCAATACACCTGACTGATCAAATTATGGAAAACGCGACGATTGATGATCGATACGCTATGCAGCGTCCCGGGTCGCTGAAATGCACCCCGACATTCGCCTGCAGTAGCTGTGCACTCACTGCTGGCAAGACCTGCAGACTGGAGCTAGAACTTACAGGCTATGCGCAGTTTCGTTTTCCCTGCAGGCAACCCGTTCCGGGTGGGGTCCACTGGCTTACACTATATATCATGTACAATGAAGTAAAAGCCTTTCTTCAGCCTTGCAGTACATGATGGACTCACGTTGGGAGCAATAATATGATGCTGCACGCTTGTGGCTGGCAGTCTGGCAAGAACTCCACCTGCACAATGATATGAATGCAGTGACATCAAGTAATTAGCTCGAGAGGTACAACTACAAGAGGAAAGAACAGCAGAGAGATCGCGTGGCGAATCTGAACATTGCGTCTTTCATTTCCAGGAAAAAAAGTGACTAAGCTAACAGGTGTACGACAATCGGCTCACAATGCCAGAGTTGGGACTTATAGTGCGTGTGTATAGGCTCTCGAATTTTTTCAAGTCTGCCTGCGTTATATTGGTGCTGAGTATGGTGATGTTTTTAGTTGGAATGTCAACGCCTTATTGGGTGACAATTGGACTGCAGAAGAGCAGCGGCCTTTGGCAACACTGTGGAAGCGACAGTGACTGCGAGATACTCCATAATCCACCAAGTAAGCATGATGTATTATATTTATCATTGTACATTATGTGAATGAATAACTTTATCCAAGAATGCAAGCAGCACGGTATTCATTCATTAGAGATATATAGATACATTGGTCCTAAAGATTTCTTTTCTAAGAATATAGTGTTCAAGATCTGGGTTTCTACCTACTACAGTGAACAACATTCCGTTTTGTCTAGCTATTCTAGTTCTTGTGTTTACATGTACATCTTTTATTTTCCATCATAAAAAGAATAATAATCGAAAGTAAGCTGTCCAAAGCCTCCAATTTAACATTTTTTCGCTATAAGTGTGAGGGTTCTCGTCTGTTACATGTAACATTATATCACCTCCCCCCAAATAAATGGAAAGAGAAGAAGAATCTCTTGCGCCCTATCAATTTGGTCATCTCTGAAAACACATGTTGCTGTACATATGTTCACCTTCATCTTAACATGATTAAGTTATTGTTGCTATATTTGCTATAACAAATGCTAAGTAATTTTTCAAGGGAATCTCTGCCCCATCTAGGTAAAGCAACGTTTACCAGCCATATATCATTTCAGCCACCCAACCAAACATATTCTGTATAGCATATACGTTTAGTGCTCATTCAATTATTAATCCACTCGGTCTCATACACGATGCATATATCACAAACTTGGCTTATTAGGTGATTTCTGGTGTTCTATATAGCAGGCTGATGAGAATATTCCGCGGATGATTAGATAAAGACTTATTGCTCCAATAGAACATCATACGATGAGCCAATTAATAATGTACCTTGAAAGTAAAGATCGGGTTAGTTATCAGATTCCACCTTTTTTGCACATTTATCATTCTGTATTCTATTCATATCTAAGAGCCTGATCATATAAATTACCAGAGGAATGTCTGAACAAAAGTGAAGAACAAATTAACAGGTCTTAACATTCAGCAAAGTGCACTCAAGAGTGGGCGGTTTATTGGAATGGGTTTGGGGGGAGGGGGGTTGGAAGAAGGGGGTTAGGACAGAAAAGACAGTCATGGTGTTTACCGGTGGTTAAATGCACTATTTTCAGTGGTGGATTGACATCCAGATGACGGTGCTTATCTTTTGATAAAACTATACGCTAGGGGTAGATATTAAATTCTTTGCCAACATCTGAGTAATACGGATGGAAGGTTTTCTAACTTCAGAAACCGTAATTCATTGACGACTGAATGCAAAGGAACTACCTCTATCAATGCTTGACATCAATTTTTTTACTGTTTTTCTTTATTTCAGAACCGTTGCATGCCTGTCAGGCATTAGAAATAATATCCCTATTGATGTACATGGGCTTGATTATATTAGCTCTCCTGTATATGCTCCACTCCGCCTTTGAGAAGTCTACGGTGATATTAGCGACCATAGTATTAAGCTTCACTTCAGGTAACTATGAATTTTATACCTTAGATTAAAAAAATCATTAGTACATGTACTGCAGAAATCGGTAAATCTCAGTGTATATGTTACATATTATGTATATTCCTCGCACACTCAGGCACGCGCGCTATGGCACACAAACACGTGAGCGCTCAAAGTAGGTACAAAAAAATACCTGTATCGATGCAAGTGACCCTGAGTCTCATAATTATTTGAAACTATCCTTCACTATCAGCATGTCTCTGTGGTTACTGATAGTGAAGGTTGGTTTCCAGTAATCTCTGAAACTCAGTTTGATACGCATGCACGCATATACAGCCACAGTGCCCTCCAGGTATATTGTATCATGGTTGCTAAAAGCTCCGCATTGTTTGAGAGTTTGACAAACGACCAAAAGTGATGTGGTCAAATGCTTCAAGAAAGCCGCACAAATAAAGAGAGTCGAAGAAAATAAACCAGAACATTACTTTTCAATCAGCTCTTAGAGTATTACCCTGTCAATTTACACGGCGTAAATCAATTACTGGGCTCTAAGTACAAGCAAAGAGATCTTTCTCATTCTCACAGGTATATCATACCATCGGTTAAAAAATCATTTTGAGCTGCTGCAGGAGTTTGCCGATAGAATGCTTTTAATGAACAATTAGAATATACTTTGTTTATTGATTGAGAGAAAATTGTATGATAAGATTTGTATAGAAATATTTTGGCGGTGTTTCTATAAAGATAAGAAGTTTCTGCAAGTGTTTCTATAAGCCAATAGATGATATGAAGTGCGCCAAAACAGGATTACGGAGAGGAAAAAGGTTGGAAATAACTTAAAAGTAAAATATGCAATACTAGGATGCCTAATATAGGCCATAGCTGTTGGCACTGAATCCCATAGTTAGAATGACCATTCTATTCGACAAACTATGTACGCTTTACAGATGTTGCCGAAAAAAATTGGAAAAAATTGTTCTCTGATGATTAGATATCTGTTACAAAACATGGCTTCCTCCCCCCCCCCCCCCTTCCCGACCGAAAATTGCTTACATTATACATACAATTGTTACATATACGCCATTAGATAAGGAAGGAACTCTACCTATTATCCGAGCCATTTTCCAAACTAATGCAATTTCCGCTCGTGATATTGTCCGGTGGAGATGATTTATCCATTATTTGCTGTCTTAAATATTCCTTTTATCCTTTCAAATAACCAATGCTAATGTGTCAAAGGCCTGGTGCAAGTTTTTAAGTAATGTTATTACCGACTGAGCATGAAATAGCATATTTACCGGAGCTGAAATCTATGCTTGTAGCCATTACATTGCCTTAAGCTAATAAAAAATAAGTGGTCTCAAAAGAGATCAGTAGAGTTAAGCATGGCAAATAATTGAAATTAGTTAAATACCGCAGGGAAAAAATTGAAGAGTCGTGTTTATTGTCTGCAATCTCGTGAGCTATTTTTTTAATCAACAAAAGGTCCTTTCTTTATTGTCATGCATTTAAATAAATAAATAAATTAATTAATTAAAATGGTAACGTTAGCTATAAGAAAGTATTATTAGATATAAGCTGATTATAGTCAATTTTCACACATTGTGACAAATAATTAGAAAAGTGCAGATTTTTGCAAGAGTATTAATAGGAAATAGTTCAGCACGGTTGATCCGGAGGAGGCGAGAAGTTTTGTCAGATAGGAAATTGCATGGACCTACTGCAGCCATTTAAACTTTATACATGTATATGATGTATATTGGAACAGGCTGAATTATAGTACTGTACATTCCACCTATAAATAAGTACCTGGGGGAGGGCTACTGAAATGTGAATATGACATGTTGAATTTATGCTACTGAAATGTGTGAAATTTGCTGTTATAACCATTTTCGTATAGATGAAAACGCGTGCTTCGTCCAATCCAAACTGACCTCATTAATTTAGTAAGAACATATTAAAAGGCAGTGTGGAATAAAAGTAGAAGGTTAGATCATTTAACCCCCAAGAAACAACTGTAGTCAGTTTTGATAGGTAGGATATCTATTTAAACTGCAGCCACAGTGATCGTGGGGCATGTTTTAGTAGATAAATCCTGCATTTTCTGGTATTTTTTAAACAGAACTCTAGGCTAAGTTGTTTAATTTTTGCGTCTTGCTTGGGCCAATGGCTAAATAAGTTATTGGTTTGTTTTATATGTTGTTGATGTTTGAGTGGAGCTGGGGTTTTTTTTCACGTTTTTCTCCTTCAACGATTTGTAGTGTAAAGCTGCTCAGAACACACCATACTGCAAATAATTTAAAGATGTAATCATTACCTATTGATAATTTACACCTGCATCATCTCTAACATTGACTTTCAGATACGTCTTTTATTGGCACAAATGCACTTTAGAATGATGAATCTTTGATGTACGTAAGCTCTCTCTCAAAAAGCTTTTAGCACGTTTTAGTTTGTTTAATTTCATCATACTATCCCTCTCGTTTGTTTTGTAGGATTTAGTGAAACGTTTAACATTACAGAAGCACCGGTGCGTGAGTTCTATCTCCTTTTGATACATTTGGTGTCTGTCGGTAAAAAGAGTGGTAAACTTTAAAAGTTTAACTTTAAAAGTCAAAAACACTTCCCACTTTAGATACTGCCCACATCGTTTTGCGGTCCCCGATTTTTTTCACCCTGAGCATGGAAGCATTCAGACTATATGCTTCCATGCCCTGAGCTTCACAGATAACTTGAAACTTACCTCTACACTACATCATACCCTTGAAACGGCAAGGGTATGATATAGTGTAGAGATAGGTTTCAAGTTAGGCCTATCTCTGAGGCTCGGGTGATATAAGTCTAAATGATTCGAAATGACTACAACATAAAGTAAGGATAAGATTTCATATCACTCAAGTGTTTCGTTATCGTCTTTGACAAGATTTGACCTCAGTGCTCGGCAATATTGAATTTTCTTCTTTGTCAATGAAAAAAGAAGTGGAAGTTGTTTTATCTTTATATATACATTGCCCATGTTCTGTTTTATATCATATTCTAATGTTGCATGTTCATGTTCAAATTAGAGAAATTATATACGGTACATTCTTTTCTTCTCTCACATTTTCGATCTTTGTCCGTTGCACTAGTGAGTCTTCAACTTCAAATCCTTTTAAAATACTGCGTACAAACCTGCTTGTAAAACCCCATTTTTTAATAAATTTTTATCAACCCGACTGAAGTCTGATTCATTTTTCGCCTGCCATACAGTACTGTTATCCCACATATCTTAAATCATTAAAACCTTGCTGGTGTGATTAAATATTACACTATTAACACATGCGATAATTACAAAATACATAACTCACTGTATTTTGACATCTTAAGGATGTAGCAAAAGTCGTAACGAAAGTAGAGCACAGAACTAATTAGTTGCCTTAGTTGCCGTTTTTTTTTTAATCGTAAAGAGCTGCGGGCTGAGTATGTCTACATTACATGGCCTTAAATCCGTACGATTCCGTTCAATTTCGCACGGCCACCGTCTACATCTGCTCAGACGCCGTACAAAAAGAGTATTACGGGCAGTACACGTGCACTGTACGGGCATCAAATGTAATCTAGGCTTTACTTCCTTATTTTCAGATTTGTCGATTGATTTCATGAGTGATCATGCCTTATTTTGTAACAGTGAAATCCATCGGCGGTGCTCAACGTGAATGTGTAGGTGTTTTGTTTGTGTGCGTATGCGTGTAGGTAGGTGCCATCATGTTTGTGTTTGAATAGATGTCTGACGAAGGTGCACGGTCATCTGATTGCAATAATTATTCTTTTTTCACGGGCAAGTATATTTATTTGTTACTGTCTGACCCAAAATGCCAGTTTTTTCCTAGAACCTGGTGATTACAAATGCAAACCATTAAGCAATCTCGTCAGAATATGGTGTTAGATTTATCACTATGGCAGAAGTATCCACAGAAACAGTGTGAAAGCCAGCATCTTACTCATGATTTTCGCGATTTCATCGTTATTCACCATATTACCATAACACATTTGTCAGAAGCTGAAACCTTTGCAAGGAATCCCTTATTCAAGAGAATTAGCATAAGATAAGACACATGTGGAATTCTGACTCTACAGAAAACTCAAAGGGATTGTGATAACCAAGTTATGAACAGATTTGTATTGTGCATTTTTGTATTCATATATGCCAATGAAACTTTGAATTTGAATAAGATGAACGGAACATTACACATCATAATTGTTCGTAACAATTATAACGTATGTACGTAGTAACGTATATTTTGGCGGCCATTTTTGACTTGCATCATCATCATTACGACTGGCATATGATGTAACTAACGCTTTGGTTTTATTGGCCTTTATTGACTTGCATCATTGTCGTTTGATCTTATTTATCAGCCCAACACACAAATAATACATGTATAATGCTGCAGCAATTTTGATTTGACGTGTGCAAACGCAACGTAATTCAAAGTTTAGATGACGATACTCGTAGTTGTTTTAACGAATTGTCATTGAGAAAAGTGCGATTCTGTTTATGCTTTCGGGAGTGAACTAAAAGCAAACATTATATCTGCATTTCAAACCAGCAGTCACGCCCGGCACCTGTGTTTTTTTATATCCTTTAGAGCCAATAATTAGTGTACAGTATACTAAAGGGGGTCCATTGAGGCGAAAATCGGAACAATTTGATCCTTTGTCAGGGAGAACATTCTTCATAACTTAGGTTTACAGATCTGACGGAATTATCTCTCCCTGTGGCCTTCACATGCCTTCTGAACATGCAAATGAAATATCATAGCAAGTTGCAAATCCCATTAAATATTTTACCGAAAATCCCCTTGGTTTAATACAAGTCCTCAAATGCCACGACAACTCGCTAAGATTTGCTTCTATTCTTAACTGATTCCTATCTCGCAGATTATAATTTGCGTAGGAAGAAAGAACAGTTTCTTTGACTGAAGTAACTATTATTTCAGTTTTACTATGAATCAATTAGCTCATGTCATTCTGACATGCAAAAT